TGTTAACGAACCAGATAATCGGGGCGGAAATGTTTTTTATCTACTCTTTGACAGTCTATGTGTATATAGACCTCAAAAAGAATCGTCGCACATTAAACAAATGAAGTGTTTTTGATTTTCTAAAAGGATTTTACTCACAACAAAACTGCAACTTTCATCGCGAGAAAATTATACAGAAATAGACTGTCCATTGCAAAAAGTATTATCAAAATCGGATCAGTCAATCAATAAATCAATCTCCTGACTATTATTGCTGGCTATTGAAGTCAACCCTAAAAAATTGACATTTCATCGAATTGAAAAAAACTGGAAACAAAATCGGCTTTGATGTTAAAAAGAATATGCAGGTTCGAATTTTCAAAGAATTGGAGGGAAGGGATTGTTAATAATGCGGACCACCAGTCCCATTGCTAGAAATATACCCTGCCAGGTGGATGCCACGTGATCGCCCTTGGAAACCATCGTGCTGAACTCCAGGAGTATTCATCACGATAGGCTCACTGACCTGCCTTTTCATTCCTCCTCACCTATCATCCCTCACTGGTGCCAAGCAGCGTACCGTTAGCGCAAACGGGGTTGCTATTCTATTATCATCCTAAAAAAATATCCCAACAAGTCGAACCATCGGAAGGTAAATTTTCCCACCTTAAAGATTTCAAAATACAGGGTTGCACTTATCAAAAATAAATTCAAATATTGATGTTTTAGTACAAGATCAAAATCATTATTATTTTAATACGCAAGCATTATTTGTTACCTTGCATTTTTATGATTTCTAATAAAGTTCCAAAATTCTCTGAAAATTGTGTTGTATACACCGCGTCTAGACGATTAATGTTCTGAACACTCCAATCTGTCGGTAACTGAATTCTTTTGTTTTCGAATATAGCAATTTCTCCGCTTAAATAATCAAATTTCATTCGCCGCCTACCTTATGCTTATTTTTCATGAAAACTGGTGTTACAAGATGTTTGCAAATAAGCAAGTGGGCAGTAGTTTATGATATGTATATGTACATGTATTTTTATATAGATATTAACATATAAATACTATTGTAATATATATGTTTATTTTATGAATGTTTGTATGTATGTAATTTACCTTCTTGTATTAACTCGCAGACTATGAGTACGAATATCACACACTGAACATGTCTAAAACTATTTCTAGCACTGTAATGAAAAATAAGGTCAGAAAGGTAGGTTCTTTTAATGGGTGATAATGGTATGGTAACCCTGTCTGCGCCACCAGTGATAGATGATTGGTGAGGATGAAAGCAGGTCAGTTATCCCATCCTGACGAATTCAACTAGAATTAGCCACGATGGTTTCCAGGGGGAACCACATGGAGGTCGTCCTAATAGCTTATATTACTAGTAATGGGGCTATTTGAGCCCATTATTAACAATCCCTTTTTCCCCGGAAAGGTCGCTTAGGTCTTTTTTTTGATGGGTGAAAATGGTATGGTAACCCCGCCTGCGCTAACTGGATACGCTGACGGAGCACCAGTGAAGGGTGATAGATGAGAATGAAAAGAGGTCAGTTAGCCCATCATGATGAATTCATCAGGAATTAACCATGATAGTTTCCAAGGAGAACCGCGAGGAGATCGACCTGGTAGGGTATATTGCTAGCAATGAGATTCTCAGTCTCCATTACTAACAATCCCTTTCCCCCCGGTAGGTTAGGTTTGTGACTACCGCCGCCTATGATCACCCACATGATTAGTTTTGGTTTGGTGAAAGATAAAAAAAAATATCATGTTTTTATAAAATCCTCACATTTACTAACTCAAATAGAATAAATCCTAAGATTTACTGGTAAAACTTAAGACTTACCAATGTACAGGCTTTTACAGTAACATACATAGCCAATAATAGATAATAAAAAAAAATAAAAAAAAATTCAGCTAGACCTTCAATAGCAAAACTAAAATAGCAAAAAAGTTATCGTATAAAAATTAACAACAGGAAACAAAGTTTAAGGAAAAAAAAAACATACACAGCCAATCAGATAATGATTTTTCCAAATCAGTTAACAACTGACGGAGTTATGACGTAAGAAATATAAGCAAAAATACAAGCAAATTATGAACCCGTTTATTTTTTAAGTAGGTAGAAGCCCTATCAGTTTATACCTACACAGCTTAATACATATACCAGCAGTAGGTTACAGAGATTTCATTAATTTTACTCGCCTGTACTTTCCGCCTGGCTGGTTCCAGTCTAATCCGTGTTATGTCTAATCTATGTCATGGAATAGGGCAGGTTGATACCACGAGTAATTTAACGCTCCATAGAACATTGTCCTGATTTGTTTTAAATTGTCCATAGCGATTTCTAGGTTCGCTTTGAGACAGTATTGGAATTAACCCTTCGCTCGAAGTGACTCGTTTCATTTATTGATGGAATTAATCTATGATGTTTTTTTTTGGTGGGTGAAAATGGTATGGTAACCCCGCCTGCGCTAAGGGGATACGCTGGCGGAGCACCAGTGAAGGGTGATAGATGAGAATGAAAACAGGCCAGTTAGCCCATCATGATGAATTCATCAGGAATTACCCATGATAGTATACAGGGGGAACCGCGAGGAGGTCGGCCTGGTTGGGTATATTGCTAGCAATGGAATTCTCAGCCTCCATTACTAACAATCCCTTTCCCCCCAATGATGAAGGTTACAAAACTATATCAGCCGTTAATTGTTCAATGCTGAATATAGGACTCCGTCTATTGAGGGATTTTTTTCTTTTTTTTATATACAACTTAGAATGGCAAACAATCTGACGGCCCACCTGATGGAAAGTGGTAACCGTCACTTATAATCATGAGCAGTACCAAGGACATAACAGACTATACTGTTTCGCCCATGATACCCCCCATGCGTTGCCATTCCTGAGGACTCAGGTGTTATTCCTCTGTACCCAGTAAATTCACGCCATATCCCACCCTTCAAATCGAAACACAGCCATGCAAACACAACTGCTTCAGGGTTGAAACACGAATGGGACAGAGGTACCCAAGAAATCTACTTTTGTACAAAGTCTCCCTTTGGTCTCCAAATTTGCCAGTAGTTGCCAGACTTGGCAGGCAGGTTGGTTTTGGTGCTGCTCATGTCTGTTGGTGACGGTTATTACTTTTCATCGGATATCCCAACAGCTTGTTTGTCAAGTTTAATAAAAAAAACCATATATTAAATCCAAACCTATTGACATGCCATGCCACTTACAAGGTAGTCAGTGTTACCGAGTGCCAAAGACTGTCAAAAGTCAACTGACTTTGAAAAAGGAGATTATCAAGTCGGTTGTCTTTTTTTTATACCACTGAGGTGACAAACAAGCATACGGCCCACCTGATGGTAAGTGGTTACCGTAGCCTATGAACACCAGCAATACCAGAGGTATTACGCGTGCGTTGCCGACCCTGAAAAAACCTCTTTAACAAAAAACCCCCCTTTTGAAGAACCCCATGCTGTAGTCTCTTGGGAAAACCTCGGCAGGGAGCTCATTCCACAACCTGAGTGTTCGTGGGAGGAAACATCTCTGAAACCGTGCAGTACATCGCTCGTCGTTGCAACGAGTCGATGAATTCAAGCTGGTATTTAGGTGCTCCGGCCCATAAGTGACAGCAATACTCCATTTGTCTTTTGTTTGCTACCTCATAACTCCGTTATTTATAAACCGGTTTGGATTTTTTTTTTATTTGAAAGGATATACTTCCAGATTGGTTATCAAAGTTTGGTTCATTTGATTTAGTATTTTGTATTGTTTGAAATTCTAAGTAACTGGTTTTACCACGATCGAAGTCGGCTTAACCACACAAAATAATCATAAATATTATTTGCCATGTGGTCCCAGCATAGAATGAGCCATCCCTTATTTTCCCGTGGATGTCGTAAGAGGGTAAAGGTATTTAAAGGTATTTATGATGATCGAGGAATGGGCAACGTCCCTCTTAAAACATCACCAAAGCCTAACTGCAGTTGCCAATCCGCCTGCCGAGTGTGGCAACTACTAGCAAAACCCTCTTATTAAGTGGAGGCCTATGTTTAGCAGTGGACAATTAGCGACTGATTATATAGCAAATAATGACTATTTTGTTTCCCAATTAATTTGTAGGTCACTTATTAAATTATCATAAATACTCTCATGCACATACAGTATTCATTCGTAAAAAGAATTATCAAAATCGGTTCGTCTGCACTCGGATCAATTCGGTTTATTATAGGCATTTTTTAACACCAGAATTTTGGTCGAAAAGTTACACACAAAGTTCTCAGTGTCATTTAGATTCGAAGACAAACAAATATTCAGTACAAAATTAAAAAACCTTCTGCTTTATGAAAAAACATATCGGATTAAACTAGTTCGATTCGTAGTGGGTATATAAATAATAAACATTTATTTTATCGGACTGAACCATAGATATATTTCTTTATAAAAAATATTATAAAATTCAATTAAATATTATACTACAATATATTATCAAAATAATCATTGTCTATTTGGCCATATTGCACACCTATTACATCTATTTCACAAATGAGGTAGCGTAAAATATTTACTAATATACATTATATATATATATATATATATATATATATATATATATATATATATATATATATATATATATATAACATATTTACACGACTATGTCGAGTGTCCAATACATACATAACTTAGTATCTATATTTCACTGTAACAATTTTGTAGAGATCCCGTCATTTTTATCACATTGTTATAAAATTATTATGTATTGTATTTATTTTTTTATTTATTGTTTTATATTAAATCAAAATAACCATTCGTCATGTCTCAGCCATAAATGCCACCATTTATTTGCCTACATATTTTTATATTTTAATATAAAACATCGTATAATATCAACAGACGCTGAAAATAAATACATAATTATTATTATTACATATTTCCAAATATTAAAACTAATGAAAATATAATATATATATATATATATATATATATATATATATATATATATATAATAATTTATTTCAGGCACTGATTGACCCATAAAAATGTAATCACATGACAGGTCGTACAACAATGACAAAGACAAACTGCAAATATATATTTATATACATTATATAATTTAATATTTCTTTTATTTTTATTATTAATTTAAATCTTCATAAAAGACTGGTTGCTGACTTAATAATTCCAATACATAAGTTTTTATACAATATAAACATAAAAAAAACTATAATAATTTACGTATACGTACGTAATATAAAAAATATTTTTATGATTTAATCATTACCTAAATAACAGACAGACAGACATACCCCAAACAGAGGAAACTTCAAAAATGTTCCATTTTGGTACATTACACATAAATGTAAATTTAGAACTACTTCCATTGAAACTTATAAGGTAAGCACTTTAGAAACAAATAATTCAAATATGATCGATTTCGCTAAATAATTATTAACACAAAAATTGATTTCCCAAAAATTCCCATGGGACCGGGGACTAAATGAATCCACGCGAGCAAAGACGCGGGAATCAGTTAACAGCTAGTAACACTGTATAAGTTGTCAATGTGTTTTATAAATAAACTACTATTAGCCACCAGGGCCCGATCTAGAAATGAGGGGGGGGGGGGGATAAACATGTAAATATTTAGAACGCAGCAAAATTAGTTCACTGCGAATCAACATGTTATGATAATAATAAATATATCTGGACAAGTTCCATAGCGCAAAATAAACAGAGCACTACTATAGGAACTTGAATATATTTCATTTTTTTTTAATACGTATTATAAAAAAAATAACACCCAGAATAATATAAACATACAACTATATGTACTGTTTGGTGGTCAAACCCGCGACCTTTTAAAAAGTGACAGTTTAACTGCCACACCACGAAAGTCATTATTAAAAAGCGCGGCACATATAAAATATTGCCCGGTACGGCAAACTAGATCGGGCACTGTTGCCAACATTCAAATATTGGTTCCTAGATCGTTACTGCAACTATGCGGAGTCCTGTAACAGTGACGAGGCGAAAATCTGCTGCAAGATGTGTGGTAGTGAAGCAACGTCCATACACACGTGACCGCGTCCCGCCGGCAGATGGCGCAATAATCTGGTGATAATACAAATTCAGATTTTTATACAAATTATGACATTTTAATACTATTATCTGACCATTATCTATTCTAGGCAAACAGCAGACAAATCTACCGGTAGATACGTTTACGATACAACACATATGAGAACAAAACGTGAGATATTAAGGTTTCGTTCTTTCCAATGTATGCGACACAGAGATTCGTATATTGCAAAAGGGACTAGTGGAAAAAGGCCACAATCGCCTATATTTATTTACAATTACCCAGTAATTTCATTGCCATATTCCACCTTTCAAATAGAAATAGCCCTGTTAATACAGCTTGGGAGGAGGGGAAGGGATTGTTAGTAATGGCCCTCCCATTACTAACAATCCCTAAGGCCCCATTGCTATCAATATACCTTATCAGGTCGACCTTCACGCGGTTCCCCCTGGACTAAACCATCGTGACTAATTTATCGTTGAATTCGTCACGATAGGCTAACTGACATGCATTCATCCTCATCTATCATCGCTCACTAGTACTTCACCAGCGTGTACCGATAGCTCAGGCGACTTTACCATTCCATTAGTACCCATTTAAGTACAGCATGGGGACAAAAACGCGAGTACGACAGTACTATAGTATTACTTAATGCTAAGGCACTACACAGTGTATAACGACGTGGATTAGATATGAACCATATCGGTACCGCTCCCATATCTATATATTGGGAACATTAAAGTATTGACGGCGGAAAAAAGTTCATCGCCCATTTCAATATCGCCTCCACCAGTCGGATATCTAATTCATTTTGATCAGGTGGTATACCATGAAACGAAATTCCGAATTTTCGGGCTCAATTTTGTATTTTCGACACATCGAAAACAAAAAATCGACCCAGTAAATGGAGCTTAACATTTCGTTCATTATAAATCATATAATAAAGATATTTTAACATTTTTAATATTTTTAAACGCCATGTATTATGTAATTTTAAAATATAAATTTCTGTTTCATTCGTGCCCGAAGTTTCGGAAAATATTTCATGGTAGGCCCTCAGGTTCTTCATTTCTACATTATATACATTGGACAGCCGATATTTAAAATATCCGTTATCGGAACAATATATAGTTATAATATCAATATATAGATATTGCTATATATTACTCATCCCCAATGTGGATTTACAAATCAAGCTACCGAAATTTTGTTCCCTAACTTAAAATTTCTTTTATTAAAATATATAATTCTTAATAACCTTAACAGTATAAGCAAACAATTTTGTACGTTATTCTTTAGAGTATAAAGATAAAATTTGTTTAATACTTACGTGGAAGCCTCATCTCCCAAACTGCCGATGAATATAACGTGCGCGTGAACTCTGTTATCTGATGTCAGAATGGTACCCAACTCCTCGGGCTGTATGCCGTATCTAAAACAAACAAACATGGCTTTTGTTTATATATAAACATTATTAGAATCGTGAATTGTCGACCTCGTGCACGCACACACGCTTATTCTTGCAGAAGCTGCTGTAATATGCATTTATTTATTTATTTTGCTACGTATTTAGTTATTTTTTTAGTTATTATTATTATTACTATTTTTATTTTTAGTATTTTTTAACCCCTGTGTGGGTGCTATCATATATTTGTGCAAAATAAAGTTTCTTACTTTCTTCATTTTAAATCTCATAGTTCATATACATTAAAACGCAATACGCCTTTTATTTTTACCCCTCAACTACAATACAGGCAGATTCAGCTCAGCTAATGGTAAGTGACTACCGGCGCCTACCGTGATTAGCCACAACACCAGAGGAATTTCAGATGTGCTGCCGGCCTATTAAAAAGGCCTATTAAATTATTATTTCCGAACCGATACGACAACATAACCTTCAAGAAAAGAGTATATTCCTTTTTAAAAGGCCGGCAGCACACCTGCAATGCCGCTGGTGTTGTGGGTGATCATGGGCGGCGGTAGTCACTTACCATCAGGTGAGCCGCATGCTCGTTTGCCCCCTGTGTTGTAAAAAAAAAAAAAAAAAAAAAAGGAATATGCTCTTTCTAGGAAGTTATAATGTCGTATCGGTCCAGAGATACTGCTGCTGGAAGTAATTCCAAAGAGTGGTTGTGCGTAAAAGAAAGTGCCTTGAAAAGCGCACGGTAGAGGACCGCCACTCGTCCAGATGGTTGGGATGGGACTTAACCTGCCTCCACCATAAGCTCCCTTAAGCCCAATTTACACTCAGCCCGAGTGGGCAGGAAAGTGAGCACGGAAGTGAGCACGGAAGTAAGCACGGAAGTGAGCAGCGCGAGAGTGTAAACACGATACTTCCCATGCCATTGGCGCTGCCAACGATTGTCGGTTTTGCGTGCGCGAGTCACTGGCAGCGCGAGTGGCAGCGTGTGCTTACATTCAGCCCTCTCGCTCAGTTCTCGCCCGGTATAGTAGTAATTACGTCGTTCGATTCGATGAATTTTTTGATCCACCATCGTCTTTTCACAACGTTTAAATAATTCATTACACTAAGCAGACATTCAGCTGTTGCCGCAGCAACCTTGACGTCCGCCATCTTTGCGAGTCGCCCGGTAAATAAGTATGAGGGCTGGAGTGTAAACGACACTCACTCGCGTCGACTCCCGTCGACGCTGACGCGGCAATATTTCCGGCAGCGCGAGTGGCAGGGAAAACGGCTGAATGTAAACGTAGCTTTAGTCGCCTCTTACAACATCCTCGGGAAAGGAAGGGGTGGCCTATTCCTTGCCTGGACCACACAGCCAAAATACTCTCATTTAAACCCATTTAAGCTTATTTATTTATTTTTTTATTTATTTATTTCTTGCATTCCATAATAATTAATTAATACATAATACATAATTATTACATAAGGTTTCAATTATGGACCCTGTTGGGCACAGCAAGTAGGAGAGAGGAGGACAACACTTTTTTCACTTTCGAAATAGTATATCACGATAAGTACGTATTTTCTTATTATTATTATTCATTATTTAAGTATTGGTGTGTAACTATTCATATCGTAATTGTTATTAGTATTATATAGTTATTTAATTGATTAACAGATATAAAACATCCTAAATATCATATTTATAGTAATAGCAGGATAACTATACCTTCTAAGGTTAGCATCAGACAATACAATCACAATAGCCTCGTCAGCGTCTTCGTTGGCGAGCGACGAGATGGCGTGCTTGGTCGCGGGCAGCGTGTTGTCGCCCGTCCAACAGAACTGCGAGTGCGCGTGCATTGTACGGATGATCTGTAACAAAAGACACATAATGTCCAATAAATCTGTTTGTAAGACTTTTTTTTTTATACAACTTAGAATGGCAAACACGCTTACGGTTCACCTGATGGAAAGTGGTAACCGTCGCCTATAGACATAAGCAGTCCCATGGACATAACAGAGTATACTGTTTCGCCCATGATACCCCCCATGCGTTGCTATTCCTGAGGACTCAGGTGTTATTCCTCTGTACCCAGTAAATTCACGCCATATCCCACCCTACAAACCGAAACAGAGCCATGCAAACACAACTGCTTCACGATAGAAACACGAATGAGACAGAGGTACCCAAACAATCGACTTTTGTACAAAGTCTCTCTCTGGTTTCTAAAGTTTCAGTCAATTCAACTGAACGGTTATTTTTTGGCATTTTATATCGGATTCTTTAGATTGATATAACTTTTTTATTTATGAACCTATTGAAATTAACACTAAATGTTAAGTGAATCAAAGCGCAACGCATTTAAGAAAACCGCACTCAAATCGGTTAAACAATTTCTGAGATTAGCGTGCATAAACGTACAGACAAACAAACAAAACTCTAAAAATCATTGTTTTGGGTTCTATTGCATTCATAAAGCCCCCCTATAATAGTTTTTTATATATCTTCCATGTACGTTACGTTACGTTTCTTGTACACTTTGGTATAAAAGCTATAATGTAGTTTTCATTTCACGTTCCATGTAACTCCGTAACACTCACCTGTAACCTCTGCTTCTCGTTCTCCGGCGGCTGGTCGACCCTCACCAGCTCGAGGGCGTGATCCTCGCCAGAGTGCGCATACATGTCATACCGGATACGCGCCTCGTACCCTCGGAGGGCCTCCATCATCAGCACCACCGCTTCCATGGAACGCTCCAGGCGGCCGTCGTACGAATTAAACCTGATTGATAAATTATATTTTTAAGCAAGTGGAAGAGATTCTAAATTCGTCTGCAAATTTTTCTAGTCATATTTCAGAATTAAATTGCCAATACTAAACCGATTTTGATATTAATTTCTCAATCTATAGAGTTATTCTTGTGCATGATCTCATATGAACAGCACTATCATACCTACTTTTACAACAATTAGTCCATTACATTGTCTTGAAAAGAATACTCTTAGCAATAAGACCGCCTTACTATACTTATACAATTGTATCGTTGTGATTGTAAATTGCCTTGCTTATTTCCTATATTGTATAATGCAAATAAACTATACTGATTCATTCATATATTGACGATTTAAGCTGATCATCTTTGCAGAGGAATAATTGCTTGATGTGAAATAAAATCATGATACACGATTCCATGTTCCAAATTCAAATATTTTAAGTCTATGTTGTAACTAGCGCCACATTTCGCCAATTTTCGGTCGCCGATCATCCGCCACGGAACTCCAATACATCAATTGGAAACAGTTTGCCTACTACTAGTCACAGGGGGGAAAGGCATTGTTAGTAATGGGGTCAAATAGCCCTATTACTAGCAATATACCCTATCAGGTCGACCACCACGTGGTTCCCCCTGGAAACCATCGTGACTAATTCTAGTTTAATTCGTCAGGATGGGCTAACTGACCTACTTTCATCTTCATCTGTCATCCCTCACTGGTGCCCCGCCAGTGTATACCAATAGCGCAGACGGGGTTACCATACCATTATCACTCATTAAAAAAAAAAACTACTGGTCACACTGCGCGAAAGATCGGTCATTACGTCAATGCAACGCTGTGGATCGCTCACGCCCTGTATCTGTTCAGTCGCTAGCGCAGTGATCTCCTATAGGCGGTATCGGTAACGATGCACTGCATGTTTTCTACTACATTCATATGTGATGCGTCACACGCGACGGTTGGTATTTGATTGGACGCATAGGTAATTCATGTAACCGAAGATTGGCAACTGGAGACACGCTGAATATGGCACTAACTCAAATCATCTTTATGTAAATAGTCTATCTACAAGGTCTTTTAAATTAATACCATGAGGTATCCCTACATTCAAAAAGAATAACTAAATACCTGTACATGCTGCCCGAGACATCGAGCACCAGCCGCAGCCGCTTGGGCCGCGCAGGCGGAGCACCCGGCGGTGGTTCTTGTTCCGCTCGCCGCCGATAGATGGCGCGCTCACCAGCCAGACCTGCACCACCAAACACATTCAAGTTTAGAACGAACTGTAAAGAAAAATAGAGTTGAAAATCAATAAAGGAAATAATTGTATATATAAATAATATATATCACATCACATTAGCCACTAGCCCTCCACTGCTGAACACACGAGGGACACTTTGTACAAAAGTCGATTGCTTGGGTACCTCTATCCCATTCGTGTTTCTACCGTGAAGCAGTTGTATTTGCATGGCTGTGTTTCGGTTTGAAGGGTGGGATATGGCGTGAATTTACAGGAATATCACCTGAGTCCTCAGGAATGGCAACGCATGGGGGGTATTATGGGCGAAACAGTATTCTCTGTTGTGTCCATGGTACTGCTCATGTCTATAAGCGACGGTTACAACTTTCCATCAGGTGGACCGTCAGCTTGTTTGCCATTTTAAGTTGTATATAAAAAAAAAGAAAACACGAATGAACACATAAGGAGGGTTTTACCAGTAGTTGTCAGGCTTGGTAGGCGGGTTGACAACCGAATTTAGGCTTGGGTGGTGTTTTAAGAGTGACACTGCCGTCCATTCCTCGCCTATTAAATTCCCTTAGTCGCATCTTACGACACACAGAGGAAAGGAAAAGGTAGCGTATTCCACGCTGGGACCACACGAACTGGCATGAAGATATTGAACTAACAGAAAGATAAAATTATTTCATCGTTCTTACCTTCTATAATTTTGCCGTCGTCAAGTTCCCCGCTGGTCTGGTGTCGACTCCATTCTCGTTCTTTCTTCTTGGCCTGTAATTCAGCTAAAACTCCACGCAGAGCACCAATCTAGAGATATCAAAATTTATTTCATTGTTATGAAAAATTAATCATATATGTATAGCTACATATAATAGCTACTGGAAGGAGACCTGTGCCCAATAAAATTTCCAATATCAATTCAACTTAATAGAAGATAGGCGTATTAAACCTCGTTCTTTGATTTCTTTTTAACTCTATTTTTTATTATTATTATATCAGCCGTTAGTTGTTCACTGCTGGTGGTCTACCATGGAATGAAATTCCGAATTTTCGGGCTCAATTTCATGTTTTTGTTCGTACCAATATCGCCCCAGTAAATGGAGTTTAACATTACGTTCATCATAAATCCTATCCTAATAGACCAGAGGAACGATATTTTAATATTTTTAATAATTTTAAACGGTATGTATTATGTAATTGGAACATCAAATTTCTGTTTTGTTCGTCCCCGAAATTTCGGAAAATATTTTGTGGTAGGCCCTCTGTTACTAGCAATATACACTATTATCAGGTCGACTTCCACGTGGTTCCCTCTGGAAGCTATCGTGGTTAATTCTTGCATTCATCACGATGGACCAACTGACCTTGTTTTATGTCCATCTATTATCCCTCACTGGACCTCGCCAGCGTATATCGATAGCAAAGGCAAAGCTACCATATCATTTTCACCTATAAAAACATCACCAAATCCTAACTGCGGTGCCAACCCGACTGCCAAGCGTGGCATGGCAACTTTCCTTATGGGGAAAGCCTCTATCCAGAGGGCCTACCATGAAATATATTCCGAAATTTCATTCCATGGTAGGCCCCCAGAACTCTTAATAGGATTATTATCCTTTTCCCCTCGATTTGGTTATGTTTTATGAGGGACGCTGCTGCCGATCCCTCGGCCATTAAATTCCCTTACTCGCCCTTTACGACACTCACAGTAAGGGGTAACCTATTCTATGCCGAGGCTCACACAGCGTATTATTTTCTGTATAAAGGATACCACTGAGTAGACCAACAAGCATACAGGCCACCTAATAGGAATCAGTTCTCAAAGCCTATGAACACCTGCAATTCCGGGGCTATTGCTCGCAGGTTGCCGACCCTGAACAAATCTCTGTTCCTTTTTGTAAAATCCAATACTGTAGTCTCTTGGTGTGGTATATACCAACCTGAGGTTGTACCGCTTTGAGGAACTGCCCGTACAAGTTGGCATCGTACTCGCTCATTTTGATCTCTTTCAGTCGCTCCTCGAATGCCTTCCTGTTCATTTCGCGGGCTGCCTTCTTCACGTGTTCTGGCACGTCGTCCTTTTCCGCTTGTGATAGCTAAGAGTGGAAAAGAAAAAAAAATTACTATATTTAAAATGAAGCCTTTTTTTAATTAAGAGTTATGTAAGGTTAATATAAATGCAGGTGGCTCGGGACCATTCCTTATGGCAGCCTATGAGGGAGGCCTATTATCAGCAATGGACAGTTAATGGCTGATATGATGATGATGAATATACAGGAACATCTACGTATTTATTTATTTATACTTTTGCACACAATAAAATATGTCTACAGAGCGGACTTAATGTCTAATGGCATTCTCTACGAATCAACGGTTACGCTAAACAGAGAGAGTAAATGGCGGTGCATTGATTTAACAATTGATTTAATATATTTTAGCTACAATATGTACAACATCAGATTAAGAGATCGACGGACAACTTCAAAAATAAGAAAAAGAACTAAGATCAGTGACGTGTTACAAAAAATAAGAAAACTTAAATGGAATTGGACTGGACATATAATGAGAACCAACAAAGAAAAATGGACGAAGGATATAATAGAGTGGTATCCTAGAAATGGGAAAAGACAACGAGGAGGGCAAATCAAAAGATGGGAGGACGATTTACCTAAAGAATGGAGAAAGTCAGCCAGGGATAGAGGAAAGTGGAAGCAATTGGGGGAGGCCTATGTCGACAGACCTGACCAACATAATGGTTGTTAGTAAGCTAGCTTAGTAATAAGTAGTATGTAAGTTAAAGTAAAATTGTGGTCAGAGAATAAAGGCTTTATTATATATATTATTATATATTATATAGCTACAATATCTATATATGGGCCCTCTATCAAATATATTATGGTAAATATCAGTTATCCAATATATGATATTAAAATGAAGCATCAGATCGAAATTAATATAGATATTCTACTGATATGGCTGCTATCAAAATTTGCCCCCGCCCCTTTTCCCCGCCACTTCTTTCCGCCCTTTTTTCCCCTCCTTTCATTCCCAATTGAACCTTTCCAGAATGACTCAGGCGGGGTTACTAGTATAAAATGAACCAAAAAAACTATTTTCCACGATCACCAGGCTGTTTGTAACCTGGTGATCAAATATCAGACCGTACCTGGTGCACGTCATGTCCCTTGTCGAGGCGGTAGGGCCCGCCCTTGCCGCCTAGGCCGGCGGTATCGCGGCCGCCAGTGCCGCCCGCCCACGTGTTGCCGCCCACGTGCGGTTCGTTTTTCGGATCCTCCTTGCCATGTTTGGGAGATGACACGTCCTTCCTATAATCAATAATTGCCCATATACTTACAACGAATAACGGAATGGAACAAGAATCCCATATCGACAAAACGAAGGACAGATTTTAGCAAAACTTATATTACAATGTAAGTACAACCATATTCACTTACGTAAGTATATTTTTTTTATCAAGAAAGCGCGACTAATTTCGGGACCATACGCGACCCTTAGTAACCCTTACTAGTAGGGGGGGGGGGGGATTGTTAGTAATGGAGACTGAGAATCCCACAGCTAGCAGTATACCCAACCAGATCGACCTCCTCGCGGTTCTCCCTAGAAACTATCATGGTTAATTCCTGATGAATTCATCATGATGGGCTAACTGGCCTGTTTTCATTCTCATCTATCACTCTTAACTGGTACTCCGCCAGCGTATCCCGTTAGCGCAGGCGGGGTTACCATACCATTTTCACCCATCAAAAAAACCCTTACTAGTTGAACTTTCTCGACATAAATACGAATAAGTCAAACCGATTATTCTTACATTAAAATATGTTATATATTATTATTATTATATAATTTTATATATTACTTACGAAACATTTAACAAAACTTGTCAACTTGAGTATTTATATTCCACTTAATAGCAGAAGCCATGAAACAGTACTTACATGGCTTTGTTTCGGTTCAAAGTGTGTGATATGACAGTACAACGCTTTAATCACCAGAAATAGGACACGTACCATGAATGCCATAGTATATTCTATAACGTCCGGTGGGTTATTCGCTTGTTTGTTATTTTTATTCACATAAAAAAGAAGATAAGGTACGAACTGAAATCATACGCTGAAAGTTCCGTACATTAAATAAAATTTCTTTATGTACTTACAAATACGTTTATTTATATAATATATAGACACCTAATAGTTATACATATATCAGGTCATAACTGTGGTTAAAAACTGAAACGTATAACTAAGTTTGTTTTAGAAGGTTTTTTTCATAATTTCTTAAAAACTGGGGGTCTACCATAAAATGAAATTCTAAATTTTCGGATTTCATTTCGTGTTTTTGTTCATACCGAAATAGCCCTAATAAATTGAGCTTAACATTTCGTTCGTCGTAAATCCTACCATAATAGTCCAAAGGAGCGGTATTTTAACATTTTTATAAATTTTAAACGGTATATATCATGTAATTTTAACATGAAATTTGTGTTTCGTCCGACGTCGAAATTTCGAAAAACATTTGTGTACTAATTGCCAAGCGTGGCAATTACTGGCAAAACCCCTCCCAAGGGGGAGGCTTATATTCAGCAGTGGACAGTTAAAGGCTGGTATGATGTAGTAATTAGGAACATCGTTTTATTTTCCTATACTATTCACATATATCTTTGTAAACTGTAATTCAGATTTTTTTCAGATTTTGTCCAGTTTGGTTGTGCATGGAAGAAAGCGACACTTCACATATATCACAGTGAAGGTTATCTAATGCCCTTGACCTTGACACGAGACTACAGACCGCACAAACTGAGGGGTAACTGTACAAACCAATTTATGAGTGTATAATCGCTTCATATATTTCGCAGGAGGATAGTAGAATAAAAAAATAATAACAAAACACAATTAAAATTACACATAAGATTTATATTTACAAAAAAATAGGTTTTTCTATCAGTTGCCTAGAATCCATACTACAATGTCTACTTAATTTGGAACTAGATGGCGTTGTGTAGTGTCCCATAATAAAAAAATACTTACCCGCTTTTACTCTCTATTGTCATTTGCAGTTTCTTCAACGCTTCTTTGGACCTGCCCTCTAAAACGCCCTCTGTCGGTAGCCCACTAGCGTGTAGAACTTCAAGCAGCGTATCCGCCATATCTTTACTATATCTATCGAAGTCGAAAACGTTACCAATCGCAGTAGCTAAGTCTTCGTCAGGATATTTCTAGAAATAATATAAATCCCTTCAATCTTTTATAGTAAATCGTTGGTTATTTGATTAGAATTATTTTGTTTAATTCCGCTATCGTTAGTACCGAATTCGCAGTTTGTGCACTGAATGGGTAACACTAGGTTCCAAGCAGCCTATAACGGAAAGGAAGGAGCCCAATCTAAGCTGGGACCACGCGGCCATTAAATATAAACAGTAATAATTACCTGCAAATGCTTAACGATGTTGACCAGCTCGCGAGTAGAGTAGGGGTATGTTAGCTGCCCTTGGTCCGCCTTATCGCGGAGCACAGCGAAGGCTTTAACCAGCTTCTGCATGACATCAGTCGGCACATCAGGCCCGTACGACCGGAGCAGTTCCATCTCGGACTCGATAGATGGGTTATCGACCGCGTGACATGAGAACAGGTCCCCTGGATTGAAATGTACATTTATATAAATAATTATCCGTAAATGTTATGTATAATGTTATAAACACAGAGACTTAAAATGTTTCAAAGAAATAGTTATTGCATGGCTATTAAAATATATAATAAATTGTCTTATAATGTTAAAAATTTGACCAACGCACAGTTTAGGAGAAGATTGTTTGTTGATTGATGGTTGTTTCTATTCTGTGAAAGACTTTTTGAATAGGTGTAATTTGTGATACTTGATTACAGTTAATTTTATTAGTAGTTAATTTTAGTAGTATTTAGTAATTTGTTTACAGTGGTAAAGGCATAACATTGACTTATTATTCGTGATTGTAATTTGAAGTCATTGGTTTTGTTGATGTTATTATGACTTATTTTGGATATTATAAAAAAAAAAAACATTTACACACCGAAATGGTAAATATTGCTGAACAACTATAACTTAAGATCTGCTACTGGCTGTCACCAATATTTTGTAAATAAATTATTATTATTATTATAAACATGTTTATGCTAAATTTAATAATGTATATAGGAAACGAACCTGGAAAAGTATGTTGATACAAATATTAAATTAATTGCTCGATTTTAAAACTGAGTGTTTTTAACAACATCCTAACGTATCTTATAAATGCAAAAATAAGTTTGTTTGTTATGCTTACACCTAAATCGCTTAACCGATTATGATGGATTTAATGGATGGTATAAAGTTATTAATAAGTAATAAAGAATTAAAAAAATAAAACAAAGTTAGATGTGACATTGGAAACAGTTATAGGCTACCTTTTCTTGTAAAAAACTTATAGTAGTCGTTCGATTTTCTTTAAACCTCGCAGAATTATCGATTCAATAAATTGGACATTAACGAATAAACCCCAAATGGTTTTTTTTTTCTATTTTATGTTTATAGCATGTATTTCAATATATTTGTAAAAATTAATTTTATAAAAAAATGTGATATTTTTAAATATTTGGCTATTTAGAGATTTGTATGTTTGTTACTCAATCACTCTTAAATAGCTGAATGGATTTGAATGAAATTAATACACGGGTATGCAATAGCCTAACTAAACAAAAACGACATTTTATGTAAAGATTTACGGGAGGAAAGTCGCAGGATCAGCTAATAGAATAGAATAGTTAAGAACATACCTAGAGAAGCGAAGAAGTCATTGCCCAAGAACGGGAACCCTGGCCTATTGGCGAGCACGATCATCTTGAAGTCATCATGTACAGGAATGAAGGTTTCCGCATCCCCACCAGACGTATCAATCATATGCTTCGGTACAATTCTTCTTCCATCGCTAAGAATCATCTCACCGTTTTCCACTAAAGTCTTTAATATACACGTCACATGTGTAGGGGCCTTATCCGCTTCATCCACTACTAAGACGTGTCCATATTTAACCGCCTTCACTAGTGGAGAGTCTTCGTATATCACTACGCCATCTTTCACAGTTGGCTGCACTGTTAAAGACTGGACTGTGGTATCTCTATGCAGTTGTATATACTCCCTGGGTCGATTTAGAAGCTGCAACAGTCTATCTGCTATTTTATTCTTGCCCACTCCTTGGTTACCAACTAGGAGTAAATGGTTGCCTAGCAACAGATCCTGTAGTAGCCACTCCAACAATCTTATATGCTGTGGAACGTCATAGAACAATATATCAGGTACTTTCGTCAACGCCTGCGTTTTGTACACTTCAGTGCTTGTGTTGCCAATGGTTAAAACACCGTTTTGAACTGAGCAACTGACTTTTTTCTCGCTTGGGTTGCTGCCGAATGTGCCAAAGCGACTGGGTGCTTCGATGCCCACATTCTGACTAGCGCCATCTAGCGCCCGTCTAGCCAAATTAGGAAGGAATTTAGCTAAGAACGTTCTCTGTACTGTTTCGTAAGCGGACTCGGTCGGATATTTTGCCATTCTGCTTGCGATTCTTAGCAACTGTCGTGTGGAGAGAGATGTCGATAGATTTTTCAACGTACTATCTTCTGAATGTCTGAGTTCGTCTGCTAGATTAATTATTGAGTGCAGAGGTTCTGATATTTCACCGTACTGAAAACGAAATTATGAAAGTTTTGTTTAAATTCAATATACATACAAAATGAGGTATTTAGTGGCGTAACTATTTAACACACTCCCTTACTCCTTTTAACATCCGTATTTATGAATACGAGTTATTTCTACTACTAGAAAGCCTAAGTTAATTTCTGTAAGCATGTATATGATGAATGCCTGCCAAGTGTGGCAACTATTGGCAAAGCAGTTAACTCCTGATATAACATATGATAATACCTACTACTACCTGTTTCCTACGAGACAGGCTCGGCCAAGTGTAGGAATCAATGCTAAAAATTGTGGGTATAAAAACAAACTTTGTTAATAAATATATTTTTCATGATAGTAATTTCAGCTACTATTCGTCCATTATTGGCCGTAAGCCTTCCCCATAGACTACCATTAAGAACGGTCCTGAACCACCCTGATCCCCGCCAGGAATAGCGGAGCCGCTGGGAACTGGGGGTCGTTTTTTTACAGTGTTTACAATTTAGGGTGTTTTACTAGTAGTTGCCACGCTTGGCAGGCGGGTTGGCAACCACAGTTAGGTCTTGTGAGACATTTTAAGAGGGACACTGCTGCCCATCCCTCAACCATAAGGTCCCTTATAGTTGAGGGATGTTATTGCTGTTTTATTACATATGGTACGAGTTTTGCTGAGTATGAGACAGCATATTTATCTTTAAAAAAAACTATTACTTATTTGTTTTGTTTTCATTTGATACAATGTATTATTATTTTTAAAATAACACAATTAACATGGAAAGGTTTTGCTGGAAGAAATCTCTTATTAGAAATAAGCTCGCCTTTGTACATTATGTTTATAATGAATTGTAATTAACAGTATGTCTTGTACAATAAAGAATAAAGAAAGAATAAAGAATGTAAGTATAGATTACCCAGATTGTACTAACAGAAACAGCATGATAAATATAATAAAACAAGTTCTACTTACCAAGGCGGTGATGACAGAAATCTCCTCGGCCTTGCTGAGGTTTCTCATTTCGTGGAATATAAACAAACTTAGTATCTCTGGTGAGAGCCACTGCTGCCCGCGACCAAGGATCGGAGGTTCAGCCAACGCCACTATCCTGGAATAACAGATGCGTTAGTATGTTGTTAACGTAAGATTAAAATAATTCAGGTTTGTAATTAGTTTAAAACAATTTGTTTCATATAAAAACACCTTTTTAATTTTACTACAAAATGATCAATATTTATTATCAGTGGACACCACTATCACTACTTTCCTGGTTCAAACTAAAGGACTCTACATTAAGAAATCAGACAACAAACACCTGGTAACTTAACACAGAATACCCAAATTAGAGACAATAAATTATAAGAAAAATTCATTCATCAAAGCACTATGCAGACATCTGCGCTATTGACCCAATCAGAGTGACAGTAATAGTCGCAATACTCACTACTACTACTTACCACTAGGTGAGTAGTGATAGTGGTGGGTAGCGGTTATAGTAAGAAGCGGTAGTAGTGAGTAGCAATAAAGAGAGTAGTGGTAGTAGTGAGTAGTGATAGTAGTCAGTAGCAATAAAGAGAGTAGTGGTAGTAGTGTGTAGCAATAGTGTAGTGATAGTAGTGAGTAGCGCTAGTAATGAGTAGCGATAGTAGTGAGTAGTGGTAGTAGTGTGTAGAGTGAGTAGTAATAGTAGTAAACAACGGTAATAGTGACTAGGGGTAGTAGCGAACAGTGGTAATAATGAGTGATGGCAGTAGTGAGTAGTAGTAGTAGTGAACACTGGAAGTAGTAAATAGTAGTTCAAATGATGTTTTCCTCACCTAAAAGCAGGATGTATCCTCTTAACTCCGCTGTCGTCCAGTTGCTCCCGCGTGTGGCCAGCCGCGAGCAACTCGTCGTATCTGTCGTGTCGCAGCAGTCGCGTCCCGTCGTGCAATTGCAACTCGCGGTCGTGCACTAATCTGCCAACACAAATAATAACAATGTAATATCTCTAAATAAATTAATATTGAAAAGGAGAAATATTTGAAATTTATTTGTAATATTACTCAAAAATTGAGTATTAAGTATGAGTTTATTACTTAAAAGATGTTTAAAAAATTATTCGGCTATAGAAAGCTACGTTACTAACAAGTAACAAGTACAAAGTACAGCAAGGGACGAGTAAGTTGTATTTTGTTTAAGAAAAAAACCAGTGTGAAGATAAGTAGTAAATATTAAAGGTTGACAATGCTCTGATGCCTCTAGTGTTGCAAGTATACATGGGCAACGCTAGTTAATTTCCATTGAGATGAACTATAAACTCGTTTGCCTCCTAATGATAAAAAAATAATATAAAATAACTGTGCATGTAATCCTAGATTAACTAGATTAGTATATAGTAGTCGTATGGTACTTTAAGTATTAAACCACGCGTGTAAAGCCATGAGATACAGTTAGTCCTTATATAAAGATTAGAAAGTATGAAAGCATAACAGTTTTCAGTTTTCAGAAATGGCAACAAAGTTCATTCTATGATGGCCATGGTATTCATGATGTTTATGGTTACAGAAAACGGATATTACTTAGACTTGATAGAGTCAGTAGAGGGACCGTATGGCATGTCAAGTTGCCCATACCTGTGCAACACAGCAAGTGTACTGGGATGGATCCGATGCAATCCATCCAACACAGCTAGATGACCTTTCAATGCTGCATCCACCAACGCAGAGTTCTTCCACACCGTGTCTCCATTATCTAATGTAGTTCGCTGTTGCATCAGATCCCTGGCTGTCATGTCCTGATAAAGGACTATAGGCTCTATTGTATAACCCAATAAGGACGCTAATTGATTGACTAGAAGACTCTTGCCGCAGCCTTTTGGACCTGGGGAAAATAATATTAATTTTTAAAAATAGAACAATAGAATATTAAATTGATAAAATTTGGAATTGGAAATATCTAACTTTTTCTCTTTCAAAGTTAGCAAATATAAGAAAAAAAAAGAAATAATGAGATTGCACTAGCAATACAGACATCATTTTAATTATTTTGCCATTTTTCATTCTTAAACTAAAACACAGCCATGCAAGCAACCATGAAGCAGCTGTTACGGTAGAAATACGACTGTGGGTGAGCCAGAAATATCCATGCAAACAACTTTTGTACAAAGACTCCCTCTGGTAATCATGTGTTACCACTCCTACAAAAACCATAAACAATACTTACCGACAACACAAAAATCTCCAACACTGTGACTCAGCAATAACTCATTCAACAACTGACTCTGATATGCAGTTTTCACTATTCTTTTATCATCTATCCCTTTCTTACTCCTCCCACCGCATGTCACGTCAAATTGTGATTTCTGTCCATTAATCTCCATAGTCACTAAGGCTTGATTTTCCTTGAAGTCTATCCCTTTCATCGATATGTTCCACTGAGACTCAGTATCTACTTTAAGATTACTGAGTACAGCTTTCACATTTCTTATGTGGTCCTTCGTTAAGAATGTATTGTAAGGGTATAATAAATATAACAGCGTATGAATTGGTATAGCAGGATTACGTTCCTGAAAAAAAAAAACATAGATAATACTATCAATTTCGGCACTAGTTGCCATAGAGTTAGAAGAGGGCCGCAAGATGGCGACACAACAATATAAAAGTCATAAGTATATGACGTCACTGTCACTCATGAAGAATTCTTATTAATACTGTAAATCAAATTTACTAATGCTGTAATGTATTCCTTCTACACAAAGGTAGTCTTGAAATAATTGCTTAGCAATAAGACCGCCTCTTATACTATAGTATTTTATTATATTAACCCTTAAGTACCTACTGTTGTACCTTCGTCATAAAGGGAGTTTTGCCAGTATTTATTACTAGGTTTATTGGCAAACGGAATTAGGCTTTAATGATATTTTATGAAGAACGTTGCTGCCCATCCCTCGACCTAATAAATTCCCTTAGTCGCCTCTTACGATACCCATGGGAAAAGAAGAGGTAGCCCATTCTATGCCAGGACCACACGGCACTATACTGTACTCACTGAATACCCTTCAACAATCTCCATATAATATTGGTACAATAAAGTGTTAAATATATAAATGTAAAAATTAGTTTATTTGTTGACTCGTCATCGTTTAATGGCTTTACCAATCACCATCAAATTTGACATACACGTACTATTTGGAATGGGGCAGAATTTTTTTTTGTTTAGTTTAGTTATGTATTTTATTTTTTTATTTCAATTCAATAGTATTTTAACTTTCGAGTACCTAAATGATAAAATTGTACAAGAACCGGACTGTAAATGGCAATAAATATGGACTAACTTAATTAGCCACTCACCGACTACTACGACACAGGCCTGCGAGCACTGTATAATAAATTGTGTACCCGATTTTACATTTTACAAAAATTCTCATCTCCCCTCTTAAGGAGAGGAATTGGCAACTAACCCCCGGCCGACAGTGCTTCGTTCAGGGCCCCAGGGAGAGAAATCGGCGTACAATGCAGGCAGTATCTAGGAGCACCGCTTTTTGCATTTTTCCCGAGAGTGAGCCGCCTCGGAATCCCAACCGTCGGAGATGTTGTTCCAGACTAGTTGACAAGACCGTTCACCGACATAACGATTGGAAATGATTTCGTTGGTTATTATTATTATTATTACATAGACCACTTTACCCCATCAATTAGTATAATCCCTCTCACGCAGTTATAGGGGAAAAAAATAGTCAAATAAAATACCATTTTCCAAATTAGAGCTTTCATTTTAATTAAGGTTACCAACGAACTAATCCATATAATCATAATCAAATTATACCTGTTATAGTCTAGACAAAACCATGTACACGACATTCACGAATTAGTCTAGAAACTTTCAGTTAAATTAGTAAACGAAATTTTGTCAGATACGGTATTTTATCGATTTCGAATGTCGGACCTTGGCACTGAATAAGTTTTGGCTGATGTCACTTTTGCGTGTGTGTATATATGGCATCGCGATCTACATACTAAAACTATTTAAGGTCAAATATAGCAGGGGGATTATAAGTATCTCTTGTATACCTTTTTATTGACTTAGAAACGATCGATTACTTATTCTACGCTTATACCGAGTGGATATGGTAAAATATATTGATATATTGAGCAAAATGCAAATCCTATCAATATGAATGGATGTATATATAGAGAGACTTTGTACAAAAGTCGATTGCTTGGATACCTCTGTCCCATTCGTACAACTTAGAATGCAAACAAGCTGACGGCCCACCTGATGGAAAGTGGTAACCATCGCCTATAGACATGAGCAGTACCATGGACATAACATTGTATACTGTTTCGCCCATAATTTCCCCTATGCATTGCCCTTCCTGAGGACTCAGGTGTTATTCCTCTGTACCCAGTAAATTCACGCCATATCCCACCTTTCAAACCGAAACACAGCCATACAAACACAGCTGCTTCACGGTTGAAACACGAATGGGCCAAGCAATCGACTTTTGTACAATCTCCCTCTGGTAATATATAATAAGCAAAAATTTTGTTATAAATTTATGATGCAAGGCGTAAAAATAACGCCATAAATATCACCACTGTGTACGTTTTTAAACTGCAATTTGTCCATGTCATTGAACCATGAAACACCGTACGGAGGTACCTGGGTACCTAACAAATAAAGAAAAACCAACGCCAGGACATTTTAACCAAAGTCAGTTTCAGGCAAGTTGACAAGGAGTTGATTTATATTGTAGAGCTAAATAAAGAATTTTTTCATTATAAAGATTAGCCTTTATCACTACATAGTTACTAGAATTATATTATCTATGCTTATGTGAACTATCAAATCATAATTCAATTTAGGATGAAAGTTTGAAAAAATATTTTTATACACGTAAACGTGCCTACAATCATTTTAAAGACCGGCAACGCACAAGCAACTCTTTTCGTGTTTTTTTTTATACAACTTAGAATGGTAAACAAGCTGACGGCCCACCTGGTGGAAAGTGGTAACCGTCGCCTATAGACATGAGCAGTACCATGGACATAACGGAGTATACTGTTTCGCCCATGATACCCCCTATGCGTTGCCATTCCTGAAGACTCAGGTGTTATTCCTCTGTATACAGTAAATTCACGCCATATCCCACCCTTCAAACCAAAACAAAGCCATGCAAACACAGCTGCTTCACGGTTGAAACACGAATGGGACAGAGGTACCCAAGCTAGCGACTTTTGTACAAAGTCTCCCTCTGTTCTTGTTGCAGGTATTCATTGTCGACGGTAGTCGCTTTCTATCAGGTGGACTGTCTGCTCGTTTGCCTCACTAACAATAAAAAAAAACGTATTCCAAACCATTTTCTTTGGAGAAAATGTTTGAATATCTTGAATAGAGTCATTGGACTTCTAGTGGGTATATTTTTAAATAAAGTCTTATAGATAATAAATAATACAGCAATAATAATAGATTTTGTTAAAAAAAAAAAACAAAACCAGCACCAATTCCCATCAAGACATAACCAACTCGCCATATTTTGATTTAAAAACTAAACCACGGAAGTAATCTGAAAGTACATAAAAAAAGAACTTTTCAAATCGTTTTATAAATTTCGGAGTTATGATGTAATAAACATAAAAAAAAAACAAATTGTGAACCTTATTAAAAATATTGCATTACTATGAAAGCTGGCTTTCATTTAAAATGCCTTGTAGTCTTACCATACTTAGTACTAAGTACTCTATGATAATTTATAAATTCTCACCAGGATACGCGCGGCGGCATGTAAATTGTCAACAGGGAAATCAGGTAAGCTGACCATTTGCAGTTCAGGGCTGATAAGCGCGTAAGCAGCCGATAGCAGCTGTTCGAGCTTGCTGACATTCACTTGGGGAGCTTCCTCTTTCAGCAAATTCAGGTGTTCCTGTAAATGCAAAGAAACTATTTAGACATCCAACGTGCAGTAGTTTTGTATTATTTTTTCCCGTGTATTTTTCTCAATATGATCATTTCTTATAATTGTTTGTATCTAGAAGTAAAATAAATTTACTACTGTCTCCTTACAGAGGAAACAATAAAGAGTATGTGTCGCCGTGTGGTCCCGGCATAGAATAGGCCACCCCTTACTTCTCGGATGTCGTAAGAGGCAACTAAAGGAACTTAACAGTCGAGGGATGGGCAGCGCCGTCCCTCTTAAAACTACACTAAAGCCTAACTGCGGTTGCCAACCCGCTCGCTAAGCGTGACAACTACTGGTACTGGCAAAACCTCCCAAAAGAAGGCCTATGTTCAGCCGTGGACAGTCAACGGCTGATATGATGATGATGATGATGATTATTGTAGACATCTACGAAAGTATCGGATTTACCAAAATCAAACAAAGTCCTATATCTATATGTGTGTAATGGAAATTTTATGAAATTATTTTGTCTATGGGTTTCGAGAATTACGAGACGAAATTCTGTAACCGTACTCGCCCTGAAGAAGACTTCCAGGTGAAATCAAAACAATTGTCGGAAACAACAAACATAGAAAGTTCACAAAATTCTCATTACGCACTCGTACACATAGATATAGAATTATAGGTATAGAATTCTATTACTTATCTCTTGCTCTAATGTATTGTGCTTTAACCTCATAATCGCCTCATCATCATCATCTTCCTACCCTTATCCCAATTATTATTTGGGGTCGGCGTAATATGGTTTTATCCATATTACAAAAGGATTTAGCTTATAGTTTTACGACCGACCGCCTGCCTGACGTCAACCCTCTTTGGGAATCATGATAATCTCATAGTCGCCTCTGGTAACAGCACAAAATCACACCAACTACTTAATTATCTAAGTGTATTTCTACGTAGCATAACCGTAGACATCTACGAAAATGCTACGAATGTACTCGTACCGTATTGTTACGGCATTTTCGTAGATTGTGTCTACGAAGCTCTACGTACCGTTTGTGTGTATTTTTTATAAGCATTGTTAACGTACACTGATCAATTTCCTTTTACATTATCTTGATAATATTATTACTCAAAAAATTTTTAGTCCACGGTAACTGCTTACCATCAGATGGGTCGTATGCTTGTTTGACACCTCAGTGAAATAAAAAAATCAATAACAAAAATACTTAATATATATATATATATATACAAAGAACAAATTGATAAATTTCTCGTTCCTTTGAATATAGTAGATTAAAAGACGATATTAGTTCCCAAACATTAACATAAACAAAACATTCATGAAACATTTGTGTTGCTTTAATATCTCTAATTTGCATTCAACTTGTACGACCTTCGCCAAATTAATTTAGACTGTTTACAACCGACTGACTTTAATGATCCTGTTATAAATAGCTTACGAGCTAGCGATTTTCCGCAAATTGTAATATTAAACAACATCTTACTAATATTATAACTGCGATTGTTTGTACAGATGTTTGGAGGTTTGTTAATTACGTAAAATATTGAAAAAGACGTAAAAGTAAATATTATCCGGTATAGATCCGGATAAATAGAAGGCAAAAGAGGAAAGGGAAGGCAGAAATAACTACTTGGACAGATAAAGAAAACACTAGGTGTCATGTCGTATAGGAACGTCTTAACCCCACCACATTTGGCATAAAGACGTAAATAGGCTATGTCTTTATTTTTATTTTCAATATTACATCTGGAATCGACTATTTTTGCTCTAGATTTTATTACTTCATTTCAAACTGTTCAGGCAGCGCACGCCATAAGCTGACTCAAATTACATTTATTGTGTTTAATTATTGAAAATATATATTTATCAAAATAAAATGTAGCCTATATATAGCACTACACCTTTATAACAGTGAAAGAACTTTCCAAATTAGATCAAAAGTATCAGAGATTACTCCGAACATCCACTCACTCACAAATTTACCTCTTTATAATATTAGTATAAATAATTAAAATATATTATATTTATACCATATATTAGCCCAATTTATATATCAAACAGTATTATATTTATTTTTGAGTGTAGATGTTCCAGGAATAAAATCCAATTATGATATTTATTCTAAACGTCGCATCACTGGAAATTCTCGAAACAATTAATGTAAATATGTGTGTATTTTTAAGTGTAGTGTGGTTAAGTGTAGTGAAGTGTAGTTAGGGTAGTTTAAGTGTAGTGTAGTTAGACTAGTTTAAGTGTAGTTTTGAAAGTGTTGTATTATATGAATTTAGTATGCAAAAACACAATGTACTTATTCAATGAATATGTCCTGGTCACGTTGACAAAGCCGCTCGACAAAACTAGTCATAAATAAACAAACCACTAAAGTGTCAACTATGCCGCACATATATCATGGATATTCTGAAACCGACAAACAAATACGAAAATAGCGCTATCATAAAAACCCTCGCCCCATAAAACATAAAGGTGTATACATCGAAAACGCTTTTCGGCGTAAAACAAACAACGCAACTGTCTTAAATAGAAGAAAAAAGTATGAGATTTACGCCCCGGCACCGCGCGGCGGGCAAAACACGCGACAGTAAGTGACATAAACTGGGAACTGGGAATGTATTTTTAACAAACTTTATCTATAAGTAACATCAACACGACTGTCTTTTTAACCGACTCCAAAAGGAAGCAGATTCTTAATTCGGTTGTTTTTTTTTGTTGTCACCTCATAACTCCGTCATTCGTAAACCGATTTAGAAGATTCTTTTTTTATCTGATAGAATATGCTTTCATATTGGTGCCATAGAAATTTTATTAAAATCTATTTAGTAGTTTAGTTTTTAGATCAAAACAACTGGTTTTGTAACAATTGAAGTAGGCTCTTTTTGTGAGACACAATCTTTAATTATAAAATCGGTTAAAAATAAATATTCCAATTTACAAGCATTACTTATGACCATATATATAAATATATAATACATTAATATGGGACTCTCTAAGAGCAGACAACTCGAGCGTGATATTCCTAATGTTACAGGCGTCCATAGGCTACAGTAACTCTGTTTTCCATCAGACAAGCCATATGCTTACTTGCCACTAAAGTTGTCTATTTCTCCTTTCATTTAAGTCTTTTTTCTTGTCGGTGCAACTAATTCATGCATTTTCTTTCAGCCTGCTCTATTCCAAGCTATAGCTTTGACTCTTTGACCTCCCTATACGACATAACACCTAACGTACCAAAGTTATATAAAAAATGTCCATATTAATAGATTAACAAATATTAAATAACAAAACTGTATCAAATTTATTTTGTAAAATATTGCATGAAACTCGTAAAATGTCCGTAGTGAATACAACTAAGTAGTGAGTATAAAACCAACCCACTGTAGCCGTAACATGCCATGACCGGGCCCCATTAACTACAGCCCACCAAGGAAACAATTTTCCCGCAATTAATTCTGACAACTTATTAGTAAGGAACCCACGTAATGAACGTTCCAACGAGATAATTATAAAAGTTTGGCACACAGACAATTATGGGACTTGTTGGTCTACAGTTTTACAATGTCTGTATAATTATCTATGGTCTATTCCATTACAACTTATTGAGAATGTAACGTTTATGATTTTTTTTTTATATTTTTATTTTTTATTGCAAAACTTTAGAATTACAAAAAACATGATCTATTAGCATTGAGAAACTACGTAAGTTTATAATAATGCTAAATACATTGAGACTATTTAACTTGTATTAACTACATGCATGAAGTATTTAGAGGTATTATATGTATATTTTTTTATGAATTATGTATAATTACTTCAGTATGTTACTATAATTATGTCACATATTTTTCACCACATCTGCCCTTCATACGCTTTCTGTTTTTACCTAATGGTTAGCTGGTAGGGATATGACATTAAGCTCATCACTTGTTCAAAATTTTTGTTGTGCAATAAAGAATAAATAAATGTAACTAAGTTATCGAATAATTCTCACCGAAAGAATGATATATTCTTTAATGCATTAAAACATACAGTAATAATAAGAATTAGTTTTAATGTAAGCAAAGATGAACTACAGCATGGGGTTCTTCTAAAGGGGAATGAAGAGGTTTCTTCAGGGTCGGCAACGCGCGCGTAATACCCCTGGTATTGCAGGCATTCAAATACTACGGTAACCGCTTACCATCAGGTGGGCCGTATGCTTGTTTTCCACTTTAGTGGTATAAATTCTAAAGCAGATCTCTTCTAGTCAACCTAACAAAGACAGTGGCATAGGAGATAGTGAGTGGGCAACAGTAGAGCAAAACAAAAAAGGAAATTAGTATCTCATCGACCGAGTTCAAAAAGAGAGGGTCGCAATTCGATAGTTTTTTTTTTTACGTTTTTTACCTTATAACTCTGTTAATTCTAAACCGATTTGGAAAATTCTATTTTTATCTGACACGATATGATACTTATAGATTGGTCTCATAGATATTTTATCAAAATCGAATCAACTTTGAATGATTTAATATTGAAATCAAAATAACTGGTTTTGTCACAAAAAAAAAAGTTTTTTTTTAACACAATCTTAAACTATCTAAAACTAAAAGATTCTTTGTCTATCATCAAAAATATTATCTACCACTAGTGAAATTCCTTTTGTCTATCACGTTGGAGTTAGAGTGACACTATCAAACACAGGTATCACTCGTGCTTAGTTTTGTCAGATAGCTGTGACTTTACTGTAGTTCTTAGTTCTGTAGCAATTCTAGTTATTCGTGACTCACCGGGCTATTTACCTACCTAGATAAATATAATTAAATATACCAAAGGACATTATACGAATACAAATCGACTAGTCATTTGTTTAATGTCATTGAAGTTCTAACATTTCTTAATTGGAGAGGACGAGTTATTAGTAATGGGGACTTTATATTGTCCCGTCTGAAAACCATCCTGATTAATTTCCTGATGAATTTGTCACGATGCACCAATTGACCTGACTCATGTTCACATATCACCGAACACTACCTTCATAACGTAACATATACACAAATAGGTGAGGTTGCCATTCCAATTTTAATATCATAAAAAAAATCGCCGAAGTCAATTTCTGGCATTTTAAATTTGATTCGACGGTTAAAAGTAATGCGGTTTACCTCTGGATTTTAAACAGTTATCCCATATTCAAGGTTATCACTAAAAAATAAAAATACAATACAAATAGAAATTTATACAACACGGACAAATACTGGACTCAGTTTTTTTATTTATCCCCAAATAAAAAAAAATTTACATACGCGGAGTTAGAATTTCGCCACGATAAATCTATAATAATACAATAAAAGAGAAGGTTTTGTTTGTTTGAACGTACTAACCTCTGGAACTAACATTCGAATTTTAAAAAATCTTTTTTGCATTTGATTAATTAATTTCTTAAAGAAGACCATTCAACATTGCAATACGACGACCAACAAATCCAGGGGATATAGCTAGTTCTATATTAGTATAGCATTTTGTATAAATCGTGTATCTACCCAAATAGTTCTACTTCCCACCCGTTTCACATAATTTTCAAACTGACAGAGATAGTATCGCTATCAATTCCGCTTCATTACAAAACAAACTTCGGTTCCCCGAAACTACTTATTTGCGGACATAAAACTTAACGTTTCGTGCAAACTAACAGTTCGATTTCCTGTTACGTAAATTATTCGGAACCGTAAGGGAATTTATTATACGCTAATGCTATTAGTAGAACGCATTTCGCCGTGGCCTGTCCAACCCTTTTATTATACAACATCACTCGCCTAATATAATAACAACAAATGGATATGACAATAATCCGACTGTTCCAAACTAAATGTTACCAGTTTTCGAATGTACAACCATATCAAAACTACCTAATATAAATCACGACCACCTATAAAACTGCTAATTAAAATAACAGCGAACTCAATAATCTTGACACTTAATAGATAGCTAGATAGATACTCTTTATTGTTTCTTCCAAAGGATTACAATAGTAAACTTATTATAGATACAAACAATTACAAGAAATGATCACAGTAAGAAAACAATGGGTTACGACAAATGGGACTAAATACGAATTCAAACTTGCTGTTCTGAAATATCGTTTAGAAAAAGTTATTAGATTTTTTACGGGAATGGGCATCAAATGTTATAATAAGATACCGAAGGATATTTTGGGTCTACCTTTTAATAAATTTAATACTGTTCTTAAAAACTAAACAATTAACGATTGCTTCAATTACAAATGTATATGGTGTTAGTCGATAACGGACCGGCTTTTAAATGATCATGAAATTTTAGATAAAGTAGAATTGAATAAGCACACATGTCCGTCAAGTCTCTTGTGGGCTCTTCTTTTTATACTATTCATAAAAATGACGATTTAAATATGCTTTTAAAAAAGTGTATTTAAATAAAGGTAATTTGAATTCGAATCATTTTGTTGTCTGTTTTTTAAGACCCTTTTTCTCAAGTATGTGTGGAGATATCAAGCTAAAATGACTGTTGAGATTCTTGCGGGTCCTTCTCAGCTGATAACAATTTTCAGAATCCAGCAATCATAAATCCAATCAAATAATTTCTTTTACAAAATAATGACAACTACATTCCGTGTGGCCCCAGCATAGAATGGGCCACCCCTTCCTACGTTACCTACGAGAAACGTAAGTAACGTAAGAGGTGACTAAAGGAACTTAATGGTCGACAAATGAGCACCAGCGTCCCTCTTAAAACATTACCAAAGTCTAACTGCGGTTGACAACCCGCCTTCCAAGCGTGGCTCCTGCTAGCAAAACTCCCTTTATGAAGAAGGCCTATATTCAGCAATGAACAGCTAACTGTCGATACAATGATATAATGAAAAAATCAAATAATTTAATTTTAAAACCATTCCAGACAACACGTTACATTTTCCAAATTCATAAGTTAACAAAACAGTAAAGAAAAGTTTGCTGAAGTTCCTAGTTTTTATCAGCTATACTTCATGCGTTTTATACTGTTAAAAGGTTGCATGTAAGTCGGTCCTTACGCGACGATAAAACCGATCCCATTCGTGGAGCTTCTGGCAGTCACACGGAATGCGCCGGTCGATCGTTACGTCTCTACCAAATATTACTACAACCATCTATCGAAATATTCAAGATTGGAATAAAAAATAATAATTTAAAAATGTAATATTATAACCTGAAAGTAAACATTGTATCACGAATTGTCTACACATTTTCGAGCCTTCGCGTTTTGTAGATGGTCCACAATTTTGTAGCGCAACAATGTGTCAATAAACAGGTAAGAATAATGTTTTTTTTTTGCTTCAACAAATTATAATAAAATTGTGTTTCAAAATAAACAAAACTTTGATTGTGGCAAAACAAGTGACTTCATAGAGGTCTTCAATTCAATTGTATTTTTTTCTTTCATGTTTTTTATTTCATAACTCCGTCAGTTCTAAGCCGATTTGTTTTTTTTTTTTTAATGAATGGATGGATATACTCGCAGATTGGTCCTATAGAAATTGGTTTAGTAGTTTAGTTTTTAATTCAAAGTAACTAGTTTTGTCTCACTTGAAGTCGGTTTTTTTTTTTGCAGTGGACAATTAAATTTCATTTTAAAACTAAACTGAATCTATTTTAATAAAAAAAATTCTATGGAACCAATCTGTAAGTACATTCATTCACATAAAAAAAATTCAATTCGATTTATAACTGATGACATTATGAGGTAACAACGGTTGACACCCTATCTATCATTATCACTTCATCACTTCACTACATAGTATAAAACAAAGTCGCTGTCTTTCCGTCCCTATGTATGCTTAAATCTTTAAAACTACGCAACGAATTTTGAAGCAGTTTTTTTTTAATAGATGAAGTGATTCAAGAGGAAGGTTTATATGTATAATACATGCATAATATTGTAGAGAAACACTGATAAATTTAGAAGTTTCTAATGTGATGTGATGTATTGTATACCCGCGAGAAGCCGGGGCGGGTCGCTAGTTAAAAATAATATTATTTGCATTTGTTGATTTCCTTTATAATTTGTAATTGCCTATTTCATAATAAATATTTTTACATTACGTTCAGTAAACCGTTATTATCACTAACGCTTTAAGCATATACATAATTTTTATTTTCATTATCTATTCGCCTATATGTAACATGATTACTAGACAAATAACCTAGATGTATTATTAATTTAACACTTAATTTTGATTATTTCTTTATGATAATAAAATGTTCATAATAAATACTAATAGAAAATCTATTATAAAAACATTTACACTTATAATTTATGCCCCTCGATAGATAAATAAAACAATAATTACAAATCGAAATTAAATTGGAAAAAAAAAATTCAAATACTTAATTTTTAAATTAAAGACAATATTTTTTTCGACGAATTGAGTTGTTATTTTAAATACATAAATTTCAACGAATACAAATTAAATCATGAATAATGAGAGTGAATACAAAATTTAAAAAAAGAATATTTGAAATTAAAATAATTAAAGGATAAAGTTCTGTATATGAACTATAAGAACAAGGAATTACTTAATCTTTGGTTTTTAAGTTATAAAAGTTGCCAGTACGATAACAAAATTAATAACAGTATACAGCCATCTTGAGTCTCTAATAATGCAAGTACATGCTTAATTCCGTTGAGTCATACCCCATTCACGTTTCAATTAATCACGTTTAACGGGGTGCTGATGGGGGAACAATTTACCGAGCAACAGGCCGGAACCAACGCGGATGTAAGCTTCAACGCAATAAAAATCTCTCGTGAAACGTTTAACTTATTATCATGCGCTTTCAGTTGGTTTTTATTTAATGATAACCCATTGGTTTAAAAACATAAAACATATTTGAAATGTCCATAACACGACTACTTCTAAAAAAATCAATTATCATTTGAATTAATAAAATTTTCATCCATTAGTTTCGATTTTTATGAAATAAAATTTGTATTATATATATGTACCCACGGGAAAGGAAGGGGTGGTCCGTTCTATGCCGGGACCACACACCAATCTATGGATATGATCTAAGTTTAATATTGCACAACTGATACATATAACATTGCACTAGTAATCACATTTATATATGTATATACATATTATATGTCGATTGCTTGGGTATCTCTGTCCCATTCGTGTTTCAACCATGGAGCAGTTGTGTTTGCATGGCTGTGTTTCGGTTTGAAGGGTGGGATATGGCGTAGCTTGTTTGCCATTCTAAGTTGTATAAAAATAAAAAATAGCTACTTCTAAAAGAAGAAATGGTTGTCCTCCTCCCTTCTACTTGCTATGCTTAACAGGGTCCATAATTAGAGTTGTTTCAATATCTGCAACCATGGTTTTCATGGGCGAAACAGTATACTCTGTCATGTCCATGGTATCATCATCCATGGTCCATGGTGCTGCTATATATAATGTTTTGTTTATGTTAATGTTTGGGAACTAATATCGTCTTTTAATCTACTATATTCATAGGAACGAGAAATTTATCAATTTGTTCTTTGTATATATATATATATATATATATATATATATATATATATATATATATATATATATATATATATATATATATAGGTGTGTGTATATATATAGCGTATGTACGCTCATTTGGCCTATTTTATTTACATATATCTACGAAACTACGTCCATTATTTAGTACAATAGTTTAGTAATAACCATACAACCGCACGGTGTTACCATGATACTGCACTATTAAATAATCATCGTTTCATGATACTTTGAACTCGATTATTTCTTAGTAATAAGATTCTATATTATGTGTTTCATAAAATCAATAAATGGAATAACACCCTAGTTCTCAGGAATGGCAACGCATGTGGGGTATCATGGACGAAACAGTATACTCTGTTATGCCCATAACTGGCCTGCATTCATCCTCATCTTATAATCTCTTATTAGCATCTCACCAACGTATTCCGATAACACAGTCGGGGTAAGCATTCCATTTTTACCTCTTAAATAAAACAAGTAATTTACTACATACATTAACTTTACGCGAAACACATTCCATTTAACGACCAACGTCTGTTTTATCAAATCGCAGCTCCAGTAAGAAAATCTGAGAAACAAATAAATAAGAATAGAAAAAAGAACATAAAAAAGAACAAACACAAATCGTTACCAACAGAATTAAGAGTAGGACAGAGGTACTCATGGAGATGACATCCAAAAATCTCCCTCTGATAAAACTCAATTACGCTTAAATGACTACAACTTTTAAATTTGTCACAGAAGGATATAATCCTATACTAGCAAAGTCGTGAATTATAGCTAGCTAATAAGAAATACACATTTCATTTAACCATTAATATTCTACTATTGGGCATGGGTACCCATAAATTACCACGGTGACGGTTTGATATAGGGCTGTATATCGAGATTTCCTTCTCTTGCATTTTTTTTATTACAAGATGTGTTTGCACTTGATCTTATTTCACCTGATGGTAAGTGATGGTAACATCTAGGATGGAGTGCGCTTACCCTAAACACACTTATTCATTCATTCCTGTTCACGCATAACTTCATAATTCTTATTTATTAATTTTCTCCTTACATTTGTGTATTGTACCTACGTATTCCTCTTGTACAATATTCTAGATAAGTGAGTAAAGTTGCTGCGTAAATTTCGATAACTCAAAACCTATTTACAAACAAAACTGCACGTAGGTATTAGGAATAATACGTTATCGTGTTTGCTTACAGTAGCCGCAGCAGGATGTGCACGAAACGGAACGCGAATCAATTATGAAGACAAAGCGAACTTTCGCACGCATAAGAGGGCATCGCGTGACTGCATGCGTTAGCATTTAGCTCGAGTGCCCTGTAATATGCCGGCACTCTGGCAGTCATCCCAGGGGCCTATGTACGTGAGGACGATCTGGGTGGATGGCTTCCGGCACGCCATACTCTCACATGACGATCCATACTTAATAAAACTTAACGCGAAGAAGCGACGTCCGCATTCTTCTGCTAGTACAACGAACACGAAATTTACTACGCGGTCAAGGAATTCCAGGCTGAACAGTCACGACGACAGTTTGGAAGACTGCTTGAGAAAATTGGACTTTGTGATAAGGAGCGATAGGTCTCATATTGCGATTCGACCGCAAAGAAAAAACTTATACGACCTCGACATAGAACACTTGAATCTAACGGATATAGAACCAGAGTCTGAAGACGAGTTTATTATAAAGGCGACTCCGCAGCCTCTGAACGAATTTGACAGCTACAGATCCAATACTAGCTTTAATTTGACCATGAAGAATTTGAGACTCAACAGAACGGCCAGGACGGAGGTTAAGGAGAATACTGAGCTGTCTGACAGGGTGTTTCAGTGGTTAGACTTGGCCGGAAAAGTGAATTTGCTTGGCTCTGAAGACGCAGAAAGAATAGCCCAGCCGAGACACAGTTGGCCCGAGATCCAGAGGAGGAATTACAATTTGATGAAGTCTAAAACTGCCGTAGACGTTAGAGGCAAAATCCCTTTGACGAAAGCGTGCGACAGTGAGAAATCACACAGTGGTATTATCGATCGGCACGATTTTTATGTGCCGACGTCGGCGAATACAATTGAGAACTACGCGCGGCAGTCACGGAACATGAAGTGCACGTCACGAAACGAGAGCAATGCGAAAATAAAAGAGACCACCAACAAAACAAAGTCCAGAGAGTTGAGAAACAACATGGCGGAGACACGGCACAAAGTTGCTACGGAACGTAGCGCGGTAGAAAAGCAATACGCTGATTTAGTTAGTAAGAAATTGATACCGGACATTAATAAGAGCACTAAAAAGCAAGTGCACATATTCATACCAGAGGTAGCCAAGAAATTAAATGCAAACATAACGAGTAGAACTGAGAGTCTTTTGTCACAAAAATCTTCAATTGTAAAATAAAGAATTCTGAAAGGATTGAGATGTGATTATTTTATAAAATAGCCCTATCTGATAATTCTAAATGCTTTAACAATCTATAGTTACTATTCACATCGTTGTATTCCACTAAACCGGAGGGTAGTGAATTTACATATGGGTTATGAACAAACCATATATTGGAATATATAATTTATTACTTGTAGCATTAAATCTGCTTTTTGTACCACATATTATTGGTCGATAAAGTTTAAATAAATAAGTAGTAGAGTAGGTACGAAAAATTGAAGTACTCGTCATGATCATCATCATATTAGCTGTTATATGTCCACTGATACCGCCATAAAGAACGAGACCATCTCTTATAGAAGTTTATCATTGGGGGGATTTTGCCAAGAATTACCATGCTTGGCAGGTTGTTTGGTAACAGCAGTTTAGCTTTTGTTGATATTTTAAGAGGGACGCTGATAATCATTTCCCGCCATTAGTACTTGTCATAAAGTTTCCAAAATCTATATTTTTATGATCAAATTTCGATATTTCAATTATATGGAGGATTTTTTTATATTTCTCGTGTTACTTATATGAATATGGACATCTAATAATTATATTATTGTTATTAAAAAGTAAATACTTATAAATAATGTAGGTTTATACCAATTTAATATCTAATAGTAACTCACTATTCAATATGACAAATAAGGTCAATGTTTTTTGTGGCGCAAAATCTACAAATAGTAAAAAACTCACCCCAAATCCAATAGTGGCAACGTCCCTGGCCTGAAACCGAGAGCGTAGGGGCGGATCGAGCGGTTGCCCGCTGTACCGGGGAACCGGCAGACCCAGAGCTATGACTCTGAAATTCTCGTCCACTCTAACCAGACGCCACTTCGATAACTCTTCGGGGCCGTGTTCCTGGTAAAAGTAACATATATTGTGAGTAAGCACTATAGGTTTTTTTTTTCTTTTATTTTGATCATGTAGTATACTGTGACACTCGTATCATGTCAGTCCTCAGGAATAATAGAGTAAGCTCACAGCTTGCCATTAAACCGATTAAGATAAATGAATAAATAAATCTTTATTGTTCCCTTCAGTTAATGATACAGATTATAAAGATATTATACTTTCGTACTGTTACAGAACAGGATAGAACTTGTTTTTTAAAAAACTAAAACTTTACTAACTTTTTAATAATTTAAAATAATTATAAAAAAAAAATAGAATAGTATATCAGTAGATCAATTCAAACTGATGTGTTTTCTGTTGACAGTGTTCATAATGAAGTATAGCAACGTCGCAATTGTATCAATTTTCAAAAATTTCAATGGTTTTGATTGATCATTTGAAAAATGTTGTGCTACGGAACTAAAACGTTAATCATGCAATAATATTAGTTGGCAACGCGAGTGTAAGGTCCCTGGTGTTACAAGAATCCATGGGCAATAATCCCGTTTACCATAATACGGGCCGTATGCTTGTTTTTAATAAAAAAAAAAATCCTCATTAAGTTGTTATTGAAAATTTGGATTTTGATGGCACACATGTATTAAAAAAAATTTCAAAGTATAAAGTAGGTGCAGAGTTGGAAACTTTCGTGAACAATTCTTTCAATTGTTGAATTCGTCACGATGGCCTAACTGACCTGCTCCATCCTCACCTATCATCTCTCGCTGGTGCCTCGCCGGTGTATACCGATGGCGCGGGCGGGGTTACCATTCCATTGTTACCCATTAAAAAAAACTGAATAACTAACTGGTTTTACCACAATCAGTCTTTTTTTAACATTGTGTTTATTATTATCCCGGTCAATCAACATATCCCAGTGACGCAGACAAAGTCAAGAGCAAAATCTAGTAATTAATAAAAACACTTACCTCTAATAGTTTATCATATCTGGATGCGGGTACTAAAAACCTTCCGTCTTCTAAATGCATCTCTCTATTCTCCAATAAATTGTTCAATACTGGCAACACATTACGCTCTGCCTTCTCTATGCCTTCAATAACCAGTACTCGGCCTTTTATAGCTGCGCGCACCGCACTCTATTGACAAATAATATAAAAGGGCTAAATGTATAATTAAATCGTATTTAAATGTATAAGGGCAATATAATAATTCTTAAAAACAATATTTTTTAAGAATTTTTGTCTGTGTGTATGAATGTTAATATTTTACTAGAAACTATCTTGCAGAAGTCCATATCAATTATTAATTTATTAGAATTATTTTGTTTTGGATGATTGTTCACGCATTACACAAAAACTACCGCACCAAATTGGATGCAATTTTCACAATAGTGCACCTGAAGATCTAACTTAAAGTTTGTGGTACCATTTACTAATTTTACATCATATATTTTTATAAAAGTAATCAATAAATAATAAATAGTAAGTACCTGGTCAAAATATTTAGCTGTAGAGCTCTGAATCTCCCTCCGCTGCTTCAGATCTGCTTCTGTAGTGTCCCGGGACAAAGCCACATACTCCAGCTCCCGCTGTGTGAGCTCCAGGTACTGTAGAGCAACTTTTCTCCTGTCATAAAAACATACAATTTTTTAACACATATTAAATCACAGATTTAACATATTTCATGATAGTATCAATAATAAAATTACTCCAAGATAAAACATACACAAAATTTTTAATTAATCCTTCTGGAATACAATTATGAAAAACACCTTTGATTTTGTGCAGTAATTTATACATGATGGTGAATCAAACATACATATAAATAAACAACAAGTATAAAAATTATTATTTAGGCTACTAGTACTATGGTTATTTTTTTTTATACAACTTAGAATGGCAAACAAGCTGACGGCCCACCTAATGGAAAGTGGTAACCATCGCCTATAGACATGAGCAGTACCATGGACATTACAGAGTTTACTGTTTCGCCCATGATACCCTCCATGCGTTGCCATTCCTGAGGACTCAGGTGTTATTCCTCTGTACCCAGTAAATTCACGCCATATCCCACCCTTCAAACCAAAACACAGCCATGCAAACACAACTGCTTTATGGTTGAAACATGAATAGGACAGAGGTACCCTAACAATCGACTTTTGTACAAAGTCTCCCTCTGGTATATAATATTTTTTTTAATATCCCCTATATCATTTTCTAGAAAGAACTTTATTAAACTAATAAGATTAATAAAAATTAATAGTGCTGCCACATAGCCACCTCATCGTTTCCTGTGGGTGTCGTATGAGGCAACTAAGCTTAAAATTAAAGTAAATCTAAAAATAAGGGAATTTAATGATTAAGAGATGGGCAGCAGCATTTCTTTTAAAACACCACTAAAGGCTAACTGTGGTCACCAACCCACCTGCCAAGAATGACAATTAATGGCAAAATCCCCCTTATGGGGGAGGCCTATATTCAGCAACTGATATAATGATAAATGATAGTGCAACATTACCTTCCAGGTCCAGGTCTTCCAAGCAGGAACATGTCCTGACCAAGTAAATCCTTCTGCATCATCCATCTCAAATTTCTGAGAGTACTCTGTGATAGTGACTTCAATTCAGAATTATCCAGAGTCACTGTAGAAAAAAAATATGGACATAGAAGATAAATAAATTTCAATTTTATGTAATTTCAGTATATTATTAATATTTAGTTTCTATATCACCTGGACTACTCATTATTTCTGTTTGCTTTTTAAGTAACAAAGCTATTCTGAAATTGTTTCTAAATAATTACAGATTACTTTTAAATATTTACTTAAAAAAGAATAGCACAAAAGAATAAACAATTCCAAATTATACAGAGTAAGTACATATACAACATAATATACTTTTGTTATACAAAGGATCTACCTTTAAACTTCATAAAATTAATATAGAGCCAATATACAATTAAATGATTTTGATAAAAATGGAATCATGAATATTGTTTCAAATTGACAATATAATACAGTTAAATTTAATACTTTATCTTAATTTAAAAATTTATTTAAAAATTCAAAATTTTATGAAAGTAATAATATTAAAAACTAATAAGTATGTATCTATCTAAACTAATATTACTTATATAAAGAGAAAAGATTAATTTTTTTGTATATAATGGTGTTCAAGATTAGACATTATAGTTGTTTTAATAAAAGTTAAATTTTTCGCACTTGCAATATTAGAACCATAGATATAGACCGTTTAACCGCTAGAAGGTCAAACATTCAAATTTTGTTAACGGATAGAACTACACGCACTTTTGTATTTATTTTAATTTATTATAAAACTTGAGGCACGGACAAGCATTTCATTTCAACCAAAAGCTTCTCACCTTCAAGCGCAAACATACGTGTTTTGGACCTTCGTTGCCGAATAATAATACGAAAAGTACGAGTCAGCGACCATTGGATTCATCGTATGCCAATTCATCATACAAGTTTTGGACTACGAGAAGTGAGAAGACATCTAGTAAGGATCGAGGTTAAGGCGTCGGAGGAGCAGCAGCAGACAGCAATCGTCCATAAGCGCATTCCGGAACGGTCTGCCATCCTCCCTAACCCCATCTCCTTCGCTTCAATTGTGTCACACCGTGAGTGCACTGCAATGTTTCCACCAATAAGTCACAGCAAGGTCGAATCACGTCTACTAAGAAATCGTGTTTAATGTGTAACGCTGATCATCCACTTTATTCATGTCAAACATTTTTGGACACTAACTTAGACGCTAAACTGCAATTTATAACCGCAAATAAATTATGTGAGAACTGTTTACGTCCAGGGCATTCAGTTAGTATGTGCAAATTTGGACCTTGCAGACTGTGTTTTAAAAAACACAACACGCTTATTCATAATAACGTGACTGATCGAGTAGCGGTCGTATCAATGCATCTAGCCGACAACGAAACCCCGGGTTCTAGTCAAATGACCCCCGCGACCGTCGCACCGCCCGCGCCGTCCATCCCCGCGCAAATTCATTCGTCTCGAGTAAACAGTGCACACATAGATAATTCTAATTTAATTCACAAACAATCTACTATGCGACCCGTTATATTGTCTACAGCTATAGTCGAGATAGCCGATAGGTACAATAAGTTTCACTTAGCACGCGCGCTTCTCGACTGTGGTAGTCAACATTGTTTTATTTCTAAACCACTATGCGATTTAATTAATATAAACTTAATACAGTCCACTTGCGAAATTCGAGGTGTCGGCAACACAGTAACAACGTCATCACAGATATGTGATATCGAGATCAAATCACGCATTGAAAATTACTCCGCACGCATTAAATGTTTTGTGTTGCCGCACATTACATCTACGCTACCTACTGCTATGTATAGTCAACGCGCGCAGTCGTTTATGATACCTGACTATATACAGCTGGCTGATCCACAATATTATGAATCTCAAAATATTGATATTTTAATAGGCGCAGACTTATTTTGGGACTTATTATGCGAGGGTAAAATGAGATTACCCAATGGACCCTTTTTACAAAATACAAGGTTAGGTTGGATTATTTCAGGGCCTATTGAGTTTAACACGCACAATATCAATACGTCTGTCCAATGTAACTTCACTCAATCTATTGACACTCAGTTACGACGGTTTTGGGAGTTAGAAGAGGTGCCTAAAACTAGTGACATACAGACTGACGAAGAACGCTCTAGTGAGGAAGCTTTCATTCGTACTACCACGCGCAATAGTGACGGAAGGTTTTGCGTCAGCTTGCCACTGAAACAGTCGCCATCTGTTTTGGGTGAATCTTTGTCACAAGCTGAACGTCGTTTTTTGGCACTAGAGAGGCAATTAGAACGTAATTCTAACTATAAAAAAATATATTTTAAATTTATACACGAATACATCGAATTAGATCATATGACGCGAGTAACTTTATATGGAACCCCACACTTCTTTTTACCTCATCACGGCGTGTATCGTGAGCACAGCAGCACAACAAAACTTCGCGTGGTGTTCGATGCGAGTGCCGCCACAAGTAGTGGAGTGTCTTTAAATGACATTCAACAAATCGGACCTCCAGTGCAGGGTGATTTAGTTGACATTTTGCTTCGTTTCAGACAACATAGGTACACTGCTTGTGCAGACGTCGAAAAGATGTACAGGCAGTGTCTCCTAAACGAATTACAACGCGATCTCCAGTTGATTGTGTGGCGTGACAATCCATCTGAACCATTAGGTATTTATCAATTAAACACGGTAACGTATGGGACAGCCTCCGCACCGTTTCTTATTGTTAGGTGTCTAAAGCAGCTGGCACTCGAATGCAAGGTCTCAGAAGAAGGACTCTTCTATTTAGTACAAAAAACTTTTGTACAAAATAGAACGGCAGAAATATATGAGTTGGGGAAGGAACTTCCATGGAGTCATGTCAGTGGGAAGGAAAACCCAGCTGATCTGGTCTCGCGCGGTGTTCAGATGGAGGACCTTTCATCTTCTACTTTATGGTGGGAAGGCCCATCTTTTCTTCGTCACACTAACTTCAGTTGCAATAATGTACCGTTAAATTCATTTGACTCTCAGCAACTATTGCCTGAGCTGAAATCCAGTGTGACGCATTCCTACGCTACTGATCAAGACTGCGAACGTACATTATTTCCATTTGTTAGATTTTCTCAATATAGTCGCATGAGACGAACTGTCGCGTATATACAACGTTTTATTCATAATACGCGCAATAAAAATACTCAACGGTCAGGTACTCTCACTGTCGATGAATTGAGGGAATCTGATATAACTTTGGCTCGACTGTCTCAACTAGAATCGTTTCCAGATGAGTATAGGTTACTCACAAATAATAGTACTCTAGTTAATAAACATAATTTGTCTAAATTAAATTTATTTATTGATAAAAATAAACTAATTCGTGTTGGTGGTCGGATTGTAAATTCTCCCGACTTTAATTTTGATAAAAAACATCCGATTTTAATTTCATCTAAACATATTTTCTCCCTACTACTATTCAGACACGAACACAAGCAGTTGTTGCACGCAGCTCCACAGGCGCTTCTTTATAACTTACGTGAAACGTGGTGGCCAATTGGCGGTAGAAACTTAGCAAGGAAGGTTGTTTATGATTGCATTATTTGTAAACGCTTGAGAGGTATGACCCCTACTCCCCTTATGGGAGATTTACCAAAGGAACGCTTAACTTCGGGCTTTCCTTTTATGCGTTCTGGGGTGGACTACGCCGGACCAATACTCATACTTAATCGTAAGGGTAAAGGTGCTAGGACGACAAAATGCTATGTGTGCTTATTTATTTGTTTTGTAACGCGCGCTGTACATTTAGAACTCGTCAGTGACTTGTCAACAGATGCATATTTATTAGCATTAAAGAGATTTATATCTAGGCGTGGCAAACCATGTGAGATTTTTTCTGATAATGGTAGAAATTTTGTTGGATTGATGAATGACTTTAAACATTTTTTAGCTAATTGTTCGTCACAGATTATAGAATATGCCACGGCTCAGAATATTCAATTCACATTCATACCGCCTTATGCGCCTCATTTTGGCGGATTATGGGAAGCTGGAATTCGGTCCTGTAAGAATATTTTACGTCGTATAGTAGGAAACGCGCACTTAAACTACGAGGAGTTCAGTACAGTGTTGACACAAATTGAAGCGGTCCTGAACTCCCGTCCTTTAAGCCCTATGTCCTCAGATCCACAAGATTTGTCGCCTCTTAGTCCAGGCCATTTTCTGGTGGGACGTCCACTTACTGCGCCTGCTAGTGATGACTTCACTGAGACGCCTGTTCATCGACTGACACGTTATCAACGAGTTGAGCAGATTCGACAGCAATTTTGGTCCCGTTGGGCGAAGGAATACGTGTCAGAACTTCAAATAAGGACTAAAGGAAGGAAGAACACACTTCAACTGCAGCCTGATATGCTAGTAGTTATTAAGGACGACAACCTACCGCCGCTAAAATGGCATCTCGGTCGAATAGTGAAGATCTTCCCTGGCAAAGACGGCATCACTAGAGTAGCCGATATTCGCACATCGTCAGGTGTCGTGAGACGCGCTTACAGCAAGATATGTCCCTTACTTGATGACTAATTCTAGTGTTGTAGTTTTAAAATTGAAAGCTGAAGCTTCCAAGGCCGGGGGCATGTTCAAGATTAGACATTATAGTTGTTTTAATAAAAGTTAAATTTTTCGCACTTGCAATATTAGAACCATAGATATAGACCGTTTAACCGCTAGAAGGTCAAACATTCAAATTTTGTTAACGGATAGAACTACACGCACTTTTGTATTTATTTTAATTTATTATAAAACTTGAGGCACGGACAAGCATTTCATTTCAACCAAAAGCTTCTCACCTTCAAGCGCAAACAAATGGATAAACTCAAAAAATACTTTATTAATGTTAATTATTCTTTTACCTAATGAAAGCGACATTATCAGTGAGTAATTAAAGCTATTTTTTACTTTAAAAAAATTTAAGATCAACCATACCATGCTGGAGCAGGTCGCTAGTATATAAATAAAGGATACAAAACATTGTTATGAAGAATTATAAATATATGGAAGAGAGTCTACAAGATCGTCAGCAGCCACCTTTCACATTCACATTTTGCCACCCTTACTAATAGTAAATTAACACTTGTATAAAATAAATCAAAAAACATAATATAGCTGTTGCATATCATATAGTTAAGAGGCCTAAGGGCATCCACTAACCAAGAGCTGAGTACAAAGTGTATTTTAAAGTAATTACATGCGATTCTAAGGTTATGAAAACAAACTTTAAACCATGCACTTACAATACTTTCTAGGAACATATTCCACCTTTTCTGCACCTTTGATCTCCTTGGTAACATCTCCTATAGTAACTTTCTCTTCACTAGAGTAAGCCCTTACCAAATTAGCACTTAATATTGCCTTACGACCGTTCACTATACGTATCAAAACATCAATTCGTCGAATTGTCACTGCTGGATTATACATTATAGTTTACATGAAATAACTTTCTAAATACACATAAAAAAACACACCTAGCTTAACTATTACTTAATTTAATACTTGCAACTCATGACATAAACTAAATATGACTACTTATTATAATAATTGATAAATAATCCGCAAGTCCAAAGTCTAAATAAAACGCGACAAGATGTCAAGGTGACGTTACTCTCAGCTGATTTGTTTAGGATACGTTCTCGAGATTATATTTCTTGCATTACGTTCTAACCCTGTTTAAATTTATAATGAACTATATTTTTAAAATTGAAACGATTTTGATGAGGCTGTAAAAATGAAACACCGTCGAAAAAAGACTCAATATAATACAGGAAATAATTATTTAAAACTGTTTTTCCTCAGTGAAAGTTTATATTTCAAAATCAAATGTAAAGTTTACATCCTTCAAAGGTCGCTTGAAATATTTGTTAAAATCGATATTTTAAGGTGAAAAATTTAGGTCTTTAAAATACTAATAATATCACCAAAACGCAATTATATAATAACAATTTAAGATCAAAGGTCAAGGTTGTTTTTAAAAGTCAGGTGCTTAAAATAAAAAAATAATAATATTTAAGGTCAAAGGTCAAGTCAATCATACTTGACTCATTGAAATCACGCAACATATTTTTCATAATCTTTTTTGCAATTTATTGTCACACCCTACAAGATATTTCTATTAATTTTACCACTTCCGTTATTTTGTTTACATATACAGATCAATATACAGACAGACGAAACTCACTCCATTGTTTATAATATTCAAATTATATCTAAATTATTAGATAAATCGTTTTTATCGCACTATGATAACATATTAGTACCTATTTATTTTATCTCAGTTTAAGGTTCACATACTGCTAGTGCGTTGCAGATCTTTGACTGCCGTACTTCGATTCAATTCGCTTATAAACGCGGTATCAATATATTTGTATATACCAGTGTTTTTATACGTACAACGGTGACAATCAAATAAACAGTACCTGTGATGGTTAGCAGGCAGGTTACGTACGAACACTGCAATTCCAGATGGAATGATTTACGATTTGTAAATTCTTGTGACATAAAATCTTTAGTAGTACCCAGTAATTTAACTGGCGTCAATTAATTTACTGATTAATTAATTAATTTCATTATTTTACATTTCAAATCAAAATAAAATATGTAAGCATAGGAATTTTAAGAGACCAGAACTTAGTAAAGAATCTCTCTCTTTTAATTAGCATTTCATGGTTGGTAGGTATGATATATATCTAATCCTTACTAATATAAATGTGAAAGTGTGTTTGCTTGTTACGTTATAGTACCCTAACGGTATGACCATGGGGAACAGGGATTGTTAGTAATGATGTTTGACAGCCCCATTGCTAGCAATATGCCTTATTAGGTCGACCTCCAAGTGGTTCCCTGGTTCCCCCTGGAAACCATTGTGAACAATTCTTGTTGAATTCGTCACGATGGGCTAACTGGCCTACTTCATCTCCTCGCCTATCATCCTTCACTGGTGCCCCGCCGGTGTATACCGATAGCGCGGGTGGGGTCACCATTCCATTATCATCCATTAAAAAAAACGGTATAACCAATGACTACTCTATTATGTCCATGGTACTGCTCATGTTTATAGGCGATGGTTACCACTTTCCATCAGGTGGGCCGTTAGCTTGTTTACCATTCTAAGTTGTATAAAAAAAAGACTATGAAATTTGATATTCACGTAATAACACGTACTATATGGGTTTGACAAGGATATTGGCTACTTTTTATTCCGGTCACGTGGACGACATCGCGGGTAAAAGCTAGTAATAAATAAAAAACATATTAGTATTACAATATATTTATTGAGATGTAACATCATACTTCTAACAGTTATTGCAATTATATATACAAATAAAAATATATATATTTATACAAAATAATCTAGAAACAAAAATATACATAACAAACTTTTTTATGACTACAATTTATCGATTTTGACTTATGTAAAATCAATATTAAAGCTTAGGAATAGATTCATTACTAATAACAACAGTATTTCTTATTGCACAATAAAATTATAAAAAAATTGTGCAACCCTATCATGATACTTTACGCCAAATACTCTAACCAAATTAATTTGATTATTAAATTGTATATAAAATAGGGGTGGGTAATACATATATAGCAATATCTGTATATTTCAGTTACAATATCTATATATTTCGGCATAGAGCTTCCACAGCACGGGATGGTAGGTGGTACAGAATTACCTTCATCCATAGTGGAGTATACTGATCCATTAAGAAATATGTTAAAAGTCTGTTATCCAAAAAAAATATTGAATAACAGACCCTTAACACGTTGAAAAATAGATAAATAGATATCCGACCTATATAGGTGATATCGAAATGGGTGATGAACTTTATCCGCCATAAATCTCCAGAGGACCCAATATATAGATATGAATCGGTATCCATATTTTTTTATGGGTGATAATGAAACGGTAACCCTACCCGCGCTATCGATATACACCGACGGGGCACCAGTGAAAGATGATAGGTGAGGATGAAGCAGGCCAGTTAGCCCATCGTGACGAATTCAACAAGAGTTGTTCACGATGGTTTCCAGGGGGAACCACGTGGAGGTCGACCTGAGAGGGCATATTGCTAGCAATGGAGCTGTCAAACTCCATTGCTAACAACCTCTTTCCCCCCGGTATCCATATTATCCAAGCCTAATAATATGATACATAATATGTATACATTATGTATCATATATACATATTTCGTAATAAGCAAAATGATGCCGTTTCTGAGACGCCCTTTCTCTAAATATCTCTTAATCTTATATTTTAAATTCATTATATCGCGTAATTACTGTTTTATGGACCATTAAACACTTAAATATATATTAATTTTGACTTCAATCTATTAGAAAACTGGTTCATATTGGTCTTTAAAATAAAAATTTTGCTGTGATATTAATTTTTTTTATACCACTGAGGTGGCAAACAAGCATACGGCCCACCTGATGGTAAGTGGTTACCGCAGCCTATGAACACCTGCAATACCAGAGGCATTACGCGTGCGTTGCCGACCCTGAAGAAACCTCTTTACCCCCCTTTTGAAGAACCCCATGCTGTAGTCTCGTGGGAAAACCTCGGCAGGGAGCTCATTCCACAACCTGAGTTCAATTGAAATTTTATCTGTGGAGATAAGTTTAGAGAAATGGCGCCTTAGTATCGACATTCCAAACAATATTAATATATATGATGATATAATATCATTCCCATGTGTGCCCCGGCATAGCATAGATCATCCCTTCCTTTCCCGTGGGTGTCGTAATAGGCGACTAAGGGAGGGCCAGGGATGGACATCAGCGTCTCTTTTAAAACATCTCCAAAGCCTAACTGCGGTTGCCAATCCGCTTGCCAAGCATGGCAACTACTGGCAAAACTGCCCTAAGGGGAGGCATACGTAGAGCAATGGACAGTTAAAAGCTGGTATGATGATGATGATAGAAGCCCTACTGTTCACTGTTGAACATAGGGCTCCCCCTTGGGGGTTTTGGCAGTATTACTTGGATTACCAGTTTAGTTGCCTTGCTCGGCAGGCGGGTTAGCAACCACAGTTAGATTTTGGCGATGATGATAGAAGCCCTACTGTTCACTGTTGAACATAGGGATCCCCCTTGGGGGTTTTGGCAGTATTACTTGGGTTGCCAGTAGTTGCCTTGCTCGGCAGGTGGATTGCCAACCACGCTTAAGACTTTGGTGAAGTTTTAAAAGGGATGCTGCTGCCCATCCCTCGACGATTAAGTTCCCTTAGTCGCCTCTTATGACACCCACGGGTGAAGAGTGGCATATTCTATGCCGGGACCACATGGCAATATTAATCAATGACAACATTTAGGGTAGAGATAATCAAGTCAACAACGGCGATGGTGAATTCAAAATCAGAACAGGCATTTTTACAATTCATTTCATCATGGTGCAATATTGTACGATTTTATCGCCACGATATAATAGGAGAGCAAAATGAATGCAGTTATATGGAGACGCTGTTAATTTACCACGATTATATCGTGGATATCAATAGAAATTTAAAAGTATATGTATAATTTGTAACTACATTTTTTTTTCCTATTATATTAATTACAATTCAATATTTTAGTAAACGTGCAACTGTTTTTCGCTTCTTGTAGTTCTCGTCAAATTGAATTTGACGTGCCAACTATATTTATAAGATGACCACATGCTTATACATTTAGAAACTAGTATCGAACGCACACATACAAGTTACATGTATGTGTACGTACGTACTGTATTCAGATACATCTATATGTGCATTATATCGATTCCGTTTTCTATGTATACAAAAATACTGCTGACCAAAACGATTCTCCCGATAGATTCGTCTATACCTTGTTTAGAGGGTTGTTTCGCTACTTCTAAGTGTAAACGACTATAAGCATATATTTTTTTGCTACTAGTACTATCTACACACAGTAATATATTTACTACACTTTCAAAATGTAGGTTGGTAATCAGACCACTCCCACTAATAAATCTCTTGTCGCTTCAATTGTAATTGAATTGAAATTTGACGTACAAGCAGTGTTCTGGATGGAGAAGGACAAGTTGGCACTGCAATTATTAATTTATACCTTGAGAATTTGTATTGAATGATTTATTGAATTTGTGTTGTATTAAAATTATATTAAATTTTCCCCTATCACGACTCACTGGTATCAAATAACGCAGGCGAGGTTATTGATTACCGTTCGCGGGTACCATTGCCAACATTATTACCCTTTTAAATAATACCTCCAACTTAAGTTTCCTCATCTGTGTTTTCATCCATGTGTTCGATCTTCACACTCACAAAGTCAGTTGGCTCCAACTCCTCATTATCACTTGGCTCTTGCTTTATTGTCTTATTTTTTACAAACTCATTACTAGCACCTCCATCGCCATCTTTGGATTTCTCTTCATCTTTACCATCATCGGAATCATCGTTGTCGCCGTCACCATCATCATCATCATCATTATCGCCGTCATCACCATCGCCATCGCCATCATCATTATTCGTGTTAGTTTTTGAACTTTCTTTGGGTAAATTAAAGTCTTTAGCTATGGTAACAAAATTTCCCATTAAAATATCTTTGACGATTTTCTTTGGTGGTCCAAATATATTGGTCATGACTTCCTCGTCCAGGCCCAATTCACACTCTCTCGGATCCATTTTCTTGTAAAAGTCCTTTATATTCACAGCAGTGTCTTTGATTCCGTGACGTTTACGAAGGTGTTTCACAATCGTTCTTCTCACGGCATACGATTTAGGGCAAACTTTACACTACGAAAGAAACGACATTAGATTAAGATTGAGAATTTCTCAAGTGATTTTGAAAAAACAGAAGGTTCTCTCTCTTCTCTTTCGTGTGAATGTTACGCAATATATTCCCCGATTCTGATTAGATATCTTTTTTTTAGTCACTAAGATTTATTTTTATTTATTTATAAATATGTAACAACAATAATTTTATTTTACAATTTACTAATATGCAAGAAAGCTGAACAGCTTTATGCGCATATTGGATTCGTTTCCGTGCTTTAACTAAATAAATGAAAGCAATCGCCTTAATAATTTATATCACTGAACAGTTATTATTGTTTGTAAACTGACTAGAACCATTTCCTCTTAACAAATTTTGCTGAAATTTTGCATGTTTAGTTCTTGTGACGATAAAATATTCAATACTTACACGAATAATATTGTGATATTCAAAATGGCCCCTGTTAATATAATTCTCAAAATATAAAAGAATACTCATTAAGAGAAAATGAATGACATTTAACATTCTTAAACTGTCACAGCGACAAGAAGCTTGTTAAATAAAGCTTGTTTTTAAATTATTAAAGACTTGTCACTAATGGGGCATTGTGATGATATGAACTCACTCTATACGTATTGATGGAGCTGTGTGTGAGCACGTGGTGCCGCAGGCCGGCCGTGCTGCTGAGAGACTTGTTGCAGATGGGACAGGAGAAATGCGACCGCGTGTGCGTCGTGCGCAGGTGACGCAGCATATATCTTTCATCTTGGTACGTTTTTTCTGGCGGAAATTGAAATTATGTTTTTTTTTTTTTAATAATACTTTATATTAGCGTCAGGCGAGTTGACAAGGGTTGGCAAAAAGACAAATAAGTAAAACAAATTTCAATGCAAAATAAAAAAATTATGGCGCCTTTTGAGAAGCGCAAGAGCAGGGTTGCAAGATTAGATTTCTAAGAATCAAATACTAATTTTATATTATATAACAATAAAAGCTTTCTTAATGTTAAAGAAACAGAAGTAAATTAATCAGAGCTACCTAATTTAATTTAAATTCAATATTTGTGATACTCACCACACAACGGGCATTTAACAGATCCTTTCCTAGCTTGATGGATCTTCATATGTTCACGAAGCGAGCACGCGCTTGTAAACATTTTCGAACATATTGGACAAGTTTCCAAATCTGAAAAAAAAAATCAGTATATTTATTAGTTTAAAAATTGTATTTTTTTTTTTCTTACATTAAATTTATTTAGATACTTGTACAGGGTACTAAAAAAAAAAACATTAACGACATTAATTTTACTCCAAGTCCATGACAGGCTATACAAATAGAAATAAATATATATTTATAGTTTTTTCAAAAACTGCTGACATTCTTAAGGACTATGGTGTTGTGCCTCTGTACCCTGTAATTTCACTGCTACATCCTACCCTTCAAACCGAGACGCAGCCACAGTTACTTCACAGCAGTAACATAAATGGAACAGAGGTACCCATTCAGAGGAATTTTGTATAAAGTGTCCCTCTGGTAGACCTTGTTTTCTCAAAAACAGCTATAACGATTTTGACTTAATTCGACAAGAGATAATTTTCAAGTACAATTGATGTCATTTCAAGGAAAATTCCATTTAGACAGACATGAATATTAATTAATCACAAGAGTTACTTTCTCCCGTGTGTTTTCTTATATGATACGTGAGTTTCGACTTCTGAACAAACGTCTGACCGCAGTACAGGCAAGCATACGAAGTATCTTTTGAATGAGTTCTGTAAAAGAAAAAAAAAGTAACATTAGCAGTCTTATATTTTTTTTTAATGAGTGATAATGATATGGTAACCCCGCCCGCGCTATCGGTATACACCGGCGGGGCACCAGTGAAGGATGATAGATGAGAATGAAGCAGGTCAGTTAGCCCATTGTGACGAATTCAACAAGAATTGTTCACAATGGTTTCCAGGGGGAACCACGTGGAGGTCGACATGATAGAGTGTATTGCTAGCAATGGGTTCATTAGACCCCATTACTAACAATCCCTTTCCCCCCAGCAGTCTTATATTACAGAGCGATCTAATCCCAGACTAAGCAGAACTTCTATTATGAATACTAAAAAAACTGACAGACACTGTGAACCTCACCTGTACTGTAGACGTATGCTGAAGGGATACCAGTGCGGGTAGATTGGTAAGGATGAAGTTTATCATGATAGTTTTTAATCATCAAACCAGTTTCCTAATAGACCGCATGGAGGAATGGACGTGCGTGTAAAAGCGTGGGTACGTGCATATCTGTACATACATACATATGTGTACAAATACGGTACCTCGGTACCTCTAAATTAAATTACCCTAATAGTGGAAATTACCCTAATAGGGTATATAACCATCGTAATTGAATACTGATGAATTAGTGACATTGGGCTTAACTGACAATATTTTATCCTTATCTATCATGCATCATCCGGTAATCAGCATAAAAATCTAGTTTAGGCGCGATTACTATTGCATTTTTATTATTAAAAAGTATCCTTTCTAGGTAAAATACCGCTATATAAAAAAACTACAGTCAGTCACTTAGCATCTTATTTTGTATATATAGATTTTGAATACTGGTACCTTACATTATATAGATAGGACATCGATGCTTAAAAACGGGTCAACTTTTTGTTAGCTAATTATGAAATTAGCTGACTTGTTTTTTTTATCAGTGTTCATTTCATACTTACGCATACAATGTATATTGACGTATTATATAGAAAATAAAGTGAGTATTTACGCATTAAAAAGATGAAGATATAAAGCAATCACTCATAACTATTTATCACGCAAAATTGTATATAAAAGTTGAGCCGCTTTTCTCGAAGCATTTGTATGGAGACACTCTATCTAATAACCTAAGTCTGGTACTACATGCACTTTTTAATGGGTGATGATGGAATGGTAACCCCGCCTGCGCTATCAGGATACGCTGGCGGGGCACCAGTAAAGGGTAATCGATGAGAATGAAGCAGGTCAGTTAGCTTATTATGATGAATTCAACAAGAATTGTTTATGATGGTTTCCAGGGGAACCAAGTGGAGGTCGACCTGATAGGATGTATTGTAAGCAAAGGGCTAATTAGATTCCATTACTTACAATCCTTTTCCCTCCACTACATGATAGTTTTTTTTTTTTCAATGGGTGATGATGGAATGGTAACATCGCCTGCATTATTGGTATACACCGGCGGGGCAGGATGAAAAGACAGATCAGTTCGCTCATCATTATGAATACACTTGGAATTCAGCACTTGGAGTTTCCAGGGAGAACCACGTGGAGATCGACCTGATAGGGTGTATTGCTAGCAATGGGTCTGTCCCCAGTACAAGGTGGTGTAGCCGCTATACATGGCGGGCAGCAGCACCTGGCGTGCGAGGTGCAGGCGCCCTTGTCGGCGAAGGTGCGCGGGCAGTGCGGGCAGGCGTAGGGCCGCTCGCCGGTGTGGCGGCGCTCGTGGCGCAGCATGTTGGAGCGCTGCACGAACCGCATCGGGCAGTACGAGCACGCGTGCCGCGGGCCCTCGTGGATCTGCACGTGCTCGCGGAACGAGTCCTTCTTCTGCAAATCATTAAGCATAAATACCATAAATAATTCTTGCAGTACTGAAACCACATAACAGTCATTGATATTATAAAATTTATAAGTCATCTACACAGGCATCTACTGCGTTTACCCGTACGTGGTCGCCACTCAAGAACCTTTCTTCCCCATAGGTTGACGGTTCTTTGAGCTAAATGACCAGCCCATTGCCACTTCAGCTTGCTCATCCTTCGGGCTATGTAGGTATCACAGTAAAAAAATATTAAAAAAAAAACTTGAGACATAATAATAAACCTAAAACAGCACTAAAAACATAGTGTTCTTAACCAAATTTTAGAACATATTTTTAAACTATACTATCGAGAGGTCTTTGTTATAAGATATTATTATAAATTTTATAAAAATTAATATATTTAAACATAATTTTACATTTACAGAATGTATTCTATTTCACTTGCATCTCACTTGTAATAACTTTTTTTTTTTTTTTATTTAAACATGGAACATTTTAAAATGTGGTATTAAGTTTTTTGTATATCAAAGACCAGTGTTTTTTTTTTTTCATTTATTGTGACTTTGGCGAAAGCCATCAGCCAAAAAGTAACAATTACAAGGTAACAATATAAAATTACAAGACAAATTACAAAAATTATTATAGTTATAAATTAATTATAATATACTAAGAAAGTAAATTAAGTAGAAAAGTATAAGTTACAATTACATATTTAAATTTCACCAATTGTTGAAGTAATATAATTAAAAATTTCTTGATACAAAATGGTATGTTTTAGTAGATCCTGCACTGAAGTAGGAATATTTTGACATTTTAATAAATCTTGACATTGACAAATAAAAAGTAACCGTTGAAGTGAGAATTTAGGACAAACAAAAAAAATATGATCCAAATCAGAAAAAATGTTTTGGCAGTATTTACAGATAGAATTATCCAATAAATTAATACGTTACAAATGTGCAGGAAATTTACAATGACCTATCCGCAATCTACTTAATGTAGTATAATATTGTCTACCAAGAAAAACATTAGATTTTTCAAACCAATATTGTAACCAGACAATTTACAGATTTTGTTAGAATCAAACCAAGTTTCAATATATAGTACAATGATATCAAAATGTGATGTAAAGTTGTAAATAAAGTTTTTAAATTGAAATATTTTAGACAGAAAGCTTCTTGAGTTCCAATGAACAATATTAATTTCCTTTAAAGATGTAATGGTCATGTTGAAAAATTAGATATGAGTATTTCCTTAATTAATTTGGATGAAATTGTATCAGAATTAGTTTGAGCTTTCTTAACTAGCTCAATAACAGTCTTAGTAATTGTGTTGAGTACAATGTCTGAGTTAATGATGTCAGTAACTAATGCCCTTTTTTGAGGAGATTTATTTTGCGTTGAGCTGTTAATAGACACAGGGGTATTTGAATTAATTACAGAGTTAACCGATTTTGAAGTCACTGATGCATAAGATGTTTTGCCTAGAATTTTATCTTTGATTTGAGACAATTTCATCGATTTAGTGGGACAGCTATTAGATACTGCTACATGCTGTCCATTACAATTAACACATTTAGGATTCTCCTTGTTGATACAGGATCTATAATCATGGGCACCGGCACATATGGAACAAACTTGCTTTCTTCTGCAGGAACTGCTTCCATGACCAAATTTGTAACAAGTGAAGCATTGGAGTAGAGGTCTAATGAATTCACGCACATCCAGCCAAATATGATCATACGTTACGTGATCAGGTCGCTGCGTAGAGAGGAAAGTTACTAAAACTGTAGGAAGAGGATGAAAACTTCCATCTTCTTTCTTTTTTTTGAAACGTTTAACACCGATGATATCTACAGTAGATTTTAAGTTATTTAAGAGATCTTCTTCAGATATTTCAGTAGGAGCTCTTATAACTCCCTGAGATTCCAGCTGATTATTGGGTATCCTAGCCTGAAGTTTATGTTTCTCTAATAAATCTTTATTTAATAAAAATTCGTTAGCCTGTTTCATTGATCGAAAACATATTTTGAATGCAGTAGGACCCATAGTACGAATATAGAATACACCAGGTACAGTCCTCAGAATAGAATTGACTTGCAATAAGTTTACATTGTTGCCCTCAATAGGAGACAACAGGATAAAATATTCATTTTTAGTAGTGTCAGAATATAGGTAATTTTGATCTTTAAACAGTCCTCTTTTTGAGTGATATAATTAGAAGTGTGTAAGATAGAAGTGAGTAAATTTAATACTCATCTTAGCATCTGGCTCTTCATCACATATGGAAGTATTTTTTTTTCTTCTTTTTAACTTGCCTCCGCTTGACTCGCACATATCCTCTAACAACACACGAGGGCTTAAATTGGAGAAATAAGTAAAAGAAACTAGGAGAAGCAACAAATAAACATTAAACAAATAAAATGAATTTAAAATTTCCGCCCTCGCGTTACAAGTTTAAACCACAGACTCAGACCATAGTGTATAAAATCACAAACTCACCATAAACACCTTTCCGCAGTAGTCACAGGTATACGTCTGTTTATTCGGCGCGTGGTCCTGCTTGTGCATATACAGCGAGGACTTGTATTGGAATGATTTACCACATTCCGAACATTCGAACGGATGCCGACCAGGGTGGCGGAGTAGGTAGTGAAGTTTTCTGAAACAAAAGTTGTTTACAATAAACTAATAACCTTCGATCCTGGCTTCGGCAAATTGTACATACAAAATATGTCTCGTGATTCGTGAAATAGGCGTTTTTATAGGAGAACAGGGAGGGGGGGGGGGTATTAATCCTCTCACGCCATCCTTCACCGTATACTGATAGCGCAGGAAGGGTTACCATTGCGTTTTCGCTTACAAAAAATAATTACCTCTCGTCCATGGTGTGCATGACGTCCCTGCAGAGCTTGCACTTGTACTTGCCGGGCCCGTGCGCCTGCGCCACGTGCGTGTTGCAGGCGCGCGCGCTCGGGAACTCGCGGCCGCACACCGAGCACCGCGCCGGCCGCTCGGGCCGCCCGCCCACCGTGTGCACCGTCTGAGGACATTACTTGTCCTAGAGGCTACAGCATCATCATTTCAGCCATTATCTGTCCACTGCTGGACATAAGCCTCCCCCATGTACTACCATAAAGAACGGTCCTAAGCCACCTGCATCCACTGACTCCCTGCAATGCCTTTCAGGTCGTCACTCCATCTACTGGGGGGGTTACACTGCGTTTATCCGTACGTGGTCGCCATTCAAGAACCTTTCTTCCTCATCGGTTGTCGGTTCTTTGAGCTATGTGACTAAGCCCACTGTAACTTCAACTTGCTTATTCTTCGGGATATGTCGGTTATTTTGGTTCTTTTGCAGATATCCTCGTTTCGGATTCTATTACGCAAAGAGACCCAAGCATAGCTCACTGAGTAACTTGTAGCTTTTGTAAACAAGCAACAGTGGAATATAAATGACATTAAAATTACATGGTATAGAGGCATAACACCCTAATCTTCGAGAATGGCAACACTTGAGTATTACTATAGGCCGCAGTATATTCTGTAATATGTATAGTTTTGTTCATGTCTATATGCAACAGCTACTACTTTCTGTCAGGTGGACCCAATAGCTTGATTGCTTTCCTAAATATCATAAGAAAAGGGGTGAAGGGATCGTTAATAATGGCGACTAACCGCTGTATTAGTAATAATACATCCTTATTATTATTTTTTTGTTTATCGTGTGGAAAATGGCAAGACCGTCCCATCTGCCGGAGGGAGGGCAGCTGGGGTGTGTGGGATTCGTACCCACTAAAAACCACACGACGTACCTCGAGGCGCTTATCTAATCCCGGGTTCCCGTTTGTACGACTACCGAGTATCCAACGCGACGGCCCGCCCTGTAGGTGGTGTAGGGCAGGCCTCCTCTCTTAGTTAGGGTGGGGAATGTCCCTCCCACCCTACCATCACCGAGTCATTAAGATGCCCAAAGGTAACAAACTCACTTTCATAAATATTAGTAGGAATTTGTTAAATTTTTAATAATTTATCAGTCCTCAAAAATATGGCATTTCATTATAGGATTAAAGTTTTTTCAGAAGGACATAAAACGTTCAATCTTATCCAAGTAAATTTTGAGCACAAACATTGCTCATATAATAAATTAAAATATTATTTAACTTACTCTTATGTGTAACTTGAATGATTTCCTGTGACTAAGTGGTTTATACTGGCATGAATCCAAGGAGCAGAACACCTTCCTAGCCTCAGGATGACTGCTCTGGAAGTGTTCTCTCATTTCCTCAATGGTGGTCATCACCAGACAGCAGATGCAGCACTTCAACAAGTAAGACGGTGTAGCTGCTTCGGGATTCTGATGTTTTTCCAAATAGTGATGAATGAACCAAACCTAATAAGAAAATTAATCTACTATTGTTTGATAATTGACACAATACCAACTATCATTGAAGATGTAATACATAACATACACACAAAAAAAAATTAAGCAAATTGATAATCTTTTGTTTTTTCTTATATAAAATCTTAATTTAATAGGATATGATCTTTGCACAAAACAGTCTAAAGGACATATTGTTCGCAGTAGACATATTACCTACAACAAACCTTACTAATATTATAAACTAGCAACCCGCCCCAGCTTTGCACGTGTAGATAGAAAATAATATATAGCCTATGTTTCTGGCTGATAATGTAGCTTTCTTCAGATGAAAGAAATTTTAAAATCAGTTTATTAGTTTCTAAATATGAATACTACACAAAAAAAAAAAAAACACAATCAAGACTTTCCTCTTTATAATATTATTATAGATGTGAAACTGAGTTTGTTTGTCACCTCTTGGCACCTTAACAGCTAAACTAATCACTGTAACAAAAATACTAATGCTGTATGCACTTATATCTGGCTTTGCAACTTGTCATGCCACATATAGTCTGTACTGATGTTTGAAATGTAAATTGGACTCTTTTTCTACACTACTCTCATTTGGACCCTTGTGCGTTTGAGAAATCATGACTGGGCTTCCTGGGGTCTTCACATTATTGTATTATATAAAATTGTCTTAACCATATCATATAATCATAAATAATGATAATTGTTTTGTTGTAAAACTATCTTGTGAAGACTGATTTGGAAAGACTTATAAAATTAATAAGTAAGTGCCACCTTAGTGGTATAAAAAAAAATACTTTTAGCATACAATACCTTGTCACTATACATTTCTGAACAACTTTCACATTTGTAATATTGATCTTGATGCTTGTTCAAATGCACACGGACTTGGTGTGTCTCTCTGTCTGTCTCGTTCCAAAATAATGTGGGACAGTACTTGCATTTGAAACCTAGATGTGGGCTAAAACAATTGTCATATTCCATGATATCTAAATGTTCTACCAAATGTCTCCTAGTTGATTCTCTATTATCAAACTCTTTGTCACAAAACTGGCAAATCCATAAGTCATCAAAATCCGCCAATTCCTCTGCCACATGTGTTTCAAGTTCAGTCTGACTGTTAAATGTAGTAGCACACACTCGGCATGAAAATGTAGGTACTGATTTTACACTGTGCATTTTCCCCACATGTCCTGGATATTCCTGTACTGGTAACTTTGTATTGCATACTGCACAATTCACTTCAGGCTCCGCATCTGTTTTTGTTACTCTATAATTTATATCCGACCCTATTGGTACAGTATTTGAATTTATATCTTCTAAAGTTTGATTCACATAATCAAAGTAACACTTTTCTAACAATATCAGTTCCATTAATGTCACATCGAAATCTTCATCACCCATGTATGTCTTCACAATTTCATCATCTCTCTTTCTTATTTCTTCACTTTCCTTGTCCTCCTGTTTATATTGACCATTAGTGTCACCAGTAGTTTCTTGTTTAATTTCAGGAATAAGGACATTAAGCACCTGAGATCCCCCTCTGGTCTCACCTTCTTTAGTGTCTATACATTTCTTCTCCAAATCTATGTAACCAAATCGAACTTGGTTCTTTAACTGACCATCGATAAATTGAGAGCTGACATCAGCGCCAAACACAGAGAATGGTGGATCTCTACCAGATATGATGTTTGTGAAACATTTCAAAGTAAAATGATGGAATCCCATATAATGATTGAAGAAAGTTGTTGATAAGTTGTTTGCTTTTGAGCACAGCAGGCAGAGGAATTTAGTGCCACTTTCATAATCTAGTTCCCATAAATTTTCACAACTTATATTAGATACATTAGTGACATTGTGTTTTTGAAAGAGATGTGTTTTGTATTGATCATCATCAGAGACCCTAAAGTGACAAAGACGACAGTGGACCAGCTTATGAGCACTGCTAAGGTGTTGACGGAGTGCCCCCTCAGTTTGAAAATTCTCAACACACTGAGAACATGGCCAAGGAATATGGAATTTCAGATGGGTCCACCAGGTTTCACGATCTGGTACAAAGTACCTGAAATTAATAATTATTATGTTTATAAATACTATGACAGTACAGTTTTGTTTCCAATAATAATGGAGTATACATTTCCATATAATAATACATATTTTTTATTGTAATTAAACACCCTTGTTCATAAAAATGTAATGTCTAATAAATCTATTTTAGCTAGTAAGGTGTTTTGTCTTTTTCTTTTGAACTTCATCCTCAATTTGAAAAAAAGTGACCAAAATACTACATAATAGGTTTGTAATATATTTAATTTAAATGTTTGTTAATGTATCACAGCAACAAAAAAAAATTAACAGTCACTCTTAGGGATAGGCTGAGAAATTAAATGACAAAGTCCTTTATTACTCTATATATTCCTTATTTTATTATTACACTTATTCGAGTTTAAATTGAAGGCATCGAGTTGAGTGACACAAGGTTCACGATTTTAATTAATATTGTACAAATAAATGTAACTCACCTACAAATACCACAGAAATCCTTTTTATGATTAAGTACGTAGTGAATAATCATTTTAGCCCTGTTTATAAACCATTCAGGACATAGCAAACAACTATATGGGCCCGTCGGATTTAAATCTTTCATATATAGCCAAACATCTGTTGGTCTTTCTATAACTTTTGGAGTTAACACTCTCTTTTTTTGTAATTTAATTGTGATAGAAGCTTTTTTGGACTCTATTTTATAAATTGACTTTTTCTTCTTCTTTTTCTTTGGTTCATAGTCCTCGTCAGATGATCTAGTCTCAAATTGATCTGGATTAGACTTTTTCGCCGCCGCTAACACTGATAATGGTTCATCGTCTGATTCGTCGGAGGTCATTATTATGGATCTGTTTAAAAACTGTCAAACCTACGAGTCACAGTAATTTTTATTTTTATATCTGTTATAAACAAGATTTATTTAGTAAATAAAAGAGAAAAAAAAAGGTCAAAAAATGGTAGGTAAAATTGAATTATATACAAAAGATAGGACTGGAACTGTCACTGTCACTACTACATAGAATAGTCATTTGACAGCAACAATTTAAGCCAGATTAAATAATAATTAGGTAGGCACGAAAGAAAAGCTTCTTATCCTTAACCCGTTTATATAAAATCTTAACGTTGAAATAGAAATTAATTTTTATTTTTACGTTAACACTCACGTTTCATTTCAAATAAATCTTTCGTCTTTTACTTTTGCTTATAATAATGTCTATTAAGGTCAAAATTTTCTTTACAATGTTTGGTTATATGTACATGATTTATAATGGATTTGTTCTAATCATAAGATTGACCCTCTTATATAAAATTTAGACAGATAGATTATTTCGCTTATTAAAATAAGTAAATTACTACTTATCTAAGCATGTATCCATTAAATATCATTAGTGCTCATTGGTATATGTGTTTCATGAAAGTACACGAATATTTAAGTCTTTAATAATCATTCAGAGACAATAAATAAATACAATAAAATAATTTATTTTATGATTGCCTTTCGATATCTTTACTTTAAAATAATTTTAGAAATCATAGACAATAGTTGATTGTGTATCTATCTATGTTGTGCAATATTTTTTATAAAGATTTCGGGTTCGGTCTATACTTTACGTCTCGGTAATAAAATTTTACCTATTTTAATAATCATATATCACAAAACTAATACTTCCAATTGAAAAATAAAATTAAAAATTGACTTCGAAATATTTATTAATGTTTTAAGTATCTTATTAGTATATTATTACCTTTTTTTGTTATGAGACAATAATGCGTAGCATAAATATTTTGCGTGTAATGGAACGAAAAATGAAAAATATACTATCGTGGCGGCCATTTTATAGAGATGTTTTTGTCTATGGTGATCAAAGAAAGGCGAAGCTAAACAAAAGGATAGCATGTAGATGCCGTTTATTGTTTTATTTGTAAAATAATCATAAAAATTTACTTAAAAATCTTATATAAATGTTGCAATTAAGTGAGATTGTAAGTTATAATCTGTGTATACCATACAAGTTCATAGAATGAAACACAATGCATCGTGTAATGGAGGCCATTAGGAGTAATAATTATGTATATTGGCATACTTATTCCTCTGCAAACCAACATAATCACTTTTAAAGTTACGTACAGTGATTACCAATCAAAATGTTATTGAACATTACTTAGTGAAATGTGAACGAATACGACTAGTGTAAATAACTCATTACACGCGAACGATGGCCCAGAACCAAGGAGAGGTTCAAGTGGGAACGACAAGTCAACCTGTGAAAGACAAAGATATCTACGCTTGCCTTCCTGATATGCGAATTAATGGCCCACTTGGGCCTGATGAACCGTGCCCAGGAGGTGAAGAGCTTCGGTGGTTGCCTGCGCAAGCAACCGACCGAGATCTTGTGATGTATTTGAGAGCTGCTCGTTCAATGGCAGCATTTGCAGGTATGTGTGACGGGGGATCCCCTGACGACGGTTGTGTGGCCGCTAGTAGGGACGATACAACTATCAATGCACTTGATGTTTTACATGACTCTGGGTATGATCCTGGCCGTGCACTGCAAGCTCTCGTAAAGTGTCCAGTGCCCAAAGGTATAGAAAAAAAGTGGTCTGAAGAGGAAACCAAACGTTTTGTAAAAGGTATTCGTCAATTTGGTAAGAATTTTTTTAAGATCAGAAAGGACTTATTGCCCCATAAAGATACATCTGAATTAGTGGAGTTTTATTACTTGTGGAAAAAGACACCTGGTGCTAGTAGTAATAGACCTCATAGACGACGTAGGCAGGCATCTTTGAGACGTGTACGTAATACAAGAAATTCAAGGGCTGGTACACCCAAAGAACAGACTCCTGAAACTACACCAACTCTACCAGATACAAATGGTTCTCGACCTTCGCCCAATCAGAAAGAGGCTGGAGAAATGAGTTCAGTTACGGAAGATGAGAATTCTGAAGAAGACAGTGATTCTCGAGATGCTGGTGATTTAGCTAAAGCTGATAATGGTAGAATAGATAATCCTGATGACTCTCCAAGCAGAATGAGAACTAGAAATAAATCTAAAGAACAAACAACTCCAAATGGAAAGAAAGGACCAGATGAAAGTGACAGTGATTCTAAATCTAAAGCAAAACCTAATAAACCAATAGCACAAAGTACAAATAATAATATTACTGAAAAAGTTATATCATCACCTGTTAATAAAGATGTGAAGAAGAAAGTGGCAAACGGCAAAGTAGTGGATGCCTCTAAGGTTAAGAAACGTCTTCCAGATGATTCAAAGCTGGAAGGTATAATGGATGGTGATGTGCAAATGAAAAAGAAAAAGGCTGCAGAACCACCTGAAAGCCCATCAGATAGTCTTACAAATGATAGTTTCCCTGCTATAGATGAAACTGAAACTGCAGAACCTGAGCCAGAAGCTTGTGATTTCAGTTTTAATAAAAATGATAAGGAAAATTTGGAACAAAACAAAGAAACTGAATCTGAAAAATCTAACTCTAAAATTACTGAGCCACAGATTAAAATAGAAGCAAACTCTGAACCCATAATAAAATCTGAGAAAGATCCTCTCCTTCCAGTTTTTAAAGTTGCACCTGAAAAAGAAGATAAAAATGTACTAGATCTTAAAACAGATTCTGTTATATCTAAGAATACTGATAATGTTGAGCCAAGACCTCTCACAATACCCAATGCCATATTTCCAAAAACTGAACTTATTATTCCAAAAGTTACACCAATGTCTACTGAAGCTATTGAAAAAATAAAAATCAAAGAAGAAATAGATACAGAAGAACAATCTCTTAATTTACAAAAAGAAGAATTTCAGAAAGATCCACTATCTCACAATTATTCTGGACATCCCTTGAGTCAACCCAATAAACCTTTAAATTTGGATAATTCCAATTTCTTTATAAAGGATAGTCATATATACAATCCTAAACTTAATCACAGTATAAAAATTGAAGGTGGAATGACTAATATATTCAATCCTGTAAATATTTCAAAAGAAAATCCATTAATTAGAAATTCGAAAGATTATTCAACAGGCATACCACCATTTTCATATCCTTCAAATATTAACTTTGGAAGTGATCCTAATAAACACAATCCTCATATAAATCCATTGAAGACAGTTATAAAATTAGAACCAAGAGATGAAGCTAATGAAATGAAGAATCAAAATACACCTGAAATATTCACTGCTACTATATCAACTGCAAGTAAAGTGGACTCGCCTAATGCTCCAAGATTAGATACATTGCAAAGAATAAGTCCTTCACCAACAAATACTCGTGGTTCATCTCCACCTCCAATGGAACATCCCACAACTACAAATACAGAACCAATTTCTCCAGCTAATTCACAGGATAATAAAGAGTCTGATGTTGAAGATAAACAACCAACTGATTTAAAGACACAACCAATTCCAAAACTGGATACACAGAATACTAGTTTGAGGCAACCTCTTTTTCAACCTCCCATCCGACCAGAAAACCTTGGGGTCAGATCAACAGAACCACCGAACACACCTGTGTCTGGACAAACTATGCCTCCACCACCTCTTAGCCAACCTTCTATTGCTGGTTTGTTACCACCAGGTCCTTTAATATCTGTGGGTAGTGGATCAAATGTTGGACCTTATGGATTCATGCCAACTACCTTATATGGACATCCAGGTCATCCTGGTCTAGAAAAAAGTAGTTCTATGCCTTTAATACAGCAAGTTCCACCATCACATGGTCTTCCTAGCAGTAACTTAATACAGTCTTCTGCTAATCAGAATGATCCATCAATGCCACAGGACTTGAAAATTAAACAGGAAGTGCCAGATAATTTACCTGCAAATTTATCTACACAGAGTGTTTCAGATCCATTGCAATCACTAAAAGAAGTGAAAGTTCCAGGATATCCAATTGGCAGTGCCATAGCACAACATTTAAGCACTGAAAGAGATAGAGAATCAATATCAAGTGTTGAGAATAATAGTCGACCTCCCAGTCAACCAACAAATGAAAATACAAATATACCAAGTGCTTTCCTTGGACCTAGAATTGAAAGTATAAAAAAGGAACCAGATTTTATGCATCAACCTCACATTCCTTCTGCAAATACAAGTCAGGGTAGTGGGTCAGATTCTGCAAATGCAGTTGCTCCAGTGAAGAGTCCACACACTCCAACTCCGATAAAAAGCCAACCAACTCACAATGGCACTCCTGGACATGGGCCGCATCCATCAGCTACAACATCACCTTTTTCACGACATTTAACTAGCCCATCACAACCAAGACAAATATCAGCTTCTCCTGTACAACATAATCCTCCAGTCTCACATTCTGCACTAAACTTAATGAATCCAACTCCACTTACCATTCCGGCCACCATACCTGGACCTGTAATGCATTCAGGGCAACAGTCAGGTCCACCACACCCACATCCTTTTGCTTCACCTTTGCATCATCCACATCATCCTCTGTTACATCCTTCCATTTTCCAACTATCTGCAGCTGCTGCGGCACACGCTATGCATCCTTATTATCCACATCCACATGCTGGATATTCAATGCCCTATCCATATCCATATGGGCCACTGCCTCAACCTCATCCAATACCTCCAATGCATCCAGCTTCAAGTACTCCAGGGCGGCATGATCCCGTGAAACCGTCAACAATAGAATCTACAACAATGCTTAGTTCTCATCATAGCACCAGTTCTTCAGTTACAACAAGATCTTTAAGAGAAATTTCGGAGAGTACTGAGGATCCAAGAAATCCAAATGCTACAACTGAAAGACATCAGTTACATGAGACTACAATGACACATCACCATTCAACAAGTCATCACAGTGCTGTTCATACAAGTACAGAGAAACAACCAAGCCATGCTGGAGGTGGAACAAACCATACACTCTCAATTTCTCATTCAACATCAAGTAGCTCGTCTCAATCAATACAACACAAGATTAATACCCAACAGAAAACTAGCTCACATTCTAGTTCTCCTCACCATCTTTCAGCTAGTGTCTCTCAAACTACCAGTACATCATCGAGTGTTAATGTAACTAACAATCATACGCATCATCACTCGCATCATCTTGCACATCATCCTGAAAGATTGTCACCAGCAGACTCCATGCTTCTACGTCATCATCCGAAAATACTACCAGGAAATCCAAACCATCTAATGATACAGCCTCCTTCTATGGGCCATCCTATGGGTTTAGGTTTGCCTCCAGGGCCTGGACCGAGCTCTATTGAAAGCCTTAGATTGCACGCTCAAGCAGCAGCGGGATTACAAGCAGCACATCCTAGATCAGGTTCACCTCACCAACTTCCACATGGTCATCCACACTTAAGAGGTCCTCAAAGACCGATACCGGAAGATAACCCAGAATTAAAGTTGGAAACACAATCACAGCCAGAAGAAGAAGAAATTCCCAGTCCTGCTCATATACCACATGGCCCAAGTCCAGAACCGAAAATTGAAGATACGGAGTGTCATAGATCACAGTCGGCAATATTTTTAAGACATTGGAATCGTGGTGATTATAATTCTTGTACAAGAACAGATCTTATATTTAAACCAGTACCAGAGTCAAAACTAGCTCGTAAGCGAGAAGAGCGTTTAAGAAAACAGGCCGAGAGAGATAGAGAGGAAAGAGAGAAGATAGCTCAACAAGCACATAGAAAGATAGCAACTCCAGAGAAACCTGAAACAAAACCGCCTTCTAGAGGTGCTATTGAAACAATAACATCTCCTTACGATAGGTTCCCTCGACCCCCAGGTTACCCCGATACACCTGCATTGCGCCAGTTGTCGGAATATGCACGGCCACATGCAGGTTTCAGTCCTGGCAACTTACCAAGGCATTGTATGGATCCAATGCTACAATACCAGCTGTCTTCTATGTATGGTGCTGCAGGCGCACGAGAGCGCCTGGAGCTTGAACACCTTGAGAGAGAAAAACGAGACAGAGAAATAAGAGAACTTCGGGAACGCGAGCTAAATGATAGATTGAAGGAGGAATTGCTCAAAAATAATGTCGGACCACGAGCGCTGGATCCGCACTGGCTTGAAATGCATAGAAGGTATGGTATGCCACCTCCGCCACCGCAAGGCGCCATACCTGTACAGTTCGGGCTCTATCCTCCCGGACACGGACCAGCAGCGCTCTCGCAATTGGAACGTGAACGATTAGAGCGACTCGGTATACCACCAGCTGGTGCGTCGGGAGCGCCTCCCACAGTTCCAGTTTCGGCTGCGCCGCCACATCATCCGCACCATCCGCACCCGGGTGTGGCAGCTGCACAGCTCGAAGCTGCCGAGAGACTGGCACTCGCTGCTGACCCGATGGTGCGACTTCAAATGGCAGGCATTAATCCGGAATATCATGCTCATACTCATGCCCACACGCATGCGCATTCACATACACATCTTCATTTACATCCGGGCCAGCAGGCTGCAGCACAAGCACAACAGGAAGCGCTCGGGCTCGGGCTCGGTGCTGGTACCCCTTACCGGCCACTGCCGCACCCAGATTTGCTGGGTCGGCCGTACGCAGAGCAGTTGGCGCAGCAAGCGGCCGCGCACGAGCAGCTACAGCGACAACTGTTGCTGGAGCGCGAACGAGGCTTCTTACACCCGGCACACCACGAAGACTTCATCCGTCAGCAGCGTGAGCGCGAGCTGAAGGTGAGAGCCCTTGAGGAGGCAGCGCGTGCGTCGCGCCCGTAGTGCCCCGCCACCGCGCCGCGTCCTCTGGACTCTGCCGTCGTGATAGTGGAGTGATGTGGTTGTGCAGTGAATCGTGATGATGTTTATGTCATTTTAGTGTAAACATTTCACGTGACCTAACTTACTGCACTTGTTACATATTAAGTGCAAAGTGTTCACATATTAGTGTATTAAAGACTCAAACCCGTTTTTTCTTATGTATGTGTGACGATACATGTAATTTATATTTATTACTTAAGTTTTGTAATATTTTTATAGTTGCATGGCCAGGTACGCTTATATCCATGCTCAAATTTATATTTTAACTACTAGTCATACTTAAATTTTTATTTGTTATGAAATGGGACAATGACATTTTTTTCATAGATAACTGAAATTATTTTTCATAATATTTAATAGTAATACAGAAAAACCAAGGTGCTGGTTAGCATTCATGTGAATATACACATTTACATATTTTCATTATTGTATCTATGTATATATATAATATGTTGCGTTTTTATGTTCAAACATAGGTACTTATTGTAAACGTAATAAAAAAATATTTAAGTATATAAATTAAACAGAGTAGGGACTGTGACTTGCCTTTCTAATCAACTTGCCTTTACGTAATTTACCTGTAGTGACTCTCTGTAACTCTAAGGTTGATAGAAACATTTGTCCCATAGATTATTTACAATATTCTAATGTAATTTATTGTTTCACTTAGTATTTATATCTAGCTCTCATGTGAAGTAAATAATAAGTAAAATTTCTCACTTAATTTGGAAATCATAAGCTTATCCCAAATAAACTACTTTGCTTTGATTTAAAGCTATTGCAGAAATTACACTACTTAATAGAATTTTTAAACTGAATTTATTACATAAATTCTTTATAATTCAAAATTGCATTTTATAGAATGTAAAGGTACAAAGTAGTTTCATGGGATAAACCCTTACCACATTATTAAGTTGGATAGATAACTGAATTGATAACAGAAACTATCTTTTTATTCAGTATGTTCATAATTCAAATATTGTCATGTCTATTTTTATAATACACTACAAACTTGTAATACATAAACATATACAAAATGTAATAGAAAGCATTTTTAAAACAAAGATTTTGTGATAATATTAAATAAAACCTCATAACATTGCAAAATGTAAGTCTGAAGTATGGTCAGAATATGTGAAAATATGTTTGAACTGTCCATACCAACTGTGCGGTCATGTGATTAGTATAAAATTATCCAAATTTGATTTCATATGGGGAAAACTGATTAGTTCCATTAATACTATTTTTGTGTTTCGGGTTGTTATATCCTATGTTCCACATTGTACAGTAGTAATAAACGACTTTAAGTGACTTCATATTTCTTCACTTTACAGAAGTTCACTTCTGTAAAATGTATAACACATTTTTTTGTTAATAAAAATAATTTTGGCACCATTGAAATTGTTATTCGTTTTGTGACACAAAATGTTAAATTATTCATTTTTACTTAGCCAATGCTAATTATGCAGTATTTTGTTCTATAGCACATAAAAGCATAAAAATGGCACTATCTCGTAACTTTAAACTTTTCAGATAAAAAAATTACCTTAATACATAATTACATCAATTTATTATGAACATGGGAAATACTATTTTATGCAGTAAACTTGAGTCACATTTTACAAAGATTTTGGTTGCCAATACTTGTTGAATGAGTATACAAAATCATAATATTGCATTTTATAAATTAAATAATTTACTTAATATTTTTAACACAACTTTATTCCAAACTTTTGTTTTATCTTCAAATAAAGCATGATATTATGATCAATGTTTAGTATACAACGAGCTTCAGATATGTTTACTGTAAACATAAAAACTAAATTTAGATGAAATCTAACCAGCTAGAGTACATTATACTAGATCATTTATTCATTTCAAATATCAACCATAGAAGCTTATAAGTATCTTGTCATTTGTTTATTCAAGTTTGATTTAAATCCGGTGTCCTAATGTGTAAATACCTGAGTTTATGTATTAAAATAGATTTAAATAAAATGCATTAATAGAAAGGGTATAACGATCCGATATCCAGTCATAGTATATGTATATATTGAAATTCGCACAAACCGCGCGATTATGCTTTCAATTTAGTTGGACATCATATTTCCGTCTATGTCATATAAGTATATCCAGTTTTGCAAAAACTAACTAGATTTTGGATTGCTACATTCTTTTTGTTACTTCCTTTGCAGGTACTGAAAACTAAATAAAAATTCAAATTATGTCAACTTTCTGAATTTAATTCATATACAACTGTGAACGTCGCAAAATATTGATTTACTAATTTGTTATAGATTTAATTATAACCTATTAATATGTAATTAAAGACAATCCAACAAAACAGCAATAGAACTGCATACGATACAAAACTTATTACAGTTGCATTAAATCTTTCTAAATTATGAAAAAATATACTCAAATGCTAAAAAAAAAAAAAACTATTTTCATATCTTTTGTTATCTTATGTCTGTATTATTATTATTTTTTATCACATTACTACAAATATTTGCCTAATTTAAACGAATGTATACTGCAAACCAGTTTTAAAAAGAGTACAAAAATGTCATAATAAATACCCATTTGAAATGTATTTTAAATGACCATCTATTATACGTTTTATTGTAAACACTCTGTCAATTTAAAAGTGAATTTAGCTGCGTTGACTCATAATTCAATTTTGTTTTGCCAGGCCAATTTGTGTGTTCAAAATGTTTTTTATGTTCTTCCTGTCACAGTTAATAAAGTTTAAATAGATTATTAACACGCAATGAGCTCGAGAAATCTGGCGTTTATGTGCAATATGCACACGAATACTGTTATTATTGTAATGCCCTAAGGTTCTGCGCAGACGTAGGCAACTTTGGCGTACTTTTGAACGAGGATTTTTTTTTTTATTTTAATATTTAGTGAAGCAAGCGTACTCTGGGTTATAAAAAAAAAAAGGTAACTAATGTCTTGAAGTCTTGAAATACATTCTACAGCAACCAGTGAGACAATTGAGAGGAGGAAAATTTGGTACGATCGTAGATCGCGTAGGGACGCGCAATACTTTTTGTCCCGTACGCGTGTAATGCGGTGTAATTGTTTAGGATTTATTTTACATAAAGCAGCCCAAAGACTCCGATGTGTGCGCAAACCTCAATGATAACAAATGGTTATAAATCTTGTAAATTTAAGAATTGTAATTTTTGCCCAGTGTACACATTCAATAATTCTATTGCACTATACTATAATGTAATATAAATTCCCTTTGTAACAAATAAACCCTATTAGAGTTGAAGTTATAGATATTTAGGCATCTAGAGTAAAATGTTTCGCAAGTCGCTTGGTAGGTGTTATGTTGGGTAATGCCATAGTTTCATTCTGATATTTAAAAAGAGAAAAATGAGTATTATTTTTAGAGACAAATTATATCTTAATTAATTAAGAGGTTGCGTGTCGGTTTAAAATTTCGTTTATTTAGACAATAAGGTTAAATGGATGTCTTAGTGCTTTTGTGTAAATTTTTTTGAATAATATATGTGAAAAAATACCATTAACTAGTTTGTTATTCTACTGAATACCTGTTTCATTAATTGCCTTATTATGAGTAGTTGAATTAACCAGATCAGCGTTTCTTGGCTTTAAGTTGCAACCCAAATTCGGGTCTCGGGCGGTATTGTAATTGATCACATGAATTCTCCAAATAGTAATTTAAAAAATGGTAAAATTTGATGTCACAATTCATTTTTTTAACAATACTTTTTTTGTTTTTTAAATATTTTATAATGATATTAATTTTAGTAAACTACGAACTTAATCCATTAATTAATGGTTTTATTATCACTGTAAGATAAATAAAACGTTATGGTTGTTGGGGCTTCAAATATATTTATATTAGGCCGCCAACAAAAAAAAAACCCGCTTAACTAGTACTCGTAGTACTTCCATAATTTCATACATATGGCCTGCACAGACTAGAGACTTGTCTATAGAGGACACATTTTTGCATGGTTACAAAATAATATTTTGTGATGGATTTCTCGATCTTTGGTTGAAGAATTTATAATGCATTCCAGTTTTTAGTTAGTTCACGGAAGGTTCATACTACCACCAGACACTATACAATACTCTGTTAATTTCTCTAAAACGGTTAGCAGGGATTGGCAACCTTTTGAGTCGGAAGATTAAAAAATTATGATTTACTAAATTTCAAAGTTTTTAAAGAGCTTTTTCTATAGCTTGCGAGCCGCAGGTTGCTGACCCCAGACCTACACTAATTGATATATTAGTAATTGATTATATATATCTCAACAATGATCTTTCTGATTTTGAAGAGAAATTTAATAGTGAAACAAGTAGGTAAAATATTAAAACTAGTTCATAATCATTTAAAAGTCTTCCCTAAATATCTGTAAGTATTTCCCTTTATTTCCACTTTCAGTCGTCTGTTTGTTGTTTCTAATGGAATATATATATATATATATATATATATATATATATATATATATATATATATATATATATATATATATATATATATATATATATATATATATATATATATATATATATATATATATATATATATATATATATATATATATATAGTAATATTGCCTAGCCTGAGATATCAATATACGCTGGAGGTGCACCAGTGCGGACGAGAATAGTGAATATCAGTGAATATTTGAACCGCAGACCGGTCATTGTGACCGGTGTTTTAAATTTATTACTTAATATCTCCAAAATTTGTCTCCGCAGTTCTAGGTATCCAAACTACAAAATGATAATATCTTTTTAATTGTATTTTTTTCACATCATGCAGTAAAAAGTGGTAAATGAAAAGTCACAAGTCTTTGCTCTCTATAACAACAAATTTCAGATATTAAGTATTGAATTTAAAACACTGATCACAATGACCGGTCCGCGATTCGAGTGGTAACCCATCGTGACGAATTTCATTACAACATGGTTTCTAGGAGGAATCGCATGTAGATCGACCTGGTAGGATATATTGCTACCATTAAGGCTGTTAGACACTTAAGTATGTTACTAAGTATATGCTTAGACCCAATTACTAACGATCCCTTTCCCCCAATCACGATGGTTTCCAGGGACCATGCAAAAGTCGACATCATAGGATACAATCTTAACAAAGTTTATCATTCAATTTTTATCAAAGGTGTTCAGTTTAAATATACACCATCATGTATTCCTATATATTCTTTTCCTGGAAAGAAGTAAAACACGATTTTGGCAGTTTCATTGATTCTTTCATTCAACTGTCAACATCCAATATGTTTTTTACGGTCCGTCTGTTTTACAAGATTTGTATTTATTATTAAGCGTTCATAGATTCGTAACTAAGAGATAGATTGATCGATATTGCTAGCAGACGAAACAGAGTAAACCACTTTTATGCATACACAAACACAAAGAGTATAATGGAAATATGGGGCTGACGAGCAACACGGGTCTTCTATCGAGTGTGCAGCAGAAGTCCACGAACAATAAACAGAAGGTTGGTTCATAAATTTTGAGTGAAACCATAAAATTATAAAGTCTATATAAACATTCGGTTGGTGTCGAAACCATGCGGTTTTATTTTGGCATGAATGTTATAAAATAATCCAAGCTTGAGCTTGGTTACACATAAGCTGCTGAGTTTCTCTCAACCTTTCGTATTCCTCTGCCCTCAACACTTTAAAAATAATTACTTATCCACGTAACAAGCAATGTTTTTTTAATAAAATTGAATTTTATCCAGCTTATAACTATTAGTTTATACTAGCAATGCCTCGTGAGGATGAAGTCCGGACAACTGGTCCATCGTGACGGATTCACCAGAATTAATCACGACGATTTCCAAAAGGATCGTATTTATGTTAATTTAATAAGACAATGGAACTTCTGTCTAGCAGTCTACTAACAATCCTTCCCCTAGAATTCAAATGTAGATATCCATATGTATAAATATTACATCTCTTGCTTTATCCAGTTTCACAATTCATCTCATACTTACATTCTTGTTACGGCGACTATAGATGATAATTCTGTGACATTTATATCTTTTAATTGATACATAAATCACGAGTTATGCAATGTAAGCATTTAATTCTTCATACGAAACCTAATAGCCACGGGTCACAAATATTTGTTCAAATTTCATAGAGATAATGATTTTAAGAGCTTCTGCAAAATTTTGTATACCTACAGCCCTTTGTTACGAGCAAGCAATTAAAACGTACACATAACTAACTACATAATTATCAATTGTTACATCACAAAAAATACGACTCGATTCTTTTTGCCTACCTTGTAGGTAAGCTGGCGTGAAGATATTATAGTAACATTTGGGTTTCCGAGCAGTGCAACCCTAAACAAGAAAGATTGGGCTTCCGTTCGCCACATGAATAAATAATGTGCTGTGAAAGACAATGATTTATACCGCTTTTATATTGTGAAAACTCAACAAGCCAATTTTATAATTCCGCAAATAATGTAGTTAGGAATTATGGGATGTAGGTATCTTTATGTACCTGTTTATTTGTATATGTCTCGAAACCAGTTTGGAACAGCTATTATATGTAAATATTTAAGGTGTTATGAATAGTTATCTAACTATTCACTTACAAGCTTATTACCCGCTAGGTACTTCGTACACGTGGATTTCAGAACAAAGAAAACCATTGAAATAGATCACTTTTAGATGGTTAATTTTTTTTTATTGAAATTCTATCTACGTGTACATTTGGCGGATTTAACATCGGACGCTGTTAGACGTAGCATTACTCAATTGAGGAAATATAAAAAACACTTAATATATTAAAAACATATAATTAGACTAAATACATACATAATTTTTTTTTCTACAACTTAGAATGGCAAACAAGCAGGCGACTTTCCATCAGGTGCCCACCTGATGGAAAGTGGTAACTTTCCATCAGGTGGGCACCTGATGGAAAGTGGTAACCGTCGCCTATAGACATGAGCAGTACCATGGACATAACATAAATAAATACGTAAAATATTACTATAGTTAACAACTGTAAGTATCAGTTTATTAACATAAAACATATGCTAGTTTACTTTTACGTTTATACGTCGTTACCTTTTAGTTTGATGTGATATCACATTAATATCTTCCTCTGTCACTTGTGTTGTAAGATGCCGTATTTATCTAATTACACACTAGATAAGCCGCAGGATTATTTGCGTAATTTTTTCAAAAAAAAATCACAAATTCTGAATCGATTTTGATAATTCTTCATTTACTACTGTGCTAGTTCAATACTAATTAAGTAAAGATTGAAGTCGATTTTTTCGCGAAAACAATCTTTAATTAAATAATTTTAAGTCTTAAAGTAAGTAATAAATATAAATGATACTAATTATACCGATCGTAGGAACCTATGTAGTTTATTGATACCTCCTTAAAAATGTCAATATCGTTATTGATAAGTTAAGTTCCAAGAGAAATTTATTTTATTCGCTATAATATTGATTCACTTTTGTTATAGTTTCAGAGTATTAATTTAGAACTAAAATGCGAAGTCACACCAGCCCCATTCATGCTGCGGCCTTATGCTGGTCTCTACAACCCCTTCCCTCACGGGTGTTCAGTGCTATGCAACCATCCAGCCGACACAGAAGCTAAGGAATACGTCAAACGAGCTAAGGATAATTGGGTAAGATTATATCCGACTATATACGAAGTTCCAACGCATAGAATAAGAAAGAAGGGTATTGTGAGGAAGGATGCATCACACTGGAAGATAAATATGAACCTCTCCTTAATTTGGGACCACACTGCGTTTTGTAATATATCCAGTTATGTTAATATTTATTTATTATAACTATACAGTTATCGAAATATTCAAACAGTTTATAATTTGACTGTAGTTCAAGTTATGTTTCCTAAATTAACTATATATTTGAACTTACACCCATCGTTCTCGTGGATATATCCTGGTATCCTGAAAATCAAATCCTATTTGTGTTTTATTTCAAATTGTTTATTTTTTTATTCAGTTTTTGGAAGGCAAAACACATTTCTTTCAAGAGGATCTAGCGAAGTTCCAAGATGCACCTGAGAAAAATAAAACCCCCCACGATATTGTCACCGAGGATATGTTCAGAAGGTGAGAATCAACGGAACATTTTTAGTTTCATACCGAAGTGTAATCACATCGGAATTATCAAATAATTTTCAAAAACAAAACAGTTTTCAATGTTATTCTTTCTGATTATAATATGAGTAATTAATTTGACTTTTTACTGGATTATATAAAAAATGCTGTGGTAGTGAATACTAAAAATATTAATCCTACAGTAAAATTCTAATTTATTATCGAAATTGTGGATTTTAATAATTTGAATGATGTGGATTGGAAATCATTAAAGCAAAATACAAAGTAGTAATAAAATACTTGTACTCATAAATTGCCGTGTATTCCCGGCATAGAATAGGCCACCCATTCCTTTCCAGTGGGTATTCTAAGAAACGACTAAGGGAACTTAACACTCGATTGATGGGCAGTAGTATCCCTCTTAAAACAGCGTTAACACCTAACTGCAGTTGCAAACCTCTGGAGAAGTCTATGTAGTGGAGAGTTAGAGAGAGTAGTAAGCAGTGGAGAGTTAACTACTTATATAATAGTAATAATGACTGGTAAATGTATTTATTTATTTAAATATTAATGCACAGTAAAATTCTATGTACATTTGTCCGACTTAATACCGGACTTTTTACAAAAGTCGATTGCTTGGGTACCTGTCTCATTCGTGTTTCAACCGTAAAACAGTTGTGTTTGCTTGGTTGTGTTTCGGTTTGAAGGGTGGGATATGGCGTGAATTTATTGGGCACGGAGGAATAACACCTAAGTCCTCGGGAATGGCAACGCATGGGGGGTATCATGGGCGAAACAGTATACTCTGTTATGTCCATGCTACTGCTCATGTCTATAGGCGACGGTTACCACTTTCCATCAGGTGGATCGTCAGCTTGTTTGCCATTCTAAGTTGTATATAAAAAAAAACTCAAAGTACCATACATAACGATAGACTAAGTTTATATTTATTTATTTAGGATTACCAACATTAGTTACAATGGTATTTTGTAATATACTTTTATTGCAATATTACAAACATTGCACTAATTAAATTTTTCCTTATCAATACACTTTTAAAATAATCATTCAAAAATATAGGAAATTGTTAATTTATTTCTATAAATTGATCAATAACAGATACTTTAGTACGAACGCTATTAACAAGTCAATCCACTTCTGTATATGGGCTATAATTGGACAGAATTATTAATTAATCTATCATGGACTGTTGTAACATGGCAGTTAACGCATTGCGTGTTGATTTACGTATCTTAACGTTAAATACTTAATTGATTTTATACCTAAAAGGTGTTTGGTTACCGAATACTACAATTATGGTAATTTAATGGGCCTTCTTGGCGCAGTTCTTTACACGCTACTTTTTTGTGGGTGATAATGGATAATGGTAACCCCACCAGCGTTATCGGTATACATTAGCGGGACACCAGTGAGAGATGACAGGTGAGGGTGAAAGTAGATCACTTGGCCCATCGTGACGAATGCGACGAGAAGTAACAATGATGGTTTCCAGGATGAATCGCGTGGAGGTTGACCTGGTAGGATATAATTGCTAGTAATGGAGCTTTTTTAATGGATGATAATGGAATTTTAACCCCGCCTGCGCTAACAATATACGGTGGCGGGGCAGCAGTGAGGGATGATAGGTGAGAATGAAAAGGCAGGCCAGTTAGCCCATTGTGATGAATATATCTGGAATTTAGCACGATAGTTTCCAAACGACTTCCCCACGTGGAAGTCGACCTGATAATGTATATTGATAGCAAAAGGGTTGGGTAAATTTTTTGGAATCGACCTTTTTCGAATTGACTCGGGTCGAGCAGTTCCCCTAGATATTTGTTGCCCAGTTCATCATAACATAGGATATCTTAGCTTGAATGTCAGGTTATTACTGTGATTGTATGACACGTATTATTATTTAAAAAATACTGTTTGTCTATATGTTCAACATAAAATAAAAACAATAAACTAAAATTTCGGTCCGCAAAAAAAAGCGTCTTAATAGGCTTAAACTAATTTTAAACATAATTATCAAAATCACATTGAGGATATTACGTAACAAAAAACGTACGCAAAAAAAATTACAAACGTATTGTGAAATTCCTTCTTTATTAAGTCCCTTGTGAATTACTTGAGTACTACGGTACACTACTACGGTAATCAATTATTAGTTAATTGGCATGTTGACATTTACACTCAAGTGTAAACAAAATAAAGTTTTCAAACATTATACTACCAAACTAATATGAGTTATTTAGCACTGTTTGTTCCACGTAGCTTTGCCTGCGAAGCACCATTTAATTTTTGTATTCTTATAAATTTTTGGGAATGTCCTTTTTACATGCTTTCAACTTAGTGTTAATCAATTTTCAGATATATTTTATAAGTAATACAAAAACAAGTAAACTTTACTTTGTTTGAAAAGTGGTATAAAGGATGATACTTACATAATATTTAAATATTGTACACACTTTTCACCAGAAACTGGTATACAAAATTTATTTTATTGTGCTATTATGCTATGCTACTACTATTTTACTTATATCGTTATGTTATATAAATGTCAACATATTTACATATTTAAGCAGATACTTATACCAACTGGAAGTGTCAAGTTGTATCTCATGATATTCTCGCTCGATTCTGATACAGATATTAGTTTTTCAATTGAGCCATTAAGCTTCGATTTTTACGATGAATTTACAAACAGATAGGTAGATATAAATTTCTAAAATAGAAAATTTGGATTCCTCCATTTCGTTCGAGCCATCTACGTCTAGCGATTTTCGGAGTTCCACATCTCAAAAGAAAAAATGAAACCCTTATAGGATGATAATTGTGCATGGTGTTAGTCGATCACGCATGGATTTTTAACGACCATGTCATTTTGGACATAGTACATTTAAATAATAACAAATAATGTTAACAGAGATTTAAAACAGTAACTGTTAAGTCCCTTGTGGGCTCTTCTTTTAAAAAATCTATTTAAATAATCTATCTATCAAGATTCATATAACTTTATATATATCAAGGTCTATCAAGACTTTTTTCTCAAGAATGCGTGAACATATCAAGTTAAAATTAACATCAAATATCCAAGTCTATAATCCCTTGAAGTTATGAAAAAATCAAACTTTTAAGCCAACGCAATCAAAAGATACGACCCTTTATAATGTATTATATTTTGACTTTTGCAAGGGAATCAAAAACTATGAGATACTTCCTATTGATCTAGAATCATGAATTTAGTAACAAGCAAATGCAACGGCACAAGTAAATGTAACAATCCAAAAAACGATAAATTTGTAGTTACAAAAGAATTATTTTTTTTTTAATATATTTTGTAGAGCCCGACTCGCATTCGGCCGTTTTGTACTTAGCCGCTTTTTTTTTTGGTGTGAGTACCTACCCAATACCAGGATATAGTGCATCTGTATACTAAATTTAATTCAAATCCGTTCAGCTGTTTAAGCGTGACTAATAACAAACGTCCAAATAATAACAAACTTCCATAGATCTTTACAAATAGGAGAATTTATTTTGGTTTCCAGTATAATAATATGCTTGTTTCTTGGTAAAATACCTCGCAATTTCTAAATAGAGAACTCTTTGATGTTTGTTAAGCTAGTATTACAATGTAATGTTAATGGTGTAATAGTGCGATATGGCTGTGAAATTACAGGGTATGGGGTCATAAAATCATGGTCTTTAAGCATGGCCACGCAAGAGGGGAACCATAGATGTTCTGTACTACATTTGATCAGGTAGGAGATCAGTTTGTTTACCATTTTAAGTATTATAAAATAAATAGGTATGCAGAAACTGACTCGAGACCCCTCACTCCTGCGCCGACGCTGGCCAGCGGGAAGTCCAGGGGCTCGCGGAGATGCCTTACACCCGACCAGCCACACCAGAGAACAACCATCGTTCTTGACTTACGAAGAAGTCATAGTCAAGTAGGTATCTGTTTATGAAGTTTCCTCATCAATAGTTTAGGAAAATTTATCAAGAAAATAAAAAAAATGACTAAATCATCGGCTGATATGATGACAATGATATAATGAGTAAATATAAGTTATCTAGATATAATTTCTCATTTAAACCACTTATGAAGTGTCCATTTTTTATTCTACCACTCAACTTAGCAGTTTCTGCTGCGAAAAAGGGGGGAAAAATTCGACTGTTATACTTTTTAATCAAAAGCATAATCTAATTATGTAAGCTTATGGGAGTTTTTTTTTGATGGGTGAAAATGGTATGGTAACCTCGCCTGCGCTAACGGGATACGCTGGCGGAGCACTAGTGAAGGGTGATAGATGAGAATGAAAACAGGCCAGTTAGCCCATCATGATCAATTCATTAGGAATTAACCATGATAGTTTCCAAGGAAAACCGCGAGGAGGTCGACCTGGTTGGGTATATTGCTAGCAGTGGGATTGTCAGTCTCCATTACTAACAATCCCTTTCCCCCCCAGCTTATGGAAGTTTCAATGTTATAAGCTCGTCATATTTGTGCATGGCACTCCTAGACACAAGGAGAGTGATAGGTATGTAAATGATATGTACTAACAGGAGAGCACTCTTCTCCCTTCCCCACTATAGACACTATAAACCTGATTGCGGACATATTACCGTTCCCCACTCTCCTTAATAAGTTATTATCAGGGAGTGCTGCATATGAATTTGACAAGCTATAACAAATCAACTATAAAGTTTTTTTTTTTACTTTATTTGGAATAATAAACAATTGTATAGTGTATTTAAATACATGAATATTTGCACAATAAATATCATTGTCTTCTAATTACTAATTATGAAAATAAAAACACGTTTATTACATAATCGTGATAGATACGGTAGTAGGTATCTATCACGTACATAGTATCATAAGTTCCACTTGTATTTTACGTCAGCGTAAGTTATGTAACCATAACCAACTGTTATGATTGTTGACATTAAATCCTCAAACTATCAGGAAACCCTTTATTACCACGGATATACAACATCGGATATGACCGTCGGGCACACGACAACCGCGACCAACGATCGGTCTACGCTGCCATCCTTGAACCTCTCCGAAGGCGCCCACAACCGTTTGCTTAAAGGTCAATGCGAACAACTACCACCATTGGCGTCACCACTTGTGCTCTCGAAGAGGGCTGTGCCTGTAAAAGAACCACTCAGCGTCAGAACCGCAAAAAAGGTAGTGTTCATTTATTACGAACTATGTAGCTTTTACCCGCAACGTTACGTTATAGAGGAAGTTTTGCCAGTAGTTGCCACGCTTGGCAGACGCGTTAGCAACCACAGTTTGGCTTTTGGTGATCTTTTAAGAGTGGCGCTGTTGCCCATCCGTCCACCGTAAGCTCCCTTAGAGGTGGTCTATTCTATGCGAGAATCACACTGCTAACTACTGAAGTATGAGTTAAAAATTAAAATGTTGGCTTAATTATTATTACCAGAGTAAATGACTTTTATATTATGTATAAAAGTCATTTACTTTGGTACAGCAGCTGCGGTTGATGCAGCTGTGTCTGCATGGCTGTATTTCGGTTTGAAGAGCATGGATATAGCAGTGAATTTACAGGGTACAGAGGGATAACCCTTTAGTTTTCAGGAATAGCAACATATAGCGAAAAAATATACTATGTTATGTCCATGGTACTGCTCGTGTCTATAGGTGACTGTTACCACTTTCCATCAGGTAGGCCGTCAGCTTGTTTGCCATTCTAAGTAGCATAAAAAATGAAATTCAGGTACATAATATTATCACAGCGCTTTCAACCTAAATATATTCGTTTTTACAAATATAAGCCTTTGTTTTCATCCACTTTATAATGGTTGTTTCTACTATACTCTCAGGAAGTTACTAGAGCGTTGCAACCTATAAAGGTTGAACCTAATATCTATTTACTAGATAACTGATAAACTTATCAATTAATAACTTTTGACGTTAGTACGATAGCGATTCGTTTCCAAGTTAAACGGGTTGTAAAAATACATATATTATAGCTAAAGTTACTATAGAAGCAGAATACATAATCATGCTGCCATTTCTGATCTCGAAGACTAAACTCTTGTCCGTTAGTAAAGAGAAAAAGCCAAAAGACAAGAGCTTTATTGTGTCAGGCGATAATTTAGCGTCTTTAAAATCTGGACGCAAGAAACGTAGGCCCCTGCGACTACCTCCGTTAGAACTACCGTCACCATGCGATTGCAGTCTCATGCATGTGACCAGAATAGTGATTAATTATGCTCCCAAAAGTAGAAAGAGAGGAGCGTCCAATATTGCTTTGTCCACAACTGCGTGGGGCACCACTGGGCAAAGGAAGAGAATGAGATTGCCAAGTATCAGACTCCCGAAACCGGTTAAAAAGGAAAAACCTTTAAGCTACAACTGTGATGATTTTTTTCGAAAACTTGAGGTACTTTTGCAATCAGGATAATTTTTATACCGTCTGAAAAAATCTGTCACTATGAATGATAAAGGCGATTGAAGGAAAATCATCTAACCAACGTCTAAGATAACCAGCAATATTTCAATCTTATAAATAAATATAATAGATAGAATCTGTATTACCTTAACGAGAATAGAAATTGAACCTTATATTTGTGAAGCTATATCTCTAACTCGTAACAGTTTTTCTAATATCGATAATAATTGTGTAAATATATGTTAATGCTTTAATTACAGAATCAACTAAAGGCACTGAATCTAGGTAAAGCTATCAAGAACAAAAATAAAGGCGATACGCCAGCATCGCAGCGTTCAAAGGGAGAAAAAGAATCAAATGATGGCAGTGAACAGGGACTGGCAAATATGGAGGAAGGAGGTACGTATATACATAGTGTACTGTATACTTTGTATCGCAGAAAGAATTTCAGTACTTTCTTAAATAAGAAATTTTTTTAAGATTTTAATTTACCTACTGTGCTTGAGAATATGATTAGCCAATTAAATTATTCTGTAAGACTAAAAGTGGAAAGAGTTGTGACGATTTAAGGATCCGCGCCTGAAGAATCTTAGAATCCAAAATATCGATATCGGTACTGGTGGACTTCTTTCGAACATCGAAATAGCATGATTTATTTTAAAAATCAAAATATCAAGTACAAAGTTTTTGAAGTATATAGTTACGATATCTGTATATTAAAGTTTGTTGCGTTGTTGAAGACATTCCACAGTAAAATCCAGTACCAGTTGTGATTCGATATCGTATGTTATCGATATTAACCATGTTTTGCTTATTGTTAAACTGCATTATAAAAGTAAGGGATGCCTATTGAATATTTATTCCTCGTTTACCAAATGATATACCAAAAGGCAGGCCATTACACTATATGTCTTCATTATCATTTCTCTTATGAAACAACCCTAATTTTACTATTTAGTAATTTCTCTACTCAATTGTAATTATCTATTCTCTTCGTATAAAACACATCGTAGGCGAGAGCCGTAGACGTGGCAAGAGACGGCGTAAGGGCCGTCAGGGCGCAAGCGATCGATTGACATCAGCGGGACTCGCGGCTCAGGCGCAACAAGATCCTGAGACTCAGGTAATTAGGTGCATATTATAAAATCAAGATTAAAAATTGAAATTATCTTGATAACGTAATATTAGTCTAAAACAACATAATATTTTCGGTCTCACTGCTGTACCGTACAGTCTCAACCGCTGGATTTTTTGTTATATTCATCGTTAAGAATGCTATAACGTCCCACTGCTGGACACAGATTGCTGCTTATAATAAAAAAAAACTATAATTTTATACAGACCCAAATACGTTTGTAACAACAGATTTATATGGAATTTAGTTTACAATTTTTTTTTATAGCTTACTAAACCTAAAATATTTTCCATATTACTAACTATATAATAGGTAGGTACTATTTTTTCACATCAACTACTTTACGAGGTTGGAAGATATATAAAATATCACGACATATTTGGACGTATATTCACTGAAAAGTTAAATACCTAATATTTTTTAAATAATAATATATAGAGCAACCAATTTGCTATCAATTCTGGTAGGTATATAAAATAAATAATCATATCCGATGACTGTGAAATTGAGCATGAAGGATACTGACTGTTTCATTGAAGAGTCGTATTTTGGAAGCATATATATGACTCTCCTTATATATGCTTCCATGCACGTTTCGATAACAAAACAAAAAAAAAAGCACGCACGTAATGGCAGTTGGAGATTAATGCCTAATATGGAAGTTTGTGGAATTTCTGATAGTAACAGTGGTGGTTAATCTTCGTGTATTGGCAATCACACACACACATACTAATGGTAATGGAATTAAAATAACTCTAATTAAATAACCAGTAAACTATTTAATTTTGTAGTAAATATACAGCAACAATTTCAAATTTGTTTATACCATAGAAATGGCAAGCAGGCATATATAATACATTAAATAACAATATATACAACTATGTGAGCGATGCAGACTCAGAAAAAGGCTCATGCTTTCTTTGAAGAATCGCAAGCAGAACTGTTGTACACGCTCAGTCTCTAATAAAACGCTTTTTAAAAAATCTATATGAAAACCTAGTTTGGGGCTTACCGTGAATTTTTCGACTACTACCATTATCGCCGCCATATTACTATAAAATTTTAGAATCTTATCACATGCAAATAAATATATCATTACATTCAACTGTTTAAATAACTTACTGTTTAAATAATTATTTAGACATTTAAAAAGAAAAAAAAACGACGCTATTGATTTTAATAAGATTTTTAAACATGTATAGATAGCGGGTATTGGCAGCGACTCACAGAACCCCAGTTCCCGAGGGTCTATCGCGCCGTCAGCTGATGATGAAATTATCACCTTGCCTATGATCAAGACTGGTGCTGCCAGGAAGACTGACTCGTTCCTCGATGATGAAATTTTGAAGTATTTACATAGAGAAGTTGACGAGGAAGCAATTGAGACGGAATTTGATACCAAAGTATGTACAGTTTTAAATCAAAATTGTTTAATTTTTGCGAAGCGTATTGTAGTATTTTATTTATAATCTAAGGTTTTATTATATAAGTGTATTTTGATCCTGAGATAAACAATATATATATATTAGATATAAACGAAATTTGGTACATGAGTAAATTATATAGTAATTGAATATACGAAACTTTAAATATTAATTTATGGACAATGCCACAGGAAACAGCTAGTAAAAATAATGTTCGAAATCTTTTTTATATTCTATATAATATCGCATTATTATTTTATCATGATTTTAAATTAAATTTTTTTAATAGGTGATAATGGAATTGTCAACCCTTGTGCGCTATTGGGGCACGAGTGTGAGATGATAGATGAGAATGAAAGCGATTAGTGGGCCAATTGTGATGAATTCGGCAAGAATTAACCATGATGGTGTCAAGGAGAACCGCTTACAAATTAAGTCGAGGGTGCATTAATAGCAATGGGGTTGCTAGTCCCCATTACTAACAAACCCTTATCCCCTATTCTATTAGGTATTAGCTATTTAATTCTAAAGTGTATAATAATATATATACTAGACTTAGCAAACTAGGGGAAAGAGATTGTTAGTAATGGAAACTAAGAATCTTATCGCTACCAATATAGCCAGCCAGGTCCACCTCCTCGCGGTTCTCCCTGGAAACTATCATGGTTAATTCCTTGTGGAGTCGTCATGATGGGCTAACTGGCCTGTTTTCATTCTCATCGATCACCCTTCACTGGTGCTTCGCCAGCGTATCCCGTTAGCGTAGGCGGGGTTACCATACCATTTTCACCCATCAAAAAAAAAAATCTAGCAAACTACAAATTATGATGTAATATTGAATGATGTAGGTGACACATATTTTAAACCATTTTTATTACTCTAAAACCTATTTTTCATTGAGACAATATTTGTATATTTATTTTATAGCGACGCTATGTCCTCGAGGAAGCGTTAAGAACACGTCCAGAACGGCAGTTCGGACAAGAGATGCAAACGTTACTTCGTGAAATGAAAGTGCCGGCGATGAGCCTCGGCGACTGGTTGCACATACCTCGAAAATTTTCCCGCCAAAACGCGCAGTTCTCCTTACCTATAGATTCATATGCGCTTGAGTGTAAGTACTCTTTTACAGATCATCATTAAAAGAAGCTACCAATTCGATCTGAAACGATCTTTTCACGAGATGTGTCTGTATGTATTTTGGGGGGAGGGGGCAAATCCACGTCAAAGCTGTCTGGTGCCCACCTCATAATGCAAGCAGATTTCGCAAAGATGTCTCAAAATACATAAGCGCCTTTTTTAGCAGCTGTATTTTTAATATTTTTAACCGACTTTAGAAAAGAAGGAAATTATATGTTCCATTGTATATTGTTATACAAGGATATAAATTAAGCATACGATCCGTCTGATTAATTACTTTTTTTTAATAGATAACAATGGAGTGGTAACCCCGCCTGTGATAAAGGTATACCACTTGCGAAGCTCTAATGAATGATGATAGGTGAGATGAAAAGGCAAGTCAGTTAGCCCGTCGTGATCGCTATACCAGGAATTCAGCACGATGGTTTCCAGAGAGGACCTCATGGAGGTCGACCTGACAGGACAATGTCTCCTCTCCGCCTGGTCAATCACTTATAAACGCAACTCACGCGTGTTACTAACTTTTATAATATTATGAAGATCTCAAGTTATGAGTCCGCAATTCATACCCGAACACTTCAGAGGAAATATAATCACAAATTTCATTCAATAATTGGCAATTTCAAATCTATTTATTTGTTCTGCAAAATATTTTTCAGCTTTAACGCCAATGAATTACGCGGCTCGATTCGTCACTTTGAAGAAATCGAAGCAGTTACTCTATCTTACAGTGCTCAGAAAATTCAGACTACGAGGATATAGGATGCCAATTAAGGTGATTCATATAAATTGCCATTATAATACACGATTAATGATAGTAGAAATATGAACAAAACATTTTTTTTTAATTTTTCATACTAAATCGATCACGTGACAATTTCCTTTAAATAAGCTTTTTTTTTATGGGTGAAAATGGTATGGTAACCCCGCCTGTGCTAACGGTATACACTGGCGGAGCACCAGTGAAGGGTGATAGATGAGAATGAAAACAGGCCAGTTAGCCCATCATGATTTCATCAGGAATAAACATGATATTTTCCAGGGGGAACCGCGAAGAGGTCGACCTGGTTGGGTATATTGCTAGCAATGGGATTCTCAGTCTCCATTACTAACAATCCTTTTCCCCTCCTTTAAGTAAGCTGTCAATGTTCAAATGTCAAACGTCGTGTGATCCCGGCATAGAATAGGTCACCCTTTCCCTTCCCTTGGGTGTCATAAGACTAAGGAGGGCGAGGGATGGGCAGCAGCGTCCGGCTTAAAACATCTCCAAAGCCTAACTGCGGTTGCCAATCCGCCTGCCAAGTGTAGCAACTATTAGCAAGACCCCCAGGAAGGAAACTTATGTTCAGCAGTGGATATTTAAAGGCTGATATGACGATGATGAAGCTGTCAATTTCTTTGCCATTCCCTAAGTTGTATAGTGTAAAAAAATCAAAGGTGTGCCTACGCTTTTTCTCAGTATATAGAAGAAGGCCTAATTCTGATGATGGGTGGCATCCTCACAGCGGAGCAGGCGGGACATTTCAAAAGGATCATGGACTGGGAGAATTATGAAGAAGAAGAAAATATACCGGATGAAATCAAACTGACTTTGTTAGACACTGGGTTCAGAAGGACCACTGTCAGTGAAGGGGAAGACACAGAGGAGGTAGCTATTTATATAATTTTTTTTTTGATGGGTGAAAATGGTATGGTAACCCCGCCTGCGCTAACGGTATACGCTTGCGGAGCACCAGTGAAGGGTGATAGATGAGAATGAAAACAGGCCAGTTAGCCCATCATGATGAATTCATCAGGAATTAACCATGATAGTTTCCAGGGGGAACCGCGAGGAGGTCGACCTGGTTGGGTATATTGCTAGCAATGGGATTCTCAGTCTCCATTACTAACAATCCCTTTCCCCCATTTATATAGTATTATAGTTACGTAGTTTTAGCATGAAATAATAACAAATATCCATCCATTCTTATAAACTTTGACCTTTATTAGTATTAGGATTAATTAATAAATCAGTGCATTTCACGAAACGCCACAAATCGGGCGTAAATTCAATAATATTCTAAAATAATTTGCATTTAACACCTACAATAAATACGCACGCACACGCACGCATACACAAAAACACACACGCACGCACACGCACACGCACACACATAGGCGCGCGCGCGTGCACAATTATCGTTGGTCCTTCGAGCCCGATTTGAACCAGCGACCTATGTTTTTTTTCAGTCAGACGAGAACACTATAAAATATCGGACTTGGTGCGGTCTTTGCGCAGTATGTGAACGAATGTATGGAAGGTTTCCACCGCGAGACAAAGATCCACCTGATGGGGTATGATACTTACAAATAAGTTCAAAATTCTGAGCGTCATCTAAACTTATGCGTAAAATTAATTCTTAAATTTAACACCATAGCGAAATCTTTATTCTAAGGACCAATATGGACTAATTTTGTAATAGATTTAATTCATAATTTTTATAATTTTAGTTTAAATGGTCCATAAAACAGTAATTTCGTAAAATTATGAAATTAAAATATTAGATTAAGAGATAGACTTCGAGAAATGGGACCTGAGAATCGGCTCTATATTATTTTGTTTATGATAGAACATATCCTATACTACGACGTCCAACTGAATATGTATCTATATTATATTGTGATTATTTCTTGTAATTGTTTATATTTAAATAAGAACAAAAGTTTTTGGGAAAAGATTAGCAGCAGCGTCTCTCTTGAAACATCACCAAAGTTTAACTGCGGTTACAAACTCGCCTGCCAAGGTTTGACAACTACTGGCAGAACCCCCTTAATGGGGGAGACCTATGTTCAGCAGTGGACATTTAACAGCTGATATGATGATGATGATATATGTATATGTAGGTACTTCAAGAAAAAAAATCTATTATTTCGTCATAGCCGTAGAATACTGACGGATCTGACAAATATTACATTTATATATCTATGACTATGACGATTTGTATAAAAAAGAAAATATTACTATATCGATTTATTTAATTCACATAACTTGTTTTTGTATTGCAGATGGAGTTAAGCGATTTCAGCATGGTGGAAACAAAGCTAGCAACCCTAAAAGTGAATAGGGGTTTAATCGAAATTTTAAACGCGATAAGAGAGCGATAATTTATTTAATTTAATGTTAATTGATTTTTAAAGGAAATATACATATTTGTTATACTATATGTGTACTTTGTTATATTGATCTACGATACGATTAGTATTTACTAAAAATTTAGACATGACTTTTTTCCTAGCGTGTCTTTTTTATTTAATTTTTTTTTAATATGTATAATAGTAATATAATAAAAAATTAGATATTATTTAATGAACTATTTCCTAAATAAAACTTGAAGGAGGAAGGACTTATTAGTAATACGGTCTACCAGTCCTATTGCTAGCAATATTCCTTGGCAGGTCGACCTCCAACTGGTCTTCCCTGGAAACCATCATGTTCAATTCCAGGTATTTTCTGACTCGCCGTCTTTCATTCTCATCCCTTACTGGTGTCCCGCCAGCGTATACCATTAGTGCGGGCAGGGTTACCATTACATTAGCATACATTTAAAAAAATAAGATTTATTTGGGTAACTAAAAATCATTTCCATTCCAAGAACAGTAGCGGAGACAGCTTTGGACACAAACATGTCTGAAGTATATACATGTCTTTTTTAAGGAACTAACTCCCTCCCTGCAAAATAAATCTTTAATGAGTCTATGTGAATAGGTCTAAGAAGGAATTTTGAAATCTTTGGAATAGGTACCGGATACAAGTAAACTGAAAGTGAAAGTTTTTATATTTTTTTAAATTTAAGTAGTTAATAATATATATATGGTAGATGCATACGATAACTAAAATCATACAGATAAGTAGTTTTAAATTTTTAATTTATCTTTGGTTTCTTACTTTAAAACGAAAAAAAATTTAGGTACTTTATTTATTTTATTAATAAATAAAAGACTTGTAACCCATAATGAATAATCCTCAGAACTAACATTACAGATTATATAAAACTCGTTTTTCTTCTTTGTTTTTTTTTTTATTCTTTGTCTCTTTTTAAGAAATACCTCTGAAAGAATCACTTCGCAAATATACATAGATATAACTTTAAAAGCACTTAAAAGCACAACGGTTTACACGTTGAATGTACTAAATACGTAACATATACGCTTTGCACCTACACTTAATATAGTGTAAACCGGCTACATTTGCAGTCAGTGTCAAATGTCAATGTCAAAGTAAACCGTTTTTTATTTAGAAAACTATTTTTGGGTCGGTCGTTATTGTACCCTGACGAATTTATTTAGATTTTAATGAAAATAAACACTGTGAATCGTTAGCCTACGCCTATAATATAATTTATGCGTTCATTTACAATTAGACTTTTCAAGATTTACTGATTATAGAAATGGACACATCAAATAATGACGGTGAGATAAGAATAAATAAACATTTAACGCCGCGTTGGTATTCTTCATAGGCCGACTCTGTTATTTCTTCGTAATTTAATGTTTTTACAGAGTATTTCGTGACTGCACTGCAAATATTTGATTACTGTGGAGCTGATAGTTCAAGTACATTACGTGTTGATGCGCTGATGGATAAATTCGCTCCTTTCATTAAAACGAACAAGTAAGATTTCAGACAGGCACTAAATATTAAATATATTCAATCATTATATGTTTATTTCCTTTATTCTTAGCTATAATATTTATTTTTTCCAAAGTGCCATTAATTGTAGGTATATACTTCAAAAACATGAAGGTTAAAGGAAAAATATTGTTTAATTAGTCACATTACTCATTTCCCACCTAATGTAAACATTCTGTTCCAGTTGTGGCATCATACAAACAAACTATAAAAATCAGCCTTGTATTTGTATGTATAAGTAATTTATTGACATTTATTCATTGTATGTTTATAAAGATGGGTTTTATTAATTAAAAAATATTAAATTTTTATAGATATAGATATCACCTAATTGTCATTATTTTATTCACATATATATTGTGTGTATGTAGTGTTGACAACACTATAATTTTGCTGATTTCAAAAATGTCATCATAATTTTTTATATAATTTAAAATTCATTTTACTTATTGTAAATAAATTTCATTTTACTTCAAGTTAGCAACTAAATTCATTGAGGTAATGACAAATAAAGGAATGTTTCATTTAGTGTCTTACTAAAAAAAAGTCTAGAAATTATGAATGTGTAAACATCTCTTTTTTCATAAAAATAAATGTCAACATATAATTCTATTCTAGGTCAGAATATAGTCACCTGAAATCAATACTGGATCCTGACCATGACAATCCAGAAATAAATGTGGCAATGTTGGCGAAGGCGCTGAACAAGTATAGTGAAAGCCAGAAAATAAAAGTTGATCTTGATGAAAGGTAAAACAATTTATGAATTTCTCTCTTTAAGACTACCATTATTTAAAATTTCATATATAGTGAGATACCCTATTCATTTTCCATCTTACATCCCTTTCTATTCATATTTCATTCTAAAGTGACTGACATAACCCAAAGGATAAGCTAAATTGGTAATGGATTGGTCACAGGGCTTGAAGATTCAACAACTAATTGAGAAGAAAGGTTCTTAAATGGTGACCTTCAACAAGCAAACACAGTGTAGAATGACTTCTTCACTAATGTAGCGACAACCTCAAATACATTGCAGAGAGTCAGTGGATGCAGGTAGCTTGGGACAACTGCTTATGACAGTTTATGGAGGAGGCCTATGTTTAGTTAGTAGTTCAGTCAGTAGTGGACAGTTAATGGCTGATATGATGATGATTCCTTTCTATTTTATATTGCTCTCTTATTTACACATTGCTACAGTTGTAAAAAGTACAGGTGTCAAGTTTTAAATTACAAAAAAAATGTATATGAAGTCCACTTTAGATTTTACACTCAATGGTTGACTTTTTGTGTACTACCCTAATAATTTATATTATCAGTGGCCTGTTAATATACATTTTCAGTAATTCAAATTACATAAATATCTATTTATTTTAAATAAATAAGGGGAACCTATTTTCGTTCAATATGACAGTAGGTTTTGCTTAAAGGTACCTAGTTATAAAAAAAATGTTCATGATATAATAAATTAATATATTCTTTTTTTGTATAGTTTCAATTTGAAGACTGGGCAGGCACCACATGATTCTGACTCAGGAATATCTACAGATGGTAAGTAAATCATTATCAAATTATCTTTAATCTAATGTTATTATATTTCTGAAAGTATTAATATCTAATGTTAATATATTATCTATTAATATATATCTAATGTTATTATATTTCTGAAAGTATAAATAATATTATTTCATTTTAAATAGTATATGAAACGAAAAATTTCGACTACAATTAAAAATTGAATGGTTAAATGATTAATACAAAATGTACATGACATTTAGTATTTTAATTATTTAACCATAGCTAAAAATAGACAAACTTAACCCTCTTTTTTACTTAAAAGTGGGGTTATATATATCATAAAAGATAAAAATAGGTTGCATACCATCCTGTTATTACTACTGCTTTGTTTAATTTAATAGTATATTAAATGTTTGTTTACATTTTTTTTTTTAATTTGACAGTTACCTAATTCACCAAGGGTTAACACTGATCTGCTTTATCCTCACCTATTATCTCTCACTGGTGTCCCATCAGTGTCTACCAATAGAAGAGGCAGGTTTCCCATTCCATTATTAACTATTCAAGAAATTAATTGTCAACCCAACTCCATTATTAAGGGGAAAGGAATTGTTAGTAATGAAGTCCAACAGTCTCATTACTAATAATATACCCTATAGATCAATCCCCATGGTTCCCCTTGGAAACCACTATCAATATCATCACAATGGGTGACCTGCTTTTATTCTCACTGGTGACTCGCTAACGTAAACTAATAGCACAGATAGGGGGGGAGGGGAGGATTATTAGTTATAAGGAGTACCAATCCTATTGCTATCAATATAAACTGGCAGGTCGGCGTCCAAGTGTTCCCCTTTGGAAACAATTATGCTCAATTCCATGTGTATTCATCACGATTGGCTAACTGGTCTGACTTTTCATTCTCACCTATCATTCCTCACTGGTGCTCCGTCAGCGTATACCGTTAACGCAGGTGGGGATACCATTTCATTAATATTCAATAAAAAAATAGCACAGGTGGGTTTGCCATCCTATTTACACTCATTAAAAAGTAACTCCATTATCATATAGGTTTCCAACTGCTGGAGGAGTTGCAATGCGAGCTGCGCGAGAAGACGCACCTGGCTGCCCAACTGCGCGGTCAGCTGGAGTTCACCGACCGGCAGCATGAGGAAGCGCTCGCCGCCATAACTGCCGAGCGAGATTCTCTGCGTGCACACCTCAACATGTATGACGCGAACTATGATACTGTTGTTCCATTGAAAAAGTTATTTGATATTGAACTAGCTGTTTCTCATGGCTTTGCCCCCATGAATCAGTACATAAAGGATGCTATGTGTTATGATATGTGGTGACTTAATGGTAGAGGGATGGGCAGCAGTGTCCCTCTTAAAACATCTCTAAAAGCCTAACTGCAGTTGCCAACCCGCCTGCCAAGCATGACTACTGATAGAACTCCCCTTATGGGGAAAGCTTTTGTTTAGCAGTGGACATTTAACACCTGAAATGATTAGTAAAATCATTATCTTTCTTCTCTTGTCCCGTTTACTTGGGGTCGGCGTAATATGATATAATTTATATTACACGAGGTTTTGGCTTTTGATTTTACGATTGAGCGCCTGTCTGATGTCAACTCTCCTTGGTAAATAGTTGTCTTTATTTAAAATAAAAAAAAAAAAAAAAATACGTACATAAGAAGATATCTAAGTTAATATAATGTGTACAACTATTATATGTCAGGAGGTATTAGTGATTAACAGTTGAGATTGCTACTTTTAAGGAGAAATTGGAATAATAATATACAGTTTGGTATATTAATTTATATTATAGCTCTGTTTATGATGGGTTGGTTTAATTATATATTTTGTACTGACAGGCTCCGCGACGAGAACATGAACTTGTCGCACGTGCGGCGTGATTACGAGGAGGCGTGTGAGCGGCTCAGCAGCAGCGAGCAAGCCCTAGGCCGCACCCGCCGCGACCTTGATACCGCCTCGCGCCGCGCCGGCCGCCTGCAGCAACACGTCGCCGCGCTCGAAAGCGAGGTAGGACAGCTTAGTAGCACCACACTGTACCACTCGAGGGTGAGGTAGGAGACCTTACTTTACATATAGGGAGGAAAGGGATTGTAACTAATGGGAGATATAACAGCTCTACTGCTAGAAATATATTTTTTATTCAAGTAAACTTAATTACAAGTATTTTTGAATAGTTATTTTTTTATGATTCCACAGCCCATTTGGAATGTAATTTCAGCTGAGAAGAACAGGCAAAAAACTACTATCGCTTTTATAAACAAAAGTTTTAGAATTTAGAACAAGATTTTACAGTTATAGATAATGAATATAGAAAATGCCGCAAGAGTTATTTAATAAACAAATCAAGTCTATTATTGTAAATATTGAATTGTATTGATTGTTAATTTAAATTGTATTATTTATTTATTATAATGCATTCATGTACAAAATATAGAGTTGGTACAATGTTCTTATTATAAATTGTAATATTATATGATATAACCAATCATTTCAATCTCCATGAGATTCTTCTTCTTGATGAATTCATTGTAATGAGCTAACTGACCTCTTTTCATCCTCTCCCATCATCCATTGGTACTCAATCAACATATACCTTTAACACGGGCTGAGCAACATTTTCATCCATTAAAATGATCTTATTGTCCAATATTTTATCATCACAATATACTAGATCCAAATATATTTCCATAAATGTCAATAATTTTAACCCGTTCCTTGTATTTTTTCTTTTCTATCACTGTATAATTTGTAACCTCGGTGGTGCATTTCACAAACATCTCTATGTGTTCTCTAACAGAATTCACAATATTAAGTTTCATATATAGAGGACACAATGTATTTTTACCACCATTTATTAATTGATTGATTGAATGTTGTTGATTGATACACAGGGTAGAAATGCTGTTTTTTTTTTCGTCAAATTGTGATTTAATCCTGTAATAGTGATGTAATAAAGAATTAAATAAACTTCCTACTTGTTCATATATTTACAGAAACAAATCCTACAAGAGCTGTTGACCAAATCAAAAGAAGAATGCCACCGCATCAACGAGATGTATGCTAGCAGACAATCGTCCCTGCTAGAAGAGAATGAAACTCTCAAAACAGAACACGCGGACCTCGCCTCGCGGCTGCAAGATCAGGAGGAATTTATGCAACAGTTGATAAAGGAAAAGGTGATATTGCTATCTCTTTTATATTAATTAGGCGTGTATAATATCAGTACCAGTCCAATATCTATATATTGGGTTACTCTGGATATTGATAGTGGAAAAATTGGTCATTTATTTTGATGTCTCTCATACCAGTCTGATATTTATATTTATTTCGATCGGGTTCTTAATTTCAATATTCATTATTTATTTGAACTTTATTGCACTGTTTATAAAAAATATTTATTTATTTATTTCGAATTAGGCACACCAACAGTATACATATTATACATAAATTAAATAACATTTTTTGTGCAGCACGCTGATATGCATACCTATAGCAGGCGTACACAACATTGACTACAGATTACATTCATATAAATGTCATAATATAATTAATATAATAAATTAAATTTATAATCACATATTTTAAATTAAAATAATAAATACAGTCTTAAGAAAAAGTTATACAAAATGGTGCCTTATCACTAAGCAATCTGTTTCAGAGTACCTTTAGGTTGTATTATATAATAATAATAAATATTTATTTGCGTAAAAACATGGTATAACAGTGATGTTATAATTATATTTAAGAGTGCACATGTCTTGCTAAAATCATATAGTATGCAAATTAAATTTCCTATTATCAATCATTGTTAGATATACAAAATTTTTTGTTAATACTAAATGTTAAAAACATCTACCAAATAAATCTTTTATGTCATAAAAATTCTGTTCCATTAGCCAGTTATATAATCTTCTCCCAAATAAAGTGACATTCAAATCTTTAAATTCATTTGGAATTTTATTATATATATATATATAAACACATATAGTAGGGCAGTTTCTTTTATATTTGTTTCTTTTTATATTTCTTTTATGTTGTATATGATATAAAATAACTGATATTTAATATATCTGTTATTGTGACAATATATAAGTATTGCAGCTACAATATATAGACATTGTCAGTGTCAATCAAGCATTTAGTTCTTCTATTGGCATTTGGCTATTGTATATTTATTAATACTAACAACGATAGAGGCAAAGTTTACGCGATACCAACCCTTCTGTATTTTTCGGGAATTTTTTATAGAAACTAAATTTTAAATTGATATTCCCAGGTACATCTGGAAATGGAGTTGACTGATATGTTGAACAAATCCAACCAGACCCAGCAGAGAATAGACCGGTCCATAGACATCAGTTACACAGAGGATCAGATGTTGAACGCACTCGACAGTCTCAATGCCGATAGTCGATTCTCACAAGGTAAAAAAAAGATATGTAACCTATTTCACTGAAAAATAAATTTATGTATGTGTTATGCATGACAGTAAAAGCTTATTTTTAATCTGTCTACATTATTGTACTGCTACTCTGTATAATGTAAATAATGCTTCTAAGTGTTCCCCTTTCTCTATTCTATAGCAACTTTCTTAAGCTTTGCGAAAGTTTGTGTTATAACAAAGTATACTCTCTGTTATGTCCATGGTACTGCTCATGTCTGTAGGCGACGGTTGCCACTTTCCATTAGGTGAGCCGTCAGCTTGTTTGCCATTCTAAATTGCATATAAAGAAATGTTATATATATATATGCTACTGCTCAGACAAAAAACAACAGTATGTTATGATATTCAATTTTTTCCCTTTTTAATAATTACATTGTAATACAAAGGGCTCTCTCCATAAGGTTGTTAGCCTATCATCATGCTGAATAAACGAATTGGTATAATGTTTTATTGCGAGTTTTCCTAGTTATCTGTTATGACTTTCTGGTGATCAAATTAAGTAATTAAGAAATATTATTTCGAAAGCAAGTAAAAAACAATTTTTTTTTTATTTGTTCAAAAAGCTGAGTGACAGTATCGTAATAAAAAGGTTGTCTTAATTATTTTTCAATTAATATACTCATTCACTTATTCTAGACAACCGTTTGTTAGACGAAGAATCATTTGTAAACGCTTTAAAAGAGGACCAAGGGCGCGCGACCAACATGTCGCTGTTCGACGAAATACGACTGAGCTTTTGCAACAAATCGCGTGTTAATTACATAGACTTCAGCACCACCTGTGATAAATGTAAAGAAACATTTGACAAGTCACTGACCACTGTAGGCACACAAACGGACGACGATCTTGTGGATAAAATATATAATAAAATATCTAGTCGTGTTCATATTCGAAATGATATATGCAATGTTGAAGTTCAAACAGAAGTCTGTGATTGTTCATTAAAATCATATTATAATGTCACAACACAGACTCAATTCTGCAGCGCATTTAATTTACATGCAGACATAGCTATACAAAATGATCGTAAATTAAAATCCCGCCAAAATACGGCTATACAAACAGACGATACAAATAATAATCATTCTGGACCCTGTACGAACTGTGCTAAGTGCGAAAATATGATAGCACACGCTGCGAAATTAGAAAGTGACATTCTAAAATCACAAAGCACCGTAACAGCTATACAGATCGACTTTGACGGGTACGAGAATAACCTGAACGTTATACAGAGTTTAGTCGCCAAGGAGAATGATAGAAATATATACCTACAATCCACTGTAGACAGTCTGCAGTCCAAGTTAGTTATATTAGAAGATCTGTGTGCCAATCAAAGAGATAGGATCACCAGCCTAATGTCTGATACGTGCTCAGTTCGTAGCCAAACAAACAGCTTCATGTGTGATACCTGTACCGCGCAAAGCCAAACTGAATTTGGTAAATTCATTCGTACTTACGTAATGTTGGTAGTATGTCGTATTATTTTGTTTAGTATTGTGACGTCCTGTTTAAATATGGTGGTAGAGTAGTATGTAGTATTTTATATCATATATTATAATAAACGATTCGCTCCAGTTTTGCACGGGTAGATAGAAAGATAATTAGTTTATTAAAACTAACTTTTATAAGCAATTTTTTAATACTTTAAGTTACATTATAGTAATTAGGGACCTCTAATTTGTAAATATATATATATATATATATATATATATATATATATATATATATATATATATATATATATATATATATATATATATTCTATGTGACTTGCTGACAATGCAGATTTCTGTAGTTAAAGGAATTTTTAAAATCGGTTAAGTAATTTTTGAGTTTATCCAGTACAAACATTAAAAAGTGCATATTTATTAGTGCAGGATCCCTACATTAGAAAAATCTGTATTCACGGATATATCTAATTTTATTGGTCTGTGTGTTTTCTATATATAATGTGAATGTATTTACAAAAGCATATTTAGTCTACTAGTTGTCTAGCTCCCATAGTAGATAGATATACAGTACTGGCGATTAATCTATCGGGAGGTGGTATATTGTTCCAACATTTTGTGGCTTGATATCGGAAGCTACCGTTAAAAGCTACGTACGTGTACAAACTCTGGTTAGTTTGGTTGATGTAGTATAAATAATATATGTTGGCCTTTAATTCGATTTATTTTTACTTTATTAACATTTATTGGTAATTTTTGGTGTAAACTAGTTTTTGTACTTCCTTTTATAACACGAAGGGATGTGCGTGATTGTCAAAATATCGATAATTCAATATTATAAAATATCAATATTTATTTGGTGGACATAAATTACATAAATGTCATTATTTTACAATTTAATTGCTCTTAAATTATTGTATAGAACAGTTATTGGATTAGAGTATTATAGCAAATTAATAAAAGAAAAAATAAAGTCTAGGTTATTAGACGAGCGATAAAGTGGATTTTTTTTCATAGAAACTATCTCTCGCCTGCGCAGGCCGTAAATTTGTTAGTAGTTATGTAGATGGCGCGGTTAGCGGTAAGTACATTAATTGTGTGTGTGTATATATATATACAGATAACAGAAATTTTATAAACTTACTATGTTTGAGTAATTGTTTCGACTTCATCCAGAAGTCTTGCGATGTAAAGCACCATATTCACCCTGGAGATGACTTAGGGATGGAGTCGAAACGATTATCGGCAACAATAGATATAGTAAGTTATAAAATTTGCGTTACACACAAAAAGTTTTGTTTTGGCTAACATATATCTTACATACGTATATACCTCATATGTACATAAATATATGTATATTTATATGAAAAATGGTCATGTTTTAAAAAAAATTATACATGTTGCGTTCAAAGTGTAATTATTGCCTCTTTTTAACAGATACGGCATCTGTGGGGACACAAGCGCAGGTGCCTTGTGTGGAGTGTGAAAAACGCAAAGCTGTCGCGTCGCATAAAAATGTTAAGAAGTACCTCTGGTGTGTATGATATTCTAATGGACTTAACGGATTTCATTCCAGTAAAAATTCTTTCAGAATATAAAAGCTAGTGGTTATCTCTTTTCAAGTGTACCATTAGGAATGATTTTCGATTAGTCATGTCATTCGCAATTGATATTACTGTTTTTGTTATTTTAATCTAATTCGAAGCAAAATAAATTATTCTAAATATATCAATGTTAATTAATTGTAGTAAAAGATATCTAGAGCATTTTAAAGTCTAGAAAAACGTGTTCACATTTAATAATTCATTAATTTATAGATAATTAAATTATAGTAAAAGTATAATATATAAATAAATCCTCCATGATCAATCTTATATCTATATAATTGTATTGTAAAATCTTTATTGTACATGATTCAAATTAAGCACTCATAAACGATTTTATATACAATGGCGGACTTATCCCATAAAGGAATCTCTTACAGTCAACCTTTGAGAAGAACCTTATAAATTAATGAGGTGAAACTTTTAATTCATGGTGGCCAGGATTTGTTTACACTGTAATTTTAGTCCTAATGTGTTTTATATGGATGCTATATTTTTAATTTTCATATATACTTTTGATTAATTATTGTAACTGATAATTGGGCCCAATTTTAAAACGTCATTTCTATAAATCTCTCTCTTCTCGTTTAAGAGTTTCCTCTTGTCGGTGAAACTAATTCATGCATTCTCTTCCAACCAGCTCTATTCTAGGCCACATCTTTGACCTCCCTATACGACATGACACCTAGTGTTTCCTTTATCTGTCCCATGTAACTTTTTTCCCTTCCTCTTTTGTCTTCTATACTTCCTTCTAGTATACTCTATAAAAAATCGTCATGTCGTATAAGGCGGCTCTTAATTTTATTTCTTCTATCCTCTATTCAAATTTTAAATATTCAAATCTTATTAAATGTAACTATTTATCTAATTTTTTATATTAGCAGCTTCGCGAATTTACTGTTTTATGAATATCTTCAGAAACTAAATTTATTATAATTTTTAAATTTATTATATTTATGTTTTTTTTTTTTTTTAATTTAACTGTGATATCATATTGGAATTCTAATTTTTATAAATAGAGAAATAACACGTCAGAATTTACCATGTGTAATAATATATTTTTGAAAACTGAAAAATATTTATTTATTTAACACTTTATTGCGTCAGAAACATATAAAAATATACAATAACAATTGAACAATTCAAGTGAAATACGTAAAATAAAATGCACATCAAAATATACACATAAAGGTGCAAAATGCTGTATTATCGCTAAGGCACATATATCCCCACAGATTAATATATATCAAAATAATCCTCTAAACAGTATAGAATTGTATAATAATACTTGTTTTTACTCGCGTCTACGTCTGCATAACCGGGATATATTTAATGATAAAAAGCAGTCTATATCCTTCTCCATGCCATATAATATGTGTATACCAATTTCATAGCAATTAATCCGCTATAAAGTAACAAACAATGAAACAAACTTACTTTCACATGATATTAGTAGCTTCTTGTATATACACTGTTCCCGCACCAGCATCTTTCAAATAGGACAGTTTATAATTGCAGGGAGCCGCTAAAATGTTTGTTTCAATTATTCGCCGTGATCTGCTTTATATGCGCGGTGTGTCTGCTATACGGCGTGGTGCGCCGACGCGACTCCTGCATAACCAGGGGCTCCGGTGACGGCCGCGGAGCCCTGCCTTGGCGCTGGCTACAACCGCAAGACCTCATGGATCTGTTACTACGCATTGAGTACGTCGCAGAGGTTCCCATGTGAGCACCCACCTTCCTGCTTATATTGTCTTACATCCAATCACAGTGTGAGTGTTTTGAAATTTTTCAAAAGGTTTTGTAATAAATATTACCTATTATGAAATGTTATTCTTAAAATTCACTAATATAGTAAAATAATATTTCGTAGTATGGTAAGATTAACTGGAACGATTTTCTTTATCTAACTTATAATCCTAAGCGACTACAAGGGGTGAATATTTAATATACTTAAAATAATTTATTATTATTAATATTTTTGTATGTACCTTAGTTGACTGATGGAAAATGTCTTATGGTGTTATGTCCACTATATATATACGTATACATGAATATTAATAAATAAATATTTACTCTAAGCAAAAATAAACGCATATTAAAGATTTATATACGAAAATCATACTTCTTGATACATATACCGATAGTTAATGATGTAGGTTAGTTCCATGAGAAAAGGAAAAAACATATAAAATGCTTATGAATTATAGAGGTCTAATATTAAATATTATATTTTTTCAATTTGGCGTAGGTAGATAGATATGTAATTGACATGCATTACTTACGGCACACAAATAACAAATATAGGTACATACACAAAGAAAATAAAAATAAAGGAATAAATATACAAAAAAAAAATATATAAAAGAGGTATAATTTGTGAATTTATTGCTTTGTCCTCAAAAGAGCGAAACACTGATATTCTGTTGTGGCTAAAAGTAAAAAAAATACGCCCCCCCCCCCCCCCCCCCTTAGGATGAAATAAGTAAGTTTTAGAAAATTATATTCAAAAGTTGGTCTCATTGAATATTTCTGTGTGAGTGTTACATTAAAGAGACTGTTTATTGTAAATTAGCTTATTTGTCTGTAATGCGTAACGATATGTAGAATGCGTATTTTTTACAATTTTGTATAATTTAACCAAGGATTCATAGATAAAAATGACTCGAATAACTTTGCTAGGTTTCATAAGGCGTTGAAGTCATTAAAAAAATAAATAATAATAAGCATATATTGTACTAGTCCTAATGAATGTACTCAAATATTTGCCACATGGTACTGTTTCTTTCGTGGCGTAATTGGAAACGCTCAAGTTAGATAGATCAGTGACTTGAGTTCTGTTCGTTACATGGATGATAATTTTTTTGCAATAAAATTTATTTTTAAATATAATGTAATGGAATTTATATATATAGTATATATTTACATTTATATACATAAAATATAGTACGTCAAATATTATAGAAGATCCGTTAAAATGAAACCTTATATAAAGTGCGTATTTGCACATGAATGATTAAAAACTTCCTTACTATTGGTTTTATTCTTTATTTCACTTACATTTGAAAAAAAAATATAAGATATAATTTTTAAATGATTTTTCAAGTCGGTAAAATTATATTACTTGAAAGTGTAAGTTTTTTATGTGGTGATAAAATAATATGTTAACCATTATATGTTCCATGTTCATAGACAATGTGACGTAGAACCAAAAGAGGATCACACGCTTAACCATAGACTATATGTAGCTTTTAAATAAAATAAAATGTGATGGTCTGCCAGATTTATATTACATACTAAAATGTTATATCGTTCATATTTTGACTTATATATATATATTTAAATTTCTGTAACCATGTTCTGTGAATAAATAAGCCAAATATGTTAGTATAATAACCAAATATCATAAATATTGATACAAATGCGTGAAATTACTATTAATTTTAATTATAATTAGATGTCTAAGATACTGAAGCGTCAAGTAAATGGTTTGTCAAATTTAGACAATTCAAACTTCAATTTAGACTCTTTTCCAATTCTATTTCTATATTCTAATTCTCTTTTCCAATATATTTTTAAAAATTTAAATATTGACAATTTAATTGATCGTTTACTGACTACTTAATAACTCTTAAGGTACACTTACACGGGCAACTTATTTGCACTGTCTTGGGTAATATTTCTTAATTATGATGTTCATACCAACATTGAAAACCCAAGATTCTAGATATTCCCCCTCCCCTGTATTTATTTTCATAAATACTGCTATGTAAGATAATGTTTTAATGTACTGACATGAATATACTACAAATAGCAACCAATTTACTGCGAAGTCAACAGGTAACAACTGTTCCTAAAATATACACACTAATACTGAAAAATATAGAGCAATTAAATAAATAATTATATCAAAAACTTACTCATGTATATGTCTTTGATGCGCTGAGACTTATTTTTTTAAGTAATTTTAGGCAATAATTGCCAATTGTTATTAGATCACTTTTTATTGAACTGGCAATATCTCTAGCATAATCGAATCGTAGTATAAATAATTCTATTTTACTAATCGTCCATCGAAAACATCAATACAGCAATTCGTCCCGAATTGTCATACAATCATTCGGAACACCAAAAGCGTTCGAACTTACTGGTTGTTCTTAGTGATTGAATGTTGGCACCGAACACAAATTGTTTAGCGTTGTCGTGACGTCATAATTTACAGATATTTCCCAGGGTTGCTCAATTTATATTGTCCATTTCAGAGTGCTTCTATATGTTAGTGACGGCTTTGGGTACCTTGATTATAGTCAAAGGTTTCTTCGACACACAATTTTGTTTGGCTATAATAAATAATAAATAAATAAATTCTTTAATCAAGGCAACCAGGGCCTACAAAATTTTAACCATATTAGTTTGCACCAAATATAAATTATTAAATCAAATTTTGACACTTATAATAAATAACAATATCTTAACCTACTTTTTTTGTATGTTAGCCAGCATGTGAATCATTCTGCAACGATTCAAATACTGGCAGTCTGGACGGTCCGCAAATACCCTAAGGATAGTTATGCCAGCAGATTTTGTGTTAGCGAAGTTTTGCTCATATATAAGAGCTCATGTAGTAAAATGTAATAAGTTTTAATATTAAATATATAAATTTCTCATTGTTTAGTTATAATAATTCATATTCTACTTATTTGAAATAAAAATTTGATTACAATTATTTAATAATTCTTCTTGTGAATGCAAGAAGTGATGTGACGAAGTGTGTAAATGAATTTAGAGCTTCTAAAATTTTATATAAAAAAAATTACTATGATTTTTTTCCTTAATTAGTATTTTAATATAATAGTTTAATTGTTATTTACTTACCTACTAAAATTCTAAATTAAGTCATAATAGTTATAAAAGTGTTAAATTTAATTCCTCTTTTTTTAAAGAGATGTGACTTTTTAGTATATTTGTTATTTTAATGCATGTTGCTTTTCAAAGTGTTTTATTACTAAACTTTTGAGTGCTTCTATTTTAATAGTTTATAGCATAGATTTTATAAATGGCATGATTTTTTTATAACTGAACGCTTATTTTATTTGACATAAAAGAAATTTAACTTTTTTTTCCTTATTATTTCTTTGCCAATTTTTTTTTATATTATTGTTTTTACGATTTAAAATTATCAGACAATTAGTATGTTCGTGAATATGTAATACCAATTTCATTTTTTTTTGTGTGCTCCCATTAATTTCCTTTATATATATTTGTGTGTCAAATAATTTGTGACATAAATACATACTATTTTAATATATAAAATATTACATATATTTTTAACATGGTTGTAATAATAATAGGCATTGGTATAATTAAAAATATTGCCCGTAAGCGTGAGGGGGCGGGGGCTTCCAATTAGCTCCCTCCTTCCCTCTCCCCGCCCCTATATATTCTTATGATAATTGGCATAAATTGAAAATCGTGCATTCATCATGAAAGATTAAATAATCCCTGTGATAATTCAGTGCCAGTAAAATTAAGATTTTAGATTCGAATTATGCATACCAATCGACTATAGTTTCAGTTTGACCATTTGTGGCAGATTCCTATCAATATTTACTTTTAAAAAAGATGTCTCTATTGAAAATTCATATAGATAATTTGAATTTTCTTGGAATTCTTTAAATCTGTCAAAATTTTGTAAATCATCAACATAACACTGCCACAGACAAAATTTTGGAGCTAAATTTGGCAAAATGGCAGCGATCTGCCATAGATGGTCACGCTATGTAGTTTTGGTACATTTAAGATTTTAATATTTTGTGACATTATACAATTGTATTAGAAAGACTGAGTTCCTATTTCAACATTTAAAAATATATTCTAATTATATATTTACCAATGTTCACTTTTAAATACTTAATATGTAAAAACCATTCTTTTACAATTGACTAAAATGAAATGTAAAAAACTTAGTAATAAATTGACTTTGTACTAACATTATTATAAGTAAAATTTTACTCGTAATTCTTTTTATAATTAGGGAATAATTTGTGTTAGTTTATGTGGCATTTCGTTTAATAACATAGCATTTATATTGTGCATTTATTTTAGCGCTTTGATAAGTTTTATGAGTCTTATAGGAAACTGCCAAAATTGAAAGTATCTAGCCAAGCCTTGACGCAAAAGAGATCAAGTAAGTGGTCTCTTTTAACAAGTTTTTATAGATTAGTTTATATTGCTATGTTCACTCAGAGCAAGGGTCTTAAAAATGCAGTTAATTTGCCTTGTTTTTCCATGGCAAAGTAATCTGCATAATTTATAGAATTGTAGTCGAAAATTTGTTAAAAATTTTCAATATTTCTGCATATTTTTTAATTATAATTCTCATCTTCACGGTTATAATTTTATTTATTTATTTATTATTTAACTCTTTATTGCACCATAAATAAAAATATAAAATGTAAATAGACAAGTGAATAATTATAGCGAAATACAGTAACATAAATACAGATTGTTTTCAAAATTGTTTGCGAATATTTAAGTGTAAAATCCAGATATGTATTAATCATTTGATGTTATGTTTAGTTGATGTTTTTATCTATGCAACGGTTAGTTCACTACATAATAACATTAAATTTATAATAATAATAAATAAATCCAAATTATTAATTTATAGTGCGTCTATTCTGTAGTGCTATTGGGGTCGATTCTGAGGTGTCATTCCTCTAAACCGATCTTCACAGAATTTCAATTTAATATCACAGTGAAATCTTTATTGTAAAGATCAGTATCAACTAGTTTTCTAATACATTTACTTTAAAATTATTGTAATTTTAGTTTATGAGTGCCCTATTCAAGACACTTTCTTTCACGCACGCTTACACTTTGGAATAATTTTTCAGCAGCAGTATTTTCGAACCGATATGACATCTAATTTTCAAGAAAAGAGAATATTCCTTTTTATAAGGCCGGCAGCACACCTGCAATGCTTCTGCTGTTGCGGGTGCTCATAGAGGCGGTATTCACTTACCATCAGGCGGACCACATGCTCGTTTGTCCCCTGTTATAAAAAAAAAGATGGGTCCATAAAGCGGTATTTACGCGAAATTTTAAAATTAAAATATTAGGGTGAAAACTAATTTTATATATTTATATTTAAAATATAAAATTTATATATTTTATATAAATAAATTATATAAATTTATATTTAGAAAAATGGCAACCTAAATTCTACCTTCAATATCTATCTCAATCTCTAAAACTTATATTTCAATATTAAAGTGAAACCATTATAGTGAGGACCAATATAAACTAAATTTACAAAAATATGAGTCTAAATTACATTAAAGTGCGTTCTCGTTGATTTCCCTAACAGAATAATTACGATACATTACCATTTCGAAATTCAAATTTCGAAAATAGAGGGTGGTACTTCAGAATTGATATCAATGTATGTGAAACAGTTCTCATAATATATACTACTCTTCATATGTAAATAGATTTTATATAACATATTTTGCAATAACACATTTTAAGTTTAGTAAGAGTTTAAATCACTAGTTATGTTTCTACACAGATTTACAAATGGCGTTTAATATTTGTAATCGCTACGATTTTAACATTGTTTTTTAACTACCTAGTCCCTAAATGTAAACATTTTATTACTTTGTCCTAATAATAATTCATTATAATCTTTTTTGACTGGTAAAAAACTATACAATGGAACATATAATCTCGTCCTTTTTGAAGTCGGTTAAAAAGTTCAAAGTACTAAAATATCTCCCACAATCATTGTTTTAATAAATATCTTGTTTGCCACTGCTCATTTAGATTCGGTTGTGAACTAGTATAAATTTTGTAATATTTTATAGAATCTGTTTATGTGAATTTGTCCGAATAATAAAGAGATCTTAATAATAAACTGTATTATTAATTAGCACCTATTCTATTTATAAAGTCATGTAAATATTTAACTTCATACCACTTGTAACTTGATTAGAATTATTTTAAATCGTTTGTTAACGGTGTTTACCAAACAATATCCAGACTAGATTATATAACCATAGTACAATACACGGTGGCCCATTCATAAAGTTAATATCCCACCAAGGTGAAGCAACGAAGAAAGTTATAAGTATTTAACAAAAAAATAGGTTTAAGTAAAAAATGCTAACCTGGTAATATACTTTTCTAAGATTACTGTATTTTTTCGACAATGAATAAAATAACAGTTTGCTTCGGAAACCTATAAAATACACTACAAATCCCCTTTTATGATATCCAGATTCCAATTTCTGTTCATTATCGTGGTTTAAAATCGGATACAGAATAAAAATAATGTATTCCAGTTTTCTAGAAGTGTTGCCAGGAGATAACTATATTTGTAGACTTTTTAAAGTTACTTAGTTTCTTAAATAACTACGTAAATCAACAAACAAAAATCCATAATGACTCCACAATCCAAATCTTAGTGATATCAGTTTACAAAGCAGCCGGTAATCTGTCTTTTATACTTACCGGTAACAAAGGGCCAGACCCTTCAAGGTGGCAGGGAACAAAAGGAATCGATCGTAACTGAGAAATGCGAAAGGGAATACTTCCCACAATGTTTTTTTATGCAATTTATTGGGTCAGTTAGGCAAAAAGTGATTGGCCACTTAACTGGACCTTTGTTCAGTGAATTCAGTGTTAAAAGTAGATCGATTTAATACATAGATAAGATTAGAGCTTAGATTATATAAATCGACCATAGAGCCTCAAAAACAGGTCAACTTTTTATCAGCTAATTGTCAAATTAGCTGACTTTTTTTTTAATAAATGTTCTATATACTTATGCATAAAATGTATCTTGACGTGTTACTTAATAAATAAAAAGAGTGTTTACGCATTAAAAAGATGCAGAAATTATAAGACAAAATAAATACAAAAGTTATAAAGGAATCACTTTTTATCAAACAAAATTGTATGAAAAAGTTGACCCGTTTTTCTTGAAGTAGTCCTACCTAATGACAATTTCAAACTCATACCAATTACGCAAATCGTGTACCCACATTAATTAATAATTAATTAAAATTAAATAATAGTTTCAGGTACGATGTTCAGTCTGGCTAATTCAAAATAAAGTTTGACACTTTCATCATAACGTTTATTAATGACAGCGTAGCAACATTATTGACCGTTAAAGATAACGTTCTCAATTCATTTATTTTATTCTACCTATTTATTTATATATGTTACGCGAATTATTCTTGCCAATTCTGATCCGATTTTTAAATCTTTTATTACTTGATCTCATATGCTAATATTATTTTTAAATCTATATAAACAATTTCCATTATCTAGATTCTAGAAAATAAATTTTCATTTAGAACGATTGACGACGATTTTTTTTAAAGTACGTCTTCTATTTTTTTTTTTATTATTTTTCTTCATACTTTCACCTAGTCACTAGTACCTATATACTTTTAGTATATTGAGTTATTTTTATATCTAAAGGCTAAGTACCTAAATATCAATTTATCAGATAAAATCTATAAATAAAGATGTGTATATACGATATTAGTATCGTTGCTACATTGTCCCCTTAGGCCCCCTACTGTTTACCTAACAAACAGGTAAACAGTATTAGAAGCGCCTCTTGGAATTTTTACTATTTTTATACTAAGTATAAAAAGATATAACAACATCATAATTGAAGTATTACAATTTCTTTTTTAATATTTCGAATTTAAAAAGATAAATTTCCGTTAAGTATAATCAATAAATAAATTATGCAATTTAATAATAAGTGGTTAAAAAGTGAGCATAGATTTTAACAACAATAATAAAATACAATCGAATTAAGAACTTCCTTCGTTTAACAAAACTGGAACCTGCAATTTAAATAGTAGTCTTAAAGCGTTGTGAGGTTTGCGCTGTTTCATATCCTGTGAACTATTAAGTACCTTAATATTATCTTTACTTGGCAATGCAAATGAAACTCGCTTCACTTACTATCATCTCTCGATAATACTGAGCGAGGTACGTATACTGTAACGCAAGGAAACGTAGATACAGTCAAATAACTGCCTTACGTCTTTACAATACGGTTGATTGTAAGGTTGGTTACATGTCCCAGTTGAACACCTGTCGAATCGTCCACATCGTGGGAATATGGGGTAGACGACATTTACATAAAAATATAATGAAAGGTACCTATAAATGGCAAGGTTTGCCTTTCGTTTACTTATTTGTGGATGTATTCGGTTTAATTAACTGTCTAGATACATCTTACGACCAAATAGCGGTGCGGTGATTCTGTTTAGCGGGTAGTCGCAAATAATATTCTTTAAGAATAATAGTCTTTGACCAGTGTGCTAACTTTGACAAGTTTTAAAAATAAAACAATTTTTAATATTCCTAAATAATTAAAAAGAGATCTCTCTTTAAATAATTATTCAGGTTGCAAGCAAAGCGTACTATTAGCAAAACCTCTCCCCCCCCCCCCCCCTAAATAATTATTCAGGTCGCAAGCTAAACATGCCAACTATTAGCAAAACCTCCCCAACAGGGGGAGGCTTATATTTAACAGTGGACAGTTAACGGCTGACATGATGACGATTGCTAGCAATTTTATTATTTATTTAACTTTTTATTGCACCAGTAACATAAAAATAAACAATGACATACCTATGAACTATATATATATATATATATATATATATATATATATATATATATATATATATATATATATATATATATATATATATATATATATATATATATAATTCTCACGTTATGGACCCAGAATGTATAAATATTTGTTCATCAATCACGCACGTTACACAATAAATATTTTTTTTGTCCGTACGTCCGCCGCCGACCCGGAAACCAGCCCCGGATACGAGGCTTTTTGCTTTCGTTCAGTTAATAAAAAACGAGTTCATAGTCATAAAGGGCGTGACTTTTTCTTATATCCACCTGTCTCCTTGGGAATATAGCGTGAATGTAAAAAGAGGATCAGATCAGATTAAGAAAGTGAAATAGTTTATTTGTTAATCATAAAAAAGTGAACTGTGTTAGGAATTAGTAATTAGACAATGGTTATGGTTTCAAGTAGGTACTTAATATGTATGAAAGATGAAAAATTGTTTCTAAATGACTTTATAAACACACTTAAAAAAAATGGATCTCCACTCGGTTATATTTTTTTTTTATGTTTGTAGTGTTTAGTATTTAAATTTGTATTTATTATTATTATTATTTTATGATTAATAAACCGATTTGAAAAAATCTAATCTTAAATAAATTTATCCAAAATAATAATTTTCAATGGATGAAAATAAAAAGTGACACCGTCTGCCTTATCACTAGTAAAGGAGGATAGGTAAGTAATGTAGTAGGTAGTAATTGACCCATCGTGACGAATTCAACGATAAATTAGTCACGATGGTTTCCAGCGGGAACCGCGTGGAGGTCGACCTGATAAGGTCGATATTGATAGCGATGGGATCTAACCTCCCCATTACTAACAATCCTTTCCCCCTGCAATGGGACTGTTAGTCCGCATTACTAACAATATCTGCCCCTCCCCCCCTCCCCCCCATCAAATAATACGTTAGGGTAATCTCCGAGCCTATCGCGTTTTGGACAAATAAAAGAATAGGTCGGTAAGTTCGATTCTCGGTCAGATTAATTTGGGAAACAAATATTTTTTGTATTTTAATACATTTAGTACAAAATCTATACCTGCTATCTCTCTTCACTCTAGGCTCTATGATAGATAGACAATTGATTAAAAAGTACTTTGTGCACGTAGTATTTATATTTTTCTAAAATTTTTATTGAAAAGTACTTAGTTAAAATAAATTACAATATGAGAAATGAGAAAGACAAAGTCAAATATATTCAATATCGTTTAGTATCATGCATATTTACATATTGACCTTGAAACGAGAAACCCAAAATTACGAGCAGATCCATGTAAGTTATTCTTTGCTTTTTGCTAACAATAAATTACATCCCTTGATCCCTTGAAGGAACTGGCCCCGTTATATTAGTGGTTCACACGCCCAGTTGTCACTTATAAACTTAGTAACGTGAGAGAATTCATCTTCTTGCTTTCCTAATAAGCTCAACTTAGGAATACGTAATTCTTGTAACTCAAAATACCCCAATACATAAATAATAATACGTTTATATTCACTTTAGATAGTCTCCTAATAAAATTTCTATAATTATTTTGGATTCATTTAATGAAATAATATATAAATAATGATATACATATGTATCTAATTTATGCAATCTTCTAAACTAAAGAATGGATCTTTTATATATATAGCATTGAGATGGCACAGTCACAGTGGTTACAGTCTTTTTGTATTGAGTAAAAAACGAGTTAAAATTACAATCTATATATTATACATATATCTATTATACATACATACATATATATATATATATATATATATATATATATATATATATATATATATATATATATATATATATATATATATATATATATATATATATATAACGTGGTTCCGACATAGAAATGGCCACCCTTTCCTTTACATTAAGGGAACTTAATGGTCAAGGGATAGGCAACAATGTGCTTCTTTAAACATCGCCAAAGCTTAACTACGGTTGACAACCCGCCTGCCAAGTGCGGCAACTACTGACAAAACTTCCTAATAATAGGGAGGCCTATGTCCAGCAGTGGACAGTTAACATCTGATATGATAATGACGACGATGATGATTATCACGTATATAACGGGAATGTTATAAATTTACTATGTTTCTAATTTGCGACAATTGTTTCAGCTTCATTCGGAAATCTTCTACACGGATCACACGGCGCTTTGCATCACTGTGTCAAATAATAACTTGGTATTTATATTTCAGTTATTGAAGTTCTGATATAAGAGAAACCTGATTTCTTCCTAGTCTTATGCCTTTGGCGAGGAGTTGTTAATTTTTTTTAATGGATGAAAATGGAATAATGATAATGGAAGCCCGCCTGCGGTATCGGAATATATTGGCAGGGCACCGGTAAGAGATGATAGATAAGAATGAATGATGATTAGTCAGGCCACCGTGACAAACTCTACAAGAGTTAACCACGATAATTTCCACTTACTAAGAATCCCTTTCTCCATAAGGAGTTGTTTTTTGGCCGACGAATTATGAGAGTAATATGCGATCGCTTTGTCAAAAAGTAAAAATAATATATATAAAGGCGATATGTGTAGCTCAGTTACCATTTAAGACCATTTGTACCACATTTCGAGCAAATAAATTATTATTGTTATTATATTATTATCAATTATATTAGTAAGAAATAAGATAATCATCCAATAAACTGACAACAGTGTATTCCCATACGTCACCCCTGTTTAACACGTCAGCGACATATGACATCGGATTATTAACCATTCATTAGCGTCATCACGCGATTGCATGTAATGCCGTCACACTCGGTTTCACGTTGATCAAAACCATTTATTTACTGATCTGTATATTATTAAATACTCCATTTTCGACCTTAAGCACACGACTTACGAACTATTGTGCAAGTTTCAAAATAATTTATAAATTTGCCGTGAATATCCTGACCAAGTTACGTTTAAGTTTGAATAGACTGAATAAACTCTTATGCCGTAGAAATTAAGGTTGTTATTTCGAAAAGATTGTTGATCTAAATTAATAAGGAAAAGTTAGTATAAATTAGAATGACCGTGGGAGAAAGGGTACCGTATAAAATATTCATTTGATGCAGTTTGTATATACGTACCACGGAGGTATGTAAAGGTCATTCGATGGGAACACCTGGACATAAAGGGGCGACAACCTGGCCTTAATTGAATTAGGGCTATCCATGTACTTACATAAGTATGGGTATATACCTAAGTTCTATATTTACCTACACTCTTACCAGTGTCGGATGGGGGAAAGGGATTATTAGTAATAGGAATCTAACAGCCCCATTGCTAGCAAATATTCCCCTACTTCGACTTCCACACGGTTCTTCCTGGAAACCATCTTGGTTTATTTTCTATGAATTCATGACTATGGGCCAACTGACCTGTTTCATTCTATCATTCTTTATAGGTGCTCCGCCAACATATACCGATAGCGCAGGCGAGACTACTAAACCTTTACAACCTATTAAAAAAAAAACCAGTGACAGATTTACACGTTTGCCGCCAGTAGGCTATTCAAATTTTGCCGCTTCTAGCGACCTCTACAATTCGATGACCTAATTCGGACTCATATTAAATATTTTTTGTCTATGAAATTGAAACATTAAAATTATAAAAAAAAAATTGATCCCATATTAATCACTGTCATAGGCTTTAGTCTACTCAGCCTGTTGGTAAATCCATCACTATTCTAGCTAAAGTGTTGAGTGGTCTAAAATCTAAAAGACATCTTAATAGAGATGGGCAATCCACCTGGGTGGGTTTAAAGTCTGGTGGGTAAAAACCGGGTGTTTTGGGTTTATTGGGTTTAAACCCCATAAACACCCAAATTTTTGGGTGTTTATGATTTTGTACTTCATCATCGTCATCTCAGCCGCAAGACGTCCACTATACTGGACATAGACAATATTATTATGCAGCCTACAGAATAAAAAACTTTTAATTTGATTTTGAGTTTATTAAGAAAGAGATGAAAGTAAAATGTAAAACTACAGTCAATCACTGTCAGATTCAGAGTTATTACAAGCGATGAATTGTATAGGTTCGATAGGCTCTATTTCGTCTAAACTGTTATGTTCATTTACTTGCTCAATGAAAGCTTCTAAGGTATTTTCTTCATTAAACTGAATGTCCTCGCATTCAGCTTTATGTTTAAGATTCCAGTTATAACAAATGAATGAAATTTTTTCAGTTCTTTCAGTTGTAAGTCGATTTCTTTTGTTATTATGTATGTAGCCTTGGATACTAAAGGAACGCTCAGTGGCTGCCGAAGTACAGGGAGCTGATAGAATACGAATCGCTACTTTGCTTAACTCAGTGGAACCACAAATACCTTTCCACCATATTAGGGGCTCAATGCTATCTAATGAGCTCCATACAAATCCTCTGGCCCAAAAGTTTTCTTTAGCTTTATAACACGCCAAATCTGCCATTACATTTGACAAACTTAAGTGTTGGCTTAAATTGTAGATAAACTCCATACCCTTAAGTTCTTCCTCTTGAGTAAGTTCGACTCCTAGAGTCCTGGGGTCTAGAATATATGCTGCAAAATGTATTGGCCTCATTGCCATATTGCATCTTGAAGATACTGATGTTAGAATCTGCTGTTTGCTTTCTTCGCTCAATGTCGAAATCTCATTTAATGCAAAACGTATCTTAGCTTGTACATCTCTAAATGTAATGTATGTGCGATGCAAAAGATTCTGGTCGCTCTCTAAGTAAAATATGCTTTCAGTGACTGGTTCCAAAATACTTATACATTCCCCTGTCTTCGTCCAGAAATCATCACTTAGAATTAAATCTTTAATATCTCTTGAAATTACCACATCTTCTCTAACTGTTAATATTTGCAAAGCTATCTTATTTGCTTTCAAACTTTTTAACGAAGTAACATGACTTCCCCATCTTGTAGCACAAGGCAATTTTAGTGTTTGTGTAGAATCTTCATCCTGCCTTGATTTTATCAACAAGGAACTTAATCGTTGACTCCTTTTAACAGTTTTTATTATATTTATGGCTTGCATAATAAACACAGTTACTTCTTGTATCTTTACAATATCTTGGCACAACAAGTTAAGGATATGTGCACAGCAACCGAGAGGAACAACATATGGATATTTGAGTTTTGTTAATTCGAATGCCTTTTGTATATTTCTAGCGTTATCGCCAATAAGTACAAGAAACTTATTTGCTCCATACACTTTCATTACTTTTTCAACTTCTTGGCTAAGGTATTCACTAGTGTGAGGATTACTTTCTGTATTCAAACTTTTAACGTATGCAGGTTGAGGTTTTGATATAAGAAAGTTTATTATTCCTTCATTTCTTAAATTAGACCAGCCATCGCACTGAAGGTGTAAGTAACTACAAGCATTTAGTTCCTCATTTAACTCAAAACGCATTTCTCTATATATTTTATCTAAGTATTTTGTCGCTAAAGCTTTACGTGAAGGTATTTTAAATTTTGGTTGCAATTTTTCGAAAAATTGTATCCATAAAGGATGTTGCACCATCGATAATGGCGTCCCTGTTACAAATATAGCTCTCGCTAATTCTGTTTTTATATGATCATCGGTGTCTTGAAACTCAGCATTTATTGTAGTGTTAGCAGACGACGAGGGGCTTATAAAAGAATCATTTGTCTCTATCTCTGACAGTCCAGACATTTTGGTTTTGGACGAGCTATCTTTTATAAGTTTCATAGAGTCTTTTAATGTTTCTGGAGATTTTGGACAAGTGATAAGATGTTGAAGCATTTTGGCAGCATTACTGAATTTGTAGACCTTATTACAAAGCTTGCAAGAAACAGACTTGTTTGGTAAAGTACGGTAGTGCTCCCATATGCGTAAATCTTTAGGTCTCCCCATTGAACCTAAAAAAATGAACGATGATTAGTTGGTCTGACGAAAATTCAACAATAGAGTGCCTATTTTTTTACAATGATTATTTCTTGTTATTTACAATAAATTTATTAAAAAAATAATAAAATAAATACAAAAAACCTTTGTAAAATTACATCTCCTCGGAGGATTAAACGCAGACGCTAGTTTATTATCGTATTGTTCTGTATTTTTCTCAGCAACTTCTTTAATTCGATTAGGTACTTACGCATATTATGTTAAAAATAAATATCTAGTACACATCTTAGGCTATCCACCATTATTATCCAATGACGACTCTCAGCTAACTATGCACTATCATCCAAAATAAACGTGTATGGAAAATTTTATCCCAGTCGGTTGAGGATTGAGGATAATTGCATCAACATACGAACATACCTACATACTTTTATTTACATAACGCAAGCTAAATAAAAGCTTGTAATAATACATCTAATTTTAAGTTAAAATTGTTAAGTGATCATGATATAATTGTATCATTCAAAAATCCACTTACCTTTAATTATTTCTTGTTAAGTATAAATATTATTTCAAATCTGCTCCCTTAATATGCACTTTTTTACTGCTTTTCCTACCTAACACGTTACCAGGAAGTCACGTTACCAGAGTCAGAGTAATAGTGAACACGTTTGACAGTGATTGTCGTCGCCTCATATTCAGCGTCGACGAATAGGGGAATCCCCAGTCATAATGTATTGCATGCGTGGCGGTCTTACTTCAAATCCATAAACAAAGAGATAATTACAGAACTCGATACTAGATGGCGCTGTTTTTGTTTGAAGAAAGTTTGCGGGCTAAAATACATAGAATTTCATCAATGACTTCCACAAAGAACAACATTTCTGTTTTTTCTAAGTCCGTATCTCTTCCGTATATTTCATAAGATATAAGCTTGGGCTACATTGTTATGCAACGTGATTTTGTCGCTGTCTTGCTAGCAGGGTTGACAGATATACGATTTAAATCGTACTCATACTATTATTTGTCTATTTTTTAATGTACGATCGTAAAGATTATGATCGTAATTCGCACAAAAACATACGACTTTTTGGTTACCTGGCAACATTTTTATTATGAAACGAACATGCTCACATCATCAGTCACATGCAACAATTTATTGGGGATTTCCCCTTCACATCTGGCAGTCCTGCTTGCTAGAATATAGGTAAGTCAGCCACAGTTACTGACGATCGATATTTAAAGGGTATTGTTTTTGTGCTAAATATTTCATAAAAACGTTATTTAATACTTTGTGGATTATTAATTTAGTTGATAATCACTGGAAGTAAAATGGATACTAATTTGAGAGATCAAGATCTTCGTATAAAACAGTTAATAAAAGAAAATCTACGTAAGTACTCTTTTTATACCTAGGTAGGTAAGGTATAATAAACACAAAAGGTACTTAGATCGCGTGTGTTCGAAGCATTTATTCTAATAAATTTAATTTAAAATTGTAGAAAGAAAAAAATGTCTGCCAAGCCGTAGCCGAAGCCGATCTCCAAATATATTTGGCGATAGTGAGACCCAGTGTCCAGATGATTTACCCAGCGTCGTCGCAACAAAGAAAAATAACGAGGATAAAGTAAAAGAAAATTTACTGAAAGAAGAAACAAACTGTTCTAAATGCTTAATTTATGGAGAAGAGGATAAAAGAAATGAGTATTTCGGACTGTTAGTGGCTCAAGAATTTAAATATATACGGCCATGTGTGCGAACGAGGTGTTATGAAGAAATTTTAAAGTATCTACGGGAAGCAAAAGGCCAACATGTTGATCAACTGCAACATGAAAACACTGAAAATTAATTACTTTCATTTTATTATATATAGATTTTTAAAATTTCCTGAAATATTATTAGTTAACGTTTTATTTAATATTGTAGAATTGATCAATACAATTTATAAAAATAATTTATTGGTATTACTTACATATTTTCAAAAAAATACGTAAAAACCTATTTTTTTGGGTGATTATGGGAGTTTATGGGTGTTTATTGGGTTTTTACCAAAGCACCGGGTTTAAACCCGGTGCTTTGCCCATCTGTACATCTTAAATATTTATGAAGCCAAGATATAGATAATATTTATGAGACCTAGAATAAATTTTATGTTTTATAATATATCATTTTTAGCAGATAAAATAACTTACTCTAAGATATTATATAGGTAACTATGACAACGGGATCGTTATACTCATTTATAAACCTTCATTATAAACGTATTCGACCTATCTATAACAAAACAATACCATAATATTTCATTGTAAATATCTAATAATTTAATACTTTATGCAAAGTGTGTAAATACACATTTCTTATACTTACAAATCACTAATACACATGTGTAATATCATAATCAAGAAATTATATAATAAATCGCAAAACTTAAATATACAATAAACAAAAGCACAACCTATCCTGAGGGACCTAGGAGCACCCTTGCACCTTGGCGCATTCCCACACACCGTGGGAACCCGGCGAAACCCCTGCCCATAAAGTACCATATTATATCGACAACGAAACGCGAGCAAAAAATACGCCACTACATGAACGCACCCTTCACGGTACGCGGTAAACATAAAGTGTCGTATTAACCATCAAGGTGTGCCAGCAAATAAATGCAGTACTTGATGGAACGGCGCCCGGTCATGAAGTGCGGAGTTTGTGTTGTTGGGGTGAATGGGAAATTAATTCGATTCGTGATGGATGCGTGTACGGTCCTGCATTCCCATACAATACAGGATAAGGGGCGGCGGATGTAGCTTCACTCTATATTGGTGTGTCACTTTTTTTTCGAGTTTTTTTTTTCAGTTCATTGACACAGTTTGAATTCAATGTTTTTGTGGTATATTAAAAGTCTAATAGAGCTAAATACATATATAAATATAGTGTTTACTTTTTATTTAATATTGGCATAATATTTTCAGAATAATTTAAGAAACTAATCTGTGATTTCAAATTTTTCATCCAACTTGAATAGAAAGTGGTAACTGATTGAGCATAGGTTTGCTCATGAAAATAAACTTTGCCTTTTGTAAGCTCTAGAATAGTATACCTCCATGTCGGAAAATTTTAAATTTCTATAAATTTATAAAATTTAAAATAAAGTAAATGGGTCATTAAAAATATTAGATAAAAAAAACCTATTAAAATTATTTATTGATTTAGATTTAGTATTTCTATTAATATATTGCAAATAAACAAAATATAACAAACGATACTGTCATAATAATAAACAATTACAAAACATTATCATAAATTAATATTGTAACAGAATCGAATCCCATCCTACCAACAACCGCTAACCGCTCACCTACTGGCTCCATTCACAACAGGTTCCCCCGTAGAGCGAGACAGAACGAAAACAAAACATTCCGATAGAGTTCCCACCGTAGTAACGCCTTGGTATGAAAGAGACGACTATATTTTATCATTTCATTTCATGAACAGGATAAGTACGGGAAGAGGCAATATTAAAATTTGCCTTTACGATAAACGACATTATGTGATGTGACCTCGATGAGAGAGGACGTGTGTTATAGTGGTAATATTGTGGTATTTAGTGAAAAATGCCGTGCAGTGAGGACGATGACTCGCAGACCGGGTTTGCGACGGAACCAACTCAAGGACTATCGAAAGCAGAATTACGAAAAGTGAGTGAAAAATGGTTTACCTATATAAATAGGTACATTACATAAATAAGATATTTATTTACGCGCGACCTTCATGGTTCAGGGGGAAAGGGATTGTTAGTAATGGGATCTAATAGCTCTATTATCTAGCAATGAATTTTGTCAGGTCGATCTCCGCGCGGTTCTCCTTGGAAACCATAGTGGTTAAGTTTTGTATTCTTGTAGAAATATATCCCGATGGGCTAACTGACCTGCTCACCTATCATACCTTACTGGTGCCCCACCAGCATATACCGATAGTGCACGTATGGTTTCCATTCTATCATCGCCAAGGAAAAGACATTCGTGGTTCGATGGTCGGCACATTGCGTTGTATAAGTGAGGTCCCAAGTTTGATTCTCCCAAATTAACTTAGAACATATGATACCTTATGTACTAATTCATGCGAGCAGAGGAAAGCCGTGAGACAAAGCTGATTATAAATAATCGAACTTAGCCTTCTCCATAATATGTATATTGTATGTAGTTACTTACAGATAGAAAAATCTGGAAAATATAGTTGTTGCTTAAATTATGTCGAACCAAAAAAATATACCTACTTGACAATAAAAAACCGCCACTACATGGAATAATTCCTTTTATAGAATTATTTATTAGTGAATGTAAAATAAACAATTTCTACAAATTATCATGCATCCAATCATAAAATAAATAACTGCTATATTTTATAACATTTACACTTTCCTGTATATATATATTTATATGTATATATGTATTTCCTATATCATTATTCTTGTATTCGAATCAAACGACTTATGATAACGTAGGAAACAAGAAATGTAGACATGTAAAAGGATAGAGACCAATGATTTCTCTCTACCTACCCCGCAATGAACTTGGCGTGAACATAGATATTTATCTTCCTGTGATATTATATACCATCAGACGGATTGTATGCTTGATTGCCACCTTTGTGGTATAAAAAAATATTTTTAATACGCTTGTCTACAAATAGGTATGAATACATCGTGTTCTAATGTTGAAAATTATATTTTATAGACCAATAAGCCGATAATGGAGAAGAAGAGACGTGCTCGCATCAATCATTGCCTGAACGAGCTCAAAGATTTACTCCTGGATGGCTCTGACAAAGACGTAAGTATATCCTACTACTATCCAATATTATATATGAAAACTAAAACTAAATAACGGAAAAGATTTGTAGAGTATTTGTTATACAAAATTTTTGTCTCAATTCATGCAGACAAAACCGTGAGTTGTAACTAGTAAATAAAATCATGTACACGACATAAGTTCATCTGATCTCAATCAGGAGCATATATTCAGGTACTTGGTAATAAATTGAGACTTTGTATTAAATAATTTTATAATAAAATCTAATAAGAATCTTGTATGAAGAATTTGAAATTATCTCACTGGAATATATAAATTAATATTAATCATAGACATGTTCTGTTTATATTCGAAATTGCATTCGAAACCCATCCATCGTTTATGTATAATTGTGTAACACCCACCCAGAGATATTTGCAAACTAGAAGTTTACTTAACTCCTCACGTACTTAATTATTCGAATCATTTGTGTCGTTATCCATTAATTAATATCTAATTATAATATTTTTACAGCCCACCCGTCATTCAAAACTTGAGAAAGCTGACATCTTGGAGCTGACAGTGAAGCATTTGCAAACGTTGCAACGGCAGCAGTTGGCAGCCGCGATAGCAGCTGATCCAGCTGTACTGCACCGTTTCAAGGCTGGCTTCGGGGACTGCGCCGTGGAAGTCCGCAGATACCTCTCCCGATTGGCCAGCGTCCCAACTGGCCTGAGGCATCGCCTCGGTAACCATCTCAACTCGTGCATCAACGGGATTGAGCAACTTCACCCGGTTAAAGATTATCCACCCCTCGTTCCAGACCCGTTGAGACTAGATGACGAACGACCCAGTGCCTTCCACTTTGTTAGGTCTACTAGACCGAGCAGTCCACCTTTAAGTCCACTGTCATGTGACTCAGCTTGCGACTCCTCAACCGAACTAGAAACTCCTCCAAGACCAGTCCAAGCATTTCCGTTTCCAACACCACCGAGCAGATCGGCTTCAGACCAGGATTCTAGTCCCGAAACGCAAAAACCTACAGTGTCTTCAACAACTATATCACCAGAGACATTAAAACAAGAGGCATTGAGGAACAAGAAGTATATGGAACCGCTGTCCATCATAATAGACGTAGAGAACTATAAAATAGGAATCGATGCGTCACCGAAAAGAGCAGTAGATTATTCTATGAGGCATAAACTAAAGAGACCTGCAACTGAAGTGACCGGGCCCGGTCCGAAGATTATAAAACTAGATAACGAGAGAATAGTCAACACTCCAGAAAGAAATGTCTATGGACGAACTTCACCGGAGAAGTATTCAGCTTTTAAAAGGTTACCAGAGAGAAAATTAACGATTCCTGGAAGTATACCGGCCCCAATAGAATTGCCAAAATTAGAAAATAGAGTAACAATAAAACCAGAGATTGTCGGTGTACCAAGGTCGGTGATAAGCCATACAGCAGAGTCATTGGCTCAGTCTTCAAGTACCAGAAAGGAGGAAAAGCTAGAAATTAAAATCGAAGCGGATACAAGTTCGAGATCTCCTGGTCAGGGTACGTCCAGTAGTACAGAAATGTGGAGACCTTGGTAACAGTTTATTTGTACATTATAAATAGTTATTACAAAATGCAGCTTTAAGTATTTACCTGTTCGGTATCTGTTTTATTTTCGGTATATACAATATTTTTAAGATTTGTTATAAAAGATTTATTTTTACCCTTTTTTTCGTATTTTTATTTTATTGCCCTACTATCGTATCGTATCAGCTGTTAATTGTTCACGTAATGTTAATAGGGCTCACCTATGGGGGGTTTATCGATAGATCCCACGCTTGGCTAATTTTAAAGTTAATGTTTTAAGAGAAACACTGCTGCTCACTTCTCGACCCTTAGATTGCATACATACATTAAACTAAGTCTATACCTCGACCATTCCTCTATTGTGCGAGTGTATAAATCTTTCTGCATATAAGTGTGGATATAGGTTCTCAGAGTAAAACTTTGTACAAAATTCGTCTGTATGGTTATCTCTGTCAAGCTATTGCTTGCTTGTGTTTCGATTTAAACACTGGGGTAACCATCATCAATGCCTTGCCTTTTTCCAATTATTTGAAATCAGTGTAGTTTGTCTTCTTCTTTCATAAATTCCTATCAACTATCAAGAATGATTAACATTTGCTTTAAATTGGTTAATATGATTCTTAAGGGGGTAAAGATTGTTAGTAATGCGGACTACTAATCTTATTGCTAGCAATATATGCTGTTAGGACGACCTACACGTGGTCCCTTTGCAAACCATCGTGCTAAATTCCAGGTGCAATCGTCACGATGGATTATCTGACCTACCCTTTTCATTGTCACGTATCATTCCTTACTGGTGCCATGATAGTATATACCGTTAGCGTAGGTGGGGTTACTATTCCATTATCGTTCATTAAAAAAAAAAAAAAAAAAAAACTATCAAGAATGAGATAATACAGTTGTAAAATCACTGAACATAGAGACAGTTACAGGAGACCTTAGTCTTTGTAATAGTAACGTATCTGAGATTCCATCGTCATCACAGTGTATTCTGTGGCATCTTTGATGCTATTTATATCAGATCAAAAGTGATCTCGCCTAGTCTTTAATTACTTTCGCACTACAAATACACATCTGGTAGTATTAATTTAATAAAAAAAAAAAAACATATTTAAAACTAAATCCATTTATTCATTGGCAAGCATATCACATGGTACTGTAAAAAATATGCATACAACACTTGGCTGCTAATTACCTTAATAAAAAACTAAATCTTTGGTAACAGTATTAAATAATAAGTTTTAGTTAAAATACAGTATATTTAAAAAATAATAATAAGTTTATTATATAAGCATTTTATTTAAATTTTTCGAATAAATATATCGTCAAAATATTTATTATATAAAACATGTCTAAATTATATTCAATATTGACTTAATAAATATTAATACATTAAATCAACACATTCACAACTGGAGAAATTAAAATTCATAATACTCGTTTCCAGCTGTATTGCAAAAAAATAAAATTAATGTAAAATTAATGTGAGAAATTCGGGCAATTTATTTTATGAGAAAAATATTTAAAATTTGGGGAGAAATTGGAAATCGTATCTGGCAACGATAGCTTTAAATATTATGTTATGGCCATACAACTTAAAATTGTTGTTACAAATAACTTTTGTAAATAAAAAACAATTAAACAGGTACTTACGAATAAGTACGTACATAATTATTATAATTATATAAATAAAATGGACGGAATGAAACTTATCATTATTAACACAGAGTAGACATAATTGCTCTACAAAGCCAAAATAGGAAAAAAGTATTTATGATGTTTAACAATTATATATAGTTATACTGGCAACCCGTCACAGCTTTGCACGGGTTGATAGCTAGATCTCACATTTCTTTTTTTTTTTAAATATAGCCCATATCATTCACTGTTAATGTAGTTTTGTATAGATGATCGGCGGCGACATAGACAATCCTGCAACTCTCAGCCGTTGTTCTTTGTACGCACCGCAACGCTGCATGCGATTGCGTGCACGTCGACTATTATCGGCACCGCCGGTTCGCACCTGTACTGCTCAGTTTGCTCCCACTTATCAGGCTATTTCTCTGCTCAATTGTCTGATTGCTCAGCAGCCAGATATTGATATATTTAATGACAAAATTTGTAAGTTTGTAAAATAAACCTACGGCTCATTACACGTTTTGGGAGACTGTAAGTGTGGTGAGTAATTTTCAAATAAATAATTAAAATGAGAGTATTTTAAAATTAAAGTATTTTTTTGTTTATCCATTACTACAAACAAGAAATCAAATTCTTCTTCTTCTTAATGATATTAGTTTAGATAAAAAACTATGTAAGCAGTACAAGTATCCTCACATACAAAGATAAAGTTGATGGGCTGGGGTTGGTGGGTGAATTCTTCTTGGTTTTATGTAGGTAAAAAAATCTAAAGTCCTTATTCACATAAACTTTACATAAAAGACCATTTTCCCATTGTCAGGATCACTTATGCTTGAGGAAGTCTTTTCTCTGCTGCTGTAGCTTCTGCTCCAGTAATGTGATCTTCTCCTGTGCCTTGCCGGCCTCGCGTGTCATCGCTTGGATGGCGGAGTCTTTACGGGCCACCGCCACCTTCACCCTGGTCAATATATTAAAAAAATAAAAATCGCTCATTCTGTTACCAACGGTCTGAAGATGATTGCATACTGGACTACCCTTATAGTAGAGGGGAGGGGCAGGGGGAGGAGCGATTGTCTGTAATGGATCTAGCAAATCTAGTAACACAGCCCATTGCTAGCAAAATACCCAATATAAGGTGAGCCTCTACGTAGTTCTCCTGGGAAAATGTCGTAGTTGATTCTTGATTAATTCATCACTGTGAGCCAACTGACCTGCTTCATCCTCACCTATCATCTCTCACTGGTGCCCCATCAGCATAAAACTTTTTTTATGCAGCTTAAAATGGCAAACAAGCTGGTGGCCCACTTGATGGAAAGTAGTAACCGTCGCCTATAGACATGAGCAGTGGATATAGCCATGGACATAACATAGTTTTTAACGAAGAATAATAGAATGGTAATTCCGCCCTGCGTTAACAATATACACTGGCGAAGCACTAGAGAGGGATGATAGGTGATAATGAAAAGGCAGGTCACTTAGCCCATTGTGATGAACAAACCTGGAATTCAGCACGATTATTTCTAGGAGGGACCGCGTGGAAGTCGAACTGACAGGGTGTATTGCTAGCAATGGAGCTGGAAGTTCACATTACAAAAATGCCTATTCCCCACCCCCTGGGACTGAGGAGTTATATCTCTGTCCATTCCAATACCATCAAACAAAACAACCTCAATCCGACAACGCACAATATAGTATACTAGGGGGAAAGGGATTGTTAGTAATGGAGACTGAGAATCCCATTGCTAGCAATATACCCAACCAGGTCGACCTCCTCGCGGTTCCCCCTGGAAACTATCATGGTTAATTCCTGATGAATTCATTATGATGGGCTAACTGGCTTGTTTTCATTCTCATCTATCACATTTCACTGGTGCTCCGCCAGCGTATCCCGTTAGCGTAGGCTGGGGTTATCATACCATTTTCACCCATCAAAAAAAAAAAAATACAGTATACTCTATTATGTCCATTGCACTGTGTTATGTTCATGTCTACAGACGACAGTTACCATTTTCCATCAGGTGGGCCGTCAGCTTGTATGTACTTCTAAGCTGCATAAAAAAATATTAAAATTATGTAAAACATGAGCTAAATTGTCCCTGTTTACAAGGCAATGAATCTGAATCAACAATGAATTCTCACTTGGCGTATAACTGATGCATCTGCTCCTCGTGGGTCCTCTTCATCTCTTCTATTTCCTTCTTGAGTGAGTCCACCTTGTCTCGCCACGCTTGATCTGTGCTAGCTCTTATTGCTTCCACCCTCTCTTCTAATTGGGTATTTTTCTAGTCAAGAAATTAAGAAAATAAAATGTAATAGGGTTTTATTTGCATGTTAAATAACATTTTATATTTATATTTTGTGATTTTATTAGTGCTTTGTAATTATTTATATAATTTTTATAGATTCAAGATAAATTAATACTAGATAAATGCCATAAAAATGGGCACCCTTTAGGCAAAAAGTTACAAATATTCTATTGCGTGTTACAAAATTGTTAAAAGAAAGAATAGAAAGTTTAAAAATATATATTAATATTTGTGGAAACAAATGTAATTTATTAAATATATTTTTGGATTAAATCAAGGATTTGGTAGTTTTTTAATAAACTTTATTTTTATGTTTTTGTAACTTAATTGTTTCTAATAATATTTTTAAAACTTAATATAATTTTTTAATGTTGTGGGAGGACCCCCACTAGATGGAGTGACGACCTGAAATGCATTGAAATGCATTTATACAGTGAGCTAATCATTTCCCGTAATATATGTATACAGACATGCATCTAATATTTTTCATATATTTATTTCATTTTAATTATTGCAAATTTTATTATAATAAGAATATGCACTTTAAAATTTAAAAATTAATAATAACAATCACCTCAACTAAAACCTTATTTCGAGTTTCTAGCTGAGACACCGTTACTTCTAGTTCTGCACCTGGAATATTAAAAAAAATTATAAATCATAATTGATAAATACCCGAATCAAATAAAACTGAGCCCTCATTTAGAAAACACGATTAAAAAAAAATATCGAGCTATAAAAATAATAAACAATACCTATGTAATTAAAAATTTTGGTTGGAAATTAGTTATTAATCTTTGACGTAATTAATTATGTATTTTCTTTGTGGCCTTCCAATTCCCTGATGCGTTATAGTTGTAACAACTGTATGGGATCCGATTCGTCCTTTCTTGTCTCAATAATCGAATATTCAGATAATTGAGATTCTACTGTATTAGCTTTCTGCCAGCTACTTCGTAAGATATTTTAGAAATGGAAATACCAATGAACTGACCACATCTAGGTGACCTCTACAGGTGACATCTAGGGGATCACATTGAGATAAAAGATAACACCAGATCAAGTCTTCAGGAACATAACTGTGAAAACTGTGTATTTGCGTGACGCCGGAACAGACATGCAGACAAAGTTTCTAAAAATAATTGTTTTCGCTTCTATTTCTCTTAATAAGGTCACTGATATCAATTTTTAATAAGTATTCTTCGATTATAGACATGGTTAGTTACAATTTTATTATATTAGCAAGATTAAAAATTAACCAGAGAAAAACTCTGTACAAAAGTTGTGGGTACCTCTGTCCCATTCGTGTTTCTACCGTGAAGCAGTTGTGTTTACATGGCTGTGTTTCGGTTTGAAGGGTGGGATCTGGCAGTGAATTAACAGGGTACAGAGGAATAACACCTGAGTCCTCAGGAATGGCAACGCATGGGGAGTATCGTGGGCGAAACAGTATCCTCTGTTATGTCCATATACCACTTTCCATTAGGTGAGCCGTCACCTTGTTTGCCATTCTAAGTTGTATAAAAGAAAAGATTAAAGATTTTATATAGGTATATACATCGATCCTCCGTCTGGCGCACCCTCGCCTGAGCGTCTTGGTAACGCCGCAGTGTAGCTTGTTCCGTTTCAGCCAACTCTTTCAATTCCGCCTCGTATTGTTCTTTGTTTCTCCTAAAACATTAAAAAAAAATGTAAATCAATTCATTTATTTATCTGAATATGGGTATAAAATTATTTTAAATTATAATAAATATCCCAAACATGTCCTGTCGTTTCCGGCGTATAGATTTACAGTGTATTCATTACGTAATAACCAGAGAAAGACATCAGGCGATGGTTTCAACGTTCCTCGTAGGTAAAAAAAAAATCTAGTGTATAATAAAACGCTAAACGTTGCCGTGTGGTCCCGGCATAGAATAGCCACCCCTTCTTTTCCAGTGGGAGTCGTAAGAGATAACTAATGGAACTTATTGGTCGAGGGATGGGCAGCGGCCCTCTTAAAACATCCCCAAAGCTGGCTGCGGTTGCCAACCCGCCTGCCAAGCGTGGAAACTGGCAAAACCCCCTTTATGGGGGAGGCCTATGTTCAGCAATGGACGAATAGTATAATAATAAAAAAATCGCTTGAGAACCCATTAATTAGGGGGGGGAAGAGATTGTCAGTTATGTGGTCTAACTGCCCCTTGTTAGCGATATACAGTAACAATTTAACCTCCTTACGGCTACCTCTTTTTTTTTATACTTAGAATGGCAAACAAGCTGACGGCCCACCTGATGGAAAGTGGTAACCGTCGCCTATAGACATGAGCAGTACCATGGCCCTAACAGAGTATACTGTTTCGCCCATGATACCCCCCATGCGTTGCCATTCCTGAGGACTCGGATGTTATTCCTCTGTACCCAGTAAATTCACCTCTGGAAAATATCGTGGTTAACAATTGTTGAATTCATCACGATGGGCCAACTGACTTGCTTTCATTCTCACCTAACCTCATTCACTGATGCCCCGCCAGTTTATACCGATAGCGCAGACAAGGCTACTATTTCATTATCATCCATTAAAAAAAATGCTATACCTTATTGCTTCCTGCAGTTCCTTCCTGCCCGCTTGCGCTTCCGCCTCCATACTCTCGATCGCGAGCTCGATCTCCCTGTCCCTCTCCTGCTTATGCTGTGTAGATATCTCCACCACTTTTCGTTTCAACACCAACTGTTGTTCCGCTTCGAATTCCCGCTTGTACTGCTCGAATTGTTCTTGCAACTCTTTCTCTCTCTCTTTCATTTGTTCCTGTTGGGAGATTAGCCTTTTAACTTTTTTGGGTAAGAGAAGAAACTTAGGATAAAAATATTCTGAGCTGACCCTAAAAATGGGAACTGGAAAACATTTTTTTAATGGGTGAAAATGAAATGATAAGCCAGTAGGCGGGGCACCAGTGAGAGATCATAAGTGAGGATGAAAACAGATCAGTTAGTTCATCGTGACGAATTTCACAAGAATTAATCACGATGATTTCCAGGGGGAACCGCCTGGAGGTCGACCTGATAAGATGTATTGCTAGCAAGGGGGCAGTTAATCCACATTACTAACGATCCCTTTCCCCCAAAATATTATATTTATTTATAGACATAATAATTATTAACTGACAGTGTTGTTATGGCAGATGAATCATTAACATCCCATTGCCTGGCACCATACTTTCTCGAAAGAGCATCATCAATTCAGCCATTAGCTGTCCACTGCTGGACATAAGCCTTCCCCATAAGGGGTGTTTTGCCAATAGTTGCTACGCTTGGCAGGCGAGTTGGCAACCGTAGTTAGGCTTTGGAGTTGTTTTAAGAAGGACACTGCTGCCTATCCTTCGCCCTCCCTTAGTCGCCTCTTACAACACCCACGGGAAAGAAAGGGGTGGCTTGAAGGGTGGGGTGGCCGGAGCACACCCGGCGATCTAGTGTCTTATACTTAATGTTTATTCAAAACGGACTTACTTCTAATTTTTCTTTTTCTTCTGCAATATGTAATTCCAGCTGAGACTTCTTTTCTTCTAACAACTTTTCTTGTTCTTCTTTCCACTTCACTGAAATTTATGGAATTATTAGCAAAGTTTTTAATAGAACAGACATAAAATTTTGCATCTATTGAAAAAGAGTTTAGAAACTCTAAAAATCTATCTAAATGCAAATAAAATTACTTGATATTAAACGATTACTCATATTCTTTGTGTACAGTGCTCTTAATACTGCTAGTGGGGGGGGGGGGGGAAGGGATTGTTAATAGTGGGGTCAAATAGCCCCATTACTAGCAATATATCCTGTCAGGTCGACCTCCACGTGGTTCCCCCTGGAAACCATCGTGAACAATTCTTGTTAAATTCGTCACGATGGGCTAACTGGCCTGCTTCATCCTCACCTATCATCCTTCACTGGTGCCCCGCCGGTGTATACCGATAGCGCGGGTGGGATTACCATTCCATTATCACCCATTAAAAAAAATACTGCTAGTGCGTCATTTAAAAATACAGGACCTTATTCTCTTTTCTCATCATTATTACCTACAGGCCCAGGAACTCCCCCATCATCCTGTGCAACCAGTTCTAGTACGATATTTGCAGTTCTAGGATCTTATCCACTCCTCGCTTCTAATACATCACCAACAGATCCATTATCTTACCGATCCCTCTACGCACCCGCTTTTGGTAGATCACTTTTGATTCCGAGATTCTTTCCATCTTTTTGTACGCCCGTTTTCAGTAAGTACACCATTTGCAGCTACAAGATCTTACTCCTGATCCTATACACATGCTTCTACTATATCACCAGTAGCTATTAAAGCTTACCCATATTCCAGTGCAGCTGTTATTGGGATATCGTCTGCATCTCCAGGTGCTTACCCATCTCCTGGTTGTGCAGCCGCTCGCGCTCGCCCAGGTCCCCCGCGGCGCGTTCAGCTTGCGCACGCAGCTCGCTCACCAGCCGCGACCGCTGCTCCTGGTACGTCACCTCCAGTTCAAGGATCTGCTTCTCCATCCTGTGCCAACAAAATGTTCCGCTGGAATCAACTGACTTCTAGTAATGGGAACAGATGAAGACTTTTTTACATACTCTACCTCTCAAACCAAAACACAGTTATACTTAATTTTTATTATACTACTGTGGTGGCAAACAAGCATACGGCCCACCTGATGGTAAGTGGTTACCGTAGCCTATGAACACCTGCAATACCAGAGGTATTACGCATGCAACCTGAAGAAACCTGATTACCCCCCTTTTGAAGAACCCCATGCTGTAGTCTCTTGGGAAAACCTCGGCAGGGAGCTCATGCCACAACCTGAGTGTTCGAAACTGCTTTAAAAATTGCTTTATGGTTAAGAAAAAGAGTCATGATATATAATAATAAGTGGTATACCTGGAACTGGCCATCTGCCGTTCCTTGGCCAGCGCGGCCTCCTTCTCCTGCTCGAGGCTGCGCCGCAGCTCGTCGAGTTGCGCCGCGTGCTGCGCCTGCGCACGCCCACTTTGCTCCGCGTGAAACATCTTCAGGTCTGATACCTCTTTCTGCTGCCGCTCGGCCATCTCTCGCAGTTCGCCTTCCAATCCTTTTACTGTCAGCTCCTGATCATTGATATTTTTAATACAACTTAGAATGGCAAATAAATTAAATGCCCGTAATAACTGTTGGGTAATTAAAACTTAAAAAGAATAAATGTCAATTAAAAGAGTTATTAAAATTCATAATGTTATATAAAAAAATACATCAAAAAAGTCAAACACTTGTCAAAAATAAAAAAAGAAAGAAATGTCACTGTCAAATCATGGACTATTGATAACAGCTGCATTGTAACACGATAGGTAATTCAAGTAGGTAAACATTTTTGTATCAAAAACTCTTGCACACTGTAAAAGGACTCCTCAACAAGCCAACATTTTAATGAATCTTTATATTGCTAGAAATGGGAGTGTTAGAGCGCATTACTAGCAATTCTCGTACTCTGAGATGTTCATGGTGCTGGTCACGTTTGTTACTTATAAACTACCTTCCAGTTGATTGCTATCCTTTCGAACACAGGTTAATCGTTATTTATTGGTACAAGTAGTAAAGAAATCTTACTTTAATTTTCTCAGCCTTCTGTCGAACCCAGCGCTGTCGAGCCACCTGTGAAATAAAGATATATCTATACTAATACTAGCAAACCGCCCCGGCTTCGCATGGGAGCAATGTAAAAACTAATGTAATGTAGTGTGGAGTGATTAATAATATTACTAATTTACCTTCTAAACTCCATATAATTAGTTTTTTTTTTTTAATATTTACAACTTGGTGCACAAAGCTATGTCCTCCTAAGATATTTTATACTATAAATATATATAAATATGAAAGTTCGTAGATATTTATATGTTTTTTATCTAATCATGCCGGTTGAAGGAATTTTAAGTAAAATTTTACAAGAAGATTGTAAAGATTCGCATTTTAGTATTTTATACTTTTTTACTGGCTCTTACACGCGACTTCGTCCGCATGACTAATATATGTTGATTGCTGGTTATTTGAATAAAATTATTTTGTTAAATTCCCACTATCGTTAGTATGTGTGTGACTGCCAACTTCTGTAAGACTTCTGGAGTTCTGTAAGATAATAATTGGTTAAGTAAAATATGTTGATTGAACAGGATAACAAGTAGTTTATCTCCTTCGCGGGTCAAAATATTTTAATGAGTGAAAATAGAATAGGCTCACTATTCTATTTTCGCCTGCGCTAACGGTATACGCTGGCAGAGCACCACAGAGGGATGATAGGTGAGAATGAAAAGGCAGGTCAGTTAGCCCATCTTGACGAATTTAAGAAGAATTTACTACGATGGTATCCAGGGGGAACAGCGTGAAAGTCGACCTGACATATTATTGGTAGTGGGGTCGCTAGGCCCATTACTGATAACTCCTTCTCTTCTCGGTCCAAATACTATATATATATATATATATATATATATATATATATATATATATATATATATATATATATATATTGGTATTAGCTACGATAGATTGAGCACAAAAGCATCAAGACATATTAGTAGGTAGGATTTATTATTTGGAGGTGACCTGCTGCGCGGCGGCCATCTTGTCGTGCTGGTTCCTCAGCTCCAGCTTGTAGCGCTCCTCGAGCGCCTGCGCCGACCGCTTCCAGCGCTCCTCCAGCGAACGCCGCTCGTCCACTAGTTGCTCGATGCGGTGGTTCAGAGTTTTCTTGTCATTTATCAGCTGGACAAATACACGCAATGACTTAGTATTGTACATTTATACTAATATTGTAAAGAAGAAAGATTTGTTAGTTTGTTTGTTTGTAATGAACGGGCTGAACTATTCAGTTTATTATAGAAAATTTTTATGTGTAGAAAGCCACGTTATCAGTGAGTAATATAGGAAATATAATATTATTTTTGACAATTCTATCTATCTACTCATTGACGGCGATGCGTTTTTTTTTTTTACAACACAGGGGGGCAAACGAGCATGCGACTCACCTGATGGTAAGTGACTACCGCCGCCCATGATCACTCACAACACCAGCGGCATTTTAGGTGTGTTGCTGGCTTTTTAAAAAGGAATATACTCTTTTCTTGAAGGTTATGTTGTCGTATCGGTTCGGAAATACTGCTGTTGGAAGTTGATTCCAAAGAATGGTCGTGCGTGGAAGAAAGTGCCTTGAAAAACGCACGGTGGCGTTATGCCACGGGTCACGTCATGTCTCCCTTGTTTCCCCAAATGGCAAAAACAAGGCAAAGGAATAGACGGACGTACGTTGACCAAATAGGCGACGTGCTGAAGAAGGGCCAAATTAAAAGTACCCGTAACCGGCGAGCATGTATGAAAACATTGATGAATGTGGAAGAAGCGAAAGAGGTTTGTTTGAATCGAAGCATTTGGCGTTCCATTGTTTCTGCCTACCTTAATGGGAGACAGGCGTGACAGATATATACGTATGTGTGTATACAATTCTATCTACCCGTACGAAGCCGGGTCAAATCACTAATATATTATATTTTTACAAGAGTGTCCGATTCATATAAATTAAAATATATTTAGTCAAAAACAAATGTTTTGAGAGTTATTTGAAATAATTATGTACCTTAGATTATATAAATAGAGCATCGAACCTCAAAAACGGATCAATTTTTTATCAGCTAATTGTCAAATTAGCTGACTCGTTTTTTATTAGTGTTCTATATACTTACGCACACAACATATCTTGACGTATCTATATTTAATTATTTAATAAAAAAAAAGATTTTTTACGCATTAAAAAGGTGCAAAATTTATAAGACAAAATAAATATAGACGTTATAAAAAAATAACTCATAAGTATTTATCACGCAAAATTGTATGAAAAAGTTGGCCCGCTTTCTTCGAAGCATTTGTATGGAGACACTCTTTTTGTATATAATTTGTTTACATAACTACTTTTTTACCTGATCAATAAAATTCTGATGGCGCTTAATCGTCTCTTCGCACTCTTGCTTCACTTTGGACACATTCCTTAGTGATTGCTTCTCCAAATTGCTCACTTTGCTAGCCATCTGTAAGATGTAAAAAATAATTAGTGTACACATAATAATTATTAACTTACAGACTACAGTGTTGTTATGGCAGATGAGTTATTAACATCCCATTGCTTGGCACTATACTTTCTCCCAAGAGCATCATCAATTCAGCCGTTAACTGTCCACTGCTGGACATAAGCCGTCCTCATAAGGGGAGTTTTGCCAGTAGTTGCCACACTTGGCAAGAGGGTTTAGCAACCGCAGTTAGGCTTTTAGAGATGTTTTAAGAGGGACGCTGCTGCCCTTTTTTCTACTATTAAGTTCCTTTTGTCGCCTCTTACGATACCCACAGATAAGGAAAGGCATTAGTCTATAATTACAAACAGTAGCCTAACGTATGATTTAATGCGGACTATAAGTCCCATTGCTAGCAATATACTCTATCAGGTCGACCTCCACGCGATTAACAATGGAAACCATCGTGGTTAATTCTTGTGGATTTGTCATGATGGACTAACTTACCTCTTTCATCTTTACCAATCATTAGTGTACCGGTAGCGCAAGCGGAGTTATCATTTCATTATGTTTAATTAAAAAAAAATATGATTTTCGGCGCTGATTTTTTCTTTTTTTTTCATTTTATGGTTAAACTAACAATAACAAAATAAAGAATAATACAAAACATTAATAAAGGGAAATATTGGTTAATGTTGCAATGAACACAGTTTACTACAGTTTTGTTTCGAATTTTATATAAATAGTCTAAACATTGAAAAATCAGTGAAAAATTATGCGAATCTTTCACTCAGACTACTTCGATTTTATTGCTGCACTACAGAAGGCGAGTGAACGCCAAAGTTATTTCGTTGGCCGTCGTTAAGATGCCCATCGTCAATACCATTTGAAATATGTATGTATTTAAAAAACTATACCTATATATTATTTCTATAGTATCTACAGTACAAGCTCAGTTAACCTGACCTGTTCCTTATGATTGGCAAGACTCTCCTGCAGCAGCGCAATGCAACAGGACCTTTCCTCGAGCTGGAGGGACGCGGTGACCAGCCTCTGAGCTAGTTCCGTTTGCGGCAGCTTCAGCAGTAATTCTAGTCTGTACAAAGTGTTCATATTTTATTAATATCAATTAAAAAAAAAATTATGTAAATCAGCTAGGAAAAAGTTAACAAACCGATTAAACATACTTGATACGTGACTTATACAAAACCTATTGCACAATCATAATATCAGCCTTTAATTGAACATAAGTCTCCTCCTTGAGGAGTTTCGCCAATAGTTGTCACGCTTAGCAGGTGGATTAGTAACCACAGTTAAGCTTTTAGAGATGTTTTAGGAGGGAGGCTGGTGCCCATCCCTCGCCCTCCCTTAGTCGCCTCTTACGACACCCATGGGAAAAGAAAGGGTGGTCCATTGTATGTCAGGGAAAACACATTTTAATATACACAGAATTAATTTTAACAAACAAAAAACAATATTATTATACAAATTATTAAAAGGGAGACTTTGTACAAAAGTCGATTGCTTGGGTACCTCTGTCCCATTCGTGTTTCAACCGTGAAGCAGTTGTGTTTGCATGGCTGTGTTTCGGTTTGAAGGGTGGGATATGGCGTGAATTTACTGGGTACAGGGGAATAATATCTGAGTCCTCAGGAATGGCAACGCATGGGGCGTATCATGGACGAAACAGTATACTCTGTTATGTCCATGGTACTGCTCATGTCTATAGACGACGGTTACCACTTTCCATCAGGTGGGCCGTCAGCTTGTTTGCCATTCTACGTTGTATAAAAAAAAAAACTTACTTTGGTATGGTTTGAGGCGTGGTACTAGTGACTACTGATAATGCAGCATTTGCACTCTGTTCCACCTTCTCCAAAAATTCAAATATTTCCCTGAAAATATAAATTAAAGAATAATTAGGTAATAAAAAATAATTTGTGGTTGAAATATGAAGCTACGTAAAGAAGCATTTGTCCGATCAAGCTGATGATAAAATACTTAAACAAAGATAAAGAACTAACATAAAGTTGTCTTTAGATGTAGTGTCCTCTTCTTTTGTATTTTCTGAAGCCTCAGGCGGGTCTACATTACCTGTTGTCACAGGGTTGTCGCCATAACTTTCAATTTCTTTCAACATGGAGTATATATCCAAAACAGTCGAATTAGTATTTAATTCCTGAGGTTTTGATTCTTTATTCTCTACTATAGATGTTGATGGTTGCGAAAAATTATTTCTTTCATTACAAGACTCATCTCCTTGTGCTTTAGAATCGATATTTAAATTCGTTGTTACAGGAGGCTCTACTTCGTCTACTTCAACAATTCTAGGCGAAGGTATGGACAGTGACATCCAAGAATCTATATCTTTGTCATTTTGCACACTCTCGATTCTAGCACTCAAGGGAGCCCGTGTGCTGTAATTTGTTTTTTGAGTTTGATTTTTAATATTCACTGGAATTGTGGATTTAATATTACTCTTTACATTTTTATTATTCCAATCTTGTTTAAACGTAGAACTATCGCCAAATTTCGAGCTCACATTATTAAATTTCCTATCGCACTTCTTAAGGTTTTTAGGTACATATCCCTTGGAATAATCTCCCTCTTTTACTTTTAAATAATTTTGTATTAATTCTTTAGTGGATACTTTTGTTATATCTCTATTATTATCAAGAGAGTTATTAGCATCCTTATTTTTTGCAAGTTCATCAATAACATCTGAATTTTCTTGTGAATCATCACTACAGTCCTTTTTAACTTCTACAAAAGGACCTGATAATTCAAACATTTTATCTATATTCAGCGGTGTTGGTGAAATTGGATCAGTTTTTATATCTTTCAATGTTAACTCATGTAAACTATTTATAGCCTCTAGTTCCTTTTTATAATCTTCAATAACTTTTGAGGTGTATGCCTTTGTACTACTATTAATTAAATATGATGGGTAATCAAGATCTTGTGAATCTTTCTCAGTTTTCGCAACGTCCATAACTTCACTTGCGGAAGTGGTGTTGTGAATGTTTTCATTGATTGGGGAATTTTGTGGAGGCAAAGCTTGATGACCTTCTTTTTTTAAGAAAAAATCTTTGTACAATAAACGACTGTGATTCAGGGGTTCTGTCCATTGAGATCTTTTTTCTAATGGATAAGTTTTATGATAGCCTTTCTCATTGCTGTTTATTGAAATACTATCTAAACTTTTAGGCTGATCTTCTATTTTATTATAGGAATTTGATTTTTTTAATAATAATGATGATGTTGGGAGAGAAAAGTTTTGCCCAAAAGTTTTATTGTCATTTGCCGCGCTATCAGGATATCCAGAGTCCTTAGAAGACGAATCCGTGTACATTATAGTACTAGACATTTTGGGTTTATATGAATCTAGGGAATTTGTATGAAAATCATCATAAAAACTACTATAAGTTCTTGGTTCATAGTCTTGAGGTTTAGAATAATCTTCTTTGTCCACTGTGTAAGCGTTTCTACCTGTGAAACTTTCCTCAGTGTGAACACCTTTAATATTCTTGGTTTCTTCCAATGAATTCTCTGGAGATAAACTAGGCATGTGCTGGGATGGAATACTTTCTAAATCTTGTGTTGATTCTTCTTCTACAAGGGATAATTGTTGTTTAGTTAGTGTTAGACGTTTTGAATATTTATCAATAGCTTCTTCAACATCAGATTGCAAATTATTTGGACCAAAAGAGATGCAATCTGCTAAATCATTATCAGTGGCTTTATTATCAGAATCTAGAGGTACAATATAAGATTCATAAGACCTATTTTTAAAAGGTGAGGGAACATGATTATGTTTTGCATCATTTCTAATAGGTGACTGTGTTCTTGGTGGTCGCTCAGTTATTTTTATCTCCAGCCCATATTCTGGATTATTTTTCTCTTCATATACATTAGCATCCATAACTTTACGGCCTTTTTTCACTATATTTCGATATTTCAAAATATTTCTTTGGTTTGTAATCTTTGGTTTTGGATTGGATTGAGCTCTTACTTTAATTTTGGTTCCTAAACTCATAAAAGTGTCTTCAGAACCATAATCAGAGGCATTACTACATATTTCTTTATCCTTCTTAAAGGTCTGGTCATTAGGTGATTTTATAACACCAAGTATATCTGTAGTAGGTGGCACTACTTTAACAGTTGTTGGCGAGTCTGAAAATTATAAATAAAAAAACATCAATAAAAAATATATGCTCGCAATTATAATTCCAGATGAAGTAGTCAGTGGTTCATCAGTCTATCAGTCTACTAAATTCCATTTTAGTATATCATAAAAATTAATATAATATAAAAATTTAAATTTTGAATTTTCCATTTGAATTTTTCAATGTATTGAATAAATTTAACATTCCATGTTTGATAAAATAAAAATAAATAAGTTTATTACAGAATTTATATATACTAGCATTTTCCTAGTAAAATAAAAATTTAGTATAAGGTAATATTCTATAATTATGGACATACTTATTATTCATAGATTAAACTTACTGTTATAAGACTGGATTAAATCAGCGGTAAATGTTTTCAAGAAACTTCTTGTAGATGGTGACCGATCTTTAGTATCAGCCGAAAATGGTCTTTTGTACCTTTCGGGGACATCCTAAAAATTTTTTTTTATTTTTATACTGAACATAAATTAGAAAATATATAAAAGGCCCACAATATAAATGAATAGGATATACTTTTTTTTTTTATTAAAAATTTACATTTTGTCAATGGTAAAGTGCTTTCAAAATCAATAATTTTTTTTTTTTTTTTGATGGGTGAAAATGGTATGGTAACCCCGCCTGCGCTAACGGGATACGCTGGCGGAGCACCAGTGAAGGGTGATAGGTGAGAATGAAAACAGGCCAGTTTCATGATGAATTCATCAGGAATTAACCATGATAGTTTCCATGGGGTATATTGCTTGGGATTCTCAGTATTACTAACAATCCCTTTCCCCCAAATCAATAATTTGACAGTTGTGTAAATATGGGTAATAAAATAAAACAATAATAGTCAAGTATATCCTATACTATAGAATAGGTCATATAGGGGCTTTCGTTGTAAGGTATGTCAAGTAATTAATATTTTAATTAGCCACAGTTTTTAGCTATTAAGAAAATTTTGACTTATATAAATTAACCAACTAATCTATAAATATTGCATTTTTTTTTTAGTTTATCTCACAACCTTTTTGAATACAATGAAACATTTAAAATAATACCATAGATACATCAAAGTTGTAGAGAACTGGTGCCTGAACTGGGTATCCAAAGGATACATACATAAATAAAAATTTTAATACTGTTTTATTTTAATATGTTAAGAAGAGTTATATGAATCTAATACAGTATTTATTATTATCAGCTCTCATTAATTCCATTTGGACAAAGACAGTGTGTACACCTAAAGATTATAATTAATTCCGATTTGAAGATATAATTAAATTAGTAATTTTCTTACAATCTAACACAAAATATACTTATCAATATAATAACTGTTGTATGTAGGTATGAGTGAGTTTTTGGGTGTAACACATAAAGATACTATGTATCAACTAAGTATATTAAATGATGCCTATATAAATTTTTAAAATAATTTTTAAAAAGTAATAATACATTAAATGAATTCCAAAAAGAAACATGTAATCATTGAATAAGTTTATATACTAATTATGGTGTTATATTACATAATAACAGTTTACTAGTTATTAAGAGTATCTACTGACATTAATCCATTAGTGTAGTGGAAATAAAAGATATTTTATACTTATTATTAAAAGTGTTGAGGTTTTATTTAAGTTATTTTTAAAGATAGAATTTATTTATTTTTCTTGTTATGTCAATTGAGTATTTTGTTTATTAGGAAAACGTCATTACCTTTTAAAACATCTATTTTTGTACTAGGGAACAATATTATATATCTTTATTCAGTCTCTCATAATTTTATTGTTTTATCCAACGAACCCTTCACATACTGGCGACCGTGCAGATAAATATGGATAGAGCAAAGGCGGAGAGGATATTAGCTCGTCGCAAATTTACATTATGTGCTCAAAAACTGGAAAAGCTTTTGGATAGTTGCGACGAATTTATTCCAGCCGAGTTTGAAAAACTGAATAAGTTGTTTGAAGACCTCACTCTAGTACAAAATAAAGTTGTAAGTATTTGGCTCGACGATGACAGTCGTGATGAAGAGACATTCGACAAAGATATTGTAGAAGCGGATGTCTACACAAACAAAAGGCAAGTAAAACTTTTATTTCTTCTGCAAAATCTACTGTTAAAGAAATGGAGGCAGATCAGTTGTCGTTGAGAACCAATGGTAACTGACACTTTAAACTACCCAGGTTGGAGTTACCCAGATATAATGGTGAGATAAAAACGTGGTTAAAATTCTGGTCTCAGTTTAAAAAGATACATATGGATGACCAGATTGATGATGATGACAAATTTCACTATCTGCTCCAATGCATGGAAGTAGGGTCGGTAGCTAGAGAATTTTTAGAAAGTTTCCCACCATCAGGTGAGAATTATAGTATTGCTATAGAGCAACTTAAATATCGATTTGCAAAAGACGAAATGATAATAGAATACTATGTGAGGGAATTAAATCTTGTTCTGGCGCAAGCTAAAGGTGTACAGAAGGGATCAATTCGTAGATTATATGATTCTCTGACGACACAAATATTAGCACTAGAATCTATGGGAGTAACCCAAGAGAAATATTCTGCATTTTTATTGCCGTTGGTAGAATCTGCTTTACCAGATGAGACATTGAAGGCGTGGAATAGATCACAGGCAAATAATAGGGGTGATGAAAAATTTAGTCCATTATCTAGATTACTGAATTTTGTCAAGTCGGAAGTCGAGTCAGAAGAGAGAATACGTTTGTCTCGCTTCAAAGACTCAGATAACTATTGTAGACAAGATTTTAATATATCTTCTGCTGCATGTTTAAACACAACGCATAATAAAGACAGTAAGAAAAGATTAAATACAGGTAACCAATACGAACGTAAAGAAAAGACTTGTATTTGGTGCGATAGACTGTCACATACTAGCTCAGAATGTACTACTGCAATTGGTAAAAACTTAGAAGAGCGAAAGGAATTTTTAAAATCGAAGAATGCTTGTTATATATGTCTTAACATCGGACATTCTGCCAAGCGATGTAGGAAGTATCCTAAATGTGTTATCTGCACCAAAAGACATTTTCCATTAATGTGCAATGATATAAAAAAGTCGATTGCAGGCACTACCATTGCTAGTACGCCACAAGAATCTCAGTCGGTACTAAATCAGAGTGACCTTTCAAATAATAAAACAGTTTTATTACAAACTCTGGGAGTAAAAATCTGTAATGGAGATGAGAATATCACAGTAAGAGTTCTTCTGGATAGTGGTGCCCAACAAACATTTGTTACTAAAGATATTATTTGTAGACTGAAATTAAAAGCATGTGATATGGAGGAAAGTGAAAATAACCTAAGTCAATTGGATGGCAATATCTTGTCGTCTCGGTGGCGATATAGAAAAAAAATTAAGTGGCGATTTAAAACAGCGTTTTGGAAATGAATATTTATCACTCTGATTCAAAGGGGATGTAAAGACAAGAATCACACATATAAAATTGGAGATGTTATTTTGGTCGGATGTGATAATATTAAATGTTTGTATTGGTCATTAGGCGTAATTTTAAGATATATCCAGGTATTGATGGATGTCTTAAAGTAAAAACTGCTAAGGGTGAGTATAAGGCCTATACAGTGGTTGTATGCGTTAGAGGTTGAATCAGGCGAATTTGCAGAAATTAAGAGCAATACACACAGTGTCGATACTATAAGTAAAATTTCTGAGCAATTTTAAGATATATCCAGGTATTGATGGATGTCTTAAAGTTGCTAAAGTAAAAACTGCTAAGGGTGAGTGTATAAGGCCTATACAGTGGTTGTATGCGTTAGAGGTTGAATCAGACGAATTTGCAGAAATTAAGAGCAATACACACAGTGTCGATACTATAAGTAAAATTTCTGAGCAATTGCCTCGTGTCACACGCACTGGTCGTTTAGTCAAAATACCTAACCGTCTAGATTTGTGATGTTGTGAGACTTGTAATGTTATATGAAATGTAGTTTTTGTATGTTTGTCTATCTTGCGATATCATCGCAAGGGGGGGAGTATGTTGAGGTTTTATTTAAATTATTTTTAAAGATAGAATTTATTATTTTTTCTTGTTATGTCAATTGAGTATTTTGTTTATTAGAGAAACGTCATTACCTTTTAAAAACATCTATTTTTGTACTAGGGAACAATATTATATATCTTTATTCAGTATCGTATATTTTTATTGTTTTATCCAACGAACCCATCACAAAAAGAGTGCGATTATTAAGATTGTAAAAATGTTTTTCCAATGAAATGCATATATTGAAATGACGACTTAAAATAAATATGAACATATACCGGTGTAAAACAAGAGTTCTGAAGGGCTGATCTTGGTCTGTTTCTTATATTCTTCCTTTCGTCTTTTTTCTTACTTCGGTACGAAAGGTTTACCGGTGACCCAAGTAATCGGAGATTTGGATTATCTTTCGACATTTCACACACATTCCAGCTACAAATCAAATAAAAAAATTTTTATTTTAATAAAAAAGAACTAATAAAACTTTAATGCAATCAAACTTTGTTTGTTGTCATATAAAAAGCAATAAATCGTTGCTAGGCAACGACTGACAGTCAATTTATTTTTGGATGGCGTAGAATAAGGATCGCAGGTATTCTTAATCAATAGTAGAGATAAAGACAATATTAAAAATATAAGTATAAGCATACAAGCTATATTAATGCTATATTATTTAACATAGGTAATAACTTTAAAGTCTCAACTTAATATTAATTTTTTATTAGTAAAATAATAGAATTGTTAATATTTTAGATGATTATTAAGAGGTAGTTCATTGTTTGCGATTATATAAGTGTTAAATTCAGTATTATTAAAATCTGAATATTCATTTGGACTAAACATGAAAATGCTACACAATTTTAATAAAAAAATTTCATTAAATATTTTAAAAATTTTCAATTATTCTAAATTCACATCTAATTAATTGATTTTAGAACCATATATACATAAAAAAATGTAAGTAGTTGCCATTTTAAAAAAAACTACTAATATAGTAGCTTACTATATACTAATCATTCTATAAGATAATGTTGATATCTTTAAATACAATGAAATCTCATTTTATCATTTGAACATTATGCTATTGATACAAAATCAACATAAGGACGTATTATAATATTTACAATAATTCATTATGTAAATGTACAATATTTTTTTTCTTTGTAATAATAAAACGCAATATAATATGACGTCACCGATAAAAATATAAGGGTTCATGTATCAGCTGCATGAAAAATGTATCGTTCGTACCAAGTTTCTGAGTCTGCGTAGCGAGCGATCTTGTAGAGTCGTATTCGTATTTGTACGCAGTTGGCTAGTTGGACCTTGAAGGGTATTTTCATCGTACCTTTTTACGACGTAAAGACGTAACTCTTTCTTTATTGTGAATCATTTGTGCGGTATTTAAATTATTTTGTAATTTTGTGTTAGAAATTATCACGTTTGTTCAAACTGTGTGATTTTTAAAAGCCGTAAATATGTTCAGCGGAATCGCAGGTGAGTTTTTTAACATATATGAAAAATAAAAACTTTAATTTTGTTTATAATGACGCATTAAAATATATTTTTTTTATTTGTTATATATTATTATAACTAGTAGATGTTTATACAGACATTTAGTTAAAATTGCGCACTTAGTGTTAAGTTAACAATGTTGGTTTTTAAAAAGAATATATATTGTAATATTTTATTTTTGCATGGTCACCCATCATAAATAATAATAAATGTAGTATTTATTTTTTTTAATATAATGCATATAGGCAGTAGTAGTTGAAAATGTTTTAGAAATAATTAGTGGATTTCTACTGTATTTACATTTTGTTTTTCTCATTTTGATGAACCAAAAAAAAAAACAATTAATATATAAAAATATATAATTAAATTATTATTAAAATTTTAAATCCAGTCTAGTAGATATAAATTTAAATTGTTTTCAGTACCTGTTACATATCTACTCTACTTTTTTCGTTCTTATAGCGAGTCCATAAGCTGTAACCGAGTATTAGAGTTATTCTTATATTATGAGGTCGGTCGGGTCGTAGCGGAATGCCTTGACCACATACATGTGCTGTGTATTAATATAAATGTTCAGGGTGTAACGGAAAAAGTATAACAAATGGAAATAGAATCATACATTAATTACATTTAAAAAAAAATCTTAAAAATAACGGATCGTTATAAAAAAATAATTACAAATAGCTTTCGGATCATTCCTCAGTTACACTTTATATATGACGACCTAAGCTAAAGCTTCTGGGGGAAGGAATTGTTAATAATGCAGACTATTAGTCCCGCTACTAGCAACATGTTCTGTCAGGTCGACCTCCACGTGGTGCCCTCTGGAAACCAACATCTGAATCCCAGGTGTATTCATCATGATGGGCTTACTGACTTTCCTTTTCATTTTTATCTATCGTCCCTCACTGCTGCCCCGCTAGCATATATCGTTAACACAGGCGGAGTCACCATTTCATTATCATCCATTAAAAAAGCCATAGCTCTTAACCTTTTGTGGTTAGTTCTAGCTAATATAAACTACGATTAGGTATGTTTAACTGACCACACTCTAGGTTAATCACGAATCGAATAGCGATGACAGTTTAATCGGATAACGTTTAACGGCAGTTCGCGGATCTTAAAATACGAGCAGTATCATAGCTATTCGAATTATTGTTCGAATCATTTAAAAATTACTGTCACTTTGAAGCATAAGCCAATAAGCCCGTAAACCACGTCAATTGACTGCGTATATAACTAATGCTACGCAGAATTTTTTGATACTAGAAGGCGACACCCTTATATGAGTAGTAATAGTACAGAAGTGCTCTATATAACCGAAGATGTTTAACCATCTGTGATCAATTGTTTTTGTGCCTCCATTCTTATTATACCTACCTCATTGCTTAGGAATGTAACATAATAATTCAATTAATCATCATTTACGATCAAATAAACAATACTTATGACACATTCCAATCTCATTTCTTACGAATTGTGGTGTCAACTTTGAAATGTAATTCTCTATAAAAATATCAATCAATTTTAATCAATTAACTTAAAAAAGAAGGAGGTTCTCAATTCGTTTGTATTTTTTTTTTTTTTTATGTTTGTTACCTCACAACTTTGAATTCAATTTTAAATCGAATTGGAATATTGTTTTTTTTTTATCTGAAATAATTTACTTACAGATTAGTTCCGTAGAAATTTCAAAAAACCGTAAAAAAGCAAAATCGGTTCAGTAGTATAATTTTTAAATCAAAACATCTGGTTTTGTTATAATTGATGCTGACTTTGTTTGTGGGACACATTCTTAATTATTTTTCAGATAAATAGGTTAAATATTAATAAGTATCTATATCTATTTCAAATAATTATAATCGTAATATCTAATGTGTCTTATACATATCCATCATCAGTATAGGTACATATATATAAGGGACTTCATGTCCATTCCAGTATTGTCCTGTACCCATTTTAAGATACAAGCGAAGCTCTTATAAGACATATCTGAGATTACGTATGCGACTATTTTAAAGAGCCATGGACCCCATTATGTTCAGGTTATGGATGATTTTGGAAATAATAAAAAATAGGTAAATGTTTTTACCCAAATTCAAGTAATTCTCGTTATCTCTACTTAAGTAAAAACAAAATAGTTTGCCTGTATGAATTTTGGCTAACTAACCAAAGTCCGGGTCAGTGACTGGACTTGGTGCACAATAATCTGCGCGTTATAGTTTGATGCGGGTGACAGCTCAGTAAAACAAAAAAAAAAATACTAAAACGTAACTTACGAATACACGACGATCGTAACATTTGTTTAATTAATTATTAGATTGACTTAAATGTCAAAATACAGTTCTTTTATAGTAAAAACTATCTAAATGTTAGCTGTTGCATTATTATACAACAAAGTGCAGGATAATAGTAGTTTTGCAGATTTTATTGTCATCTGGCAACTCTATACAAACCAGAAATTGATATTAAAATAATTTAACGTTATAAATATAATAAATATAATTCCCTTTTATTTTATTTTACTTTTGACAGCAACGTCAAAGTTAAAAATCAATATAATAAAATAAATATAGGTTCGTTTCGCAGCAAGGAATAGTAGAGCAAATGGGGCCTATGAAGAATTGTTAATAAAAGTCACATTTGTTAAAATTATTATAACCATTAATTAGGAACATAAACTTTATTTGAGTATCAGATTATCACAGTTTAAATCCTTACACTTTATAATCTAAGATTGAACATTTCGGTAAAATAAGATTTTAAATTAAGCTATTCGCTACCATTACCCCGTATTTCGGGTAATGAGATCCAATTTAACACTTGTATGCAAAATGAGAGTCATAGTTTTCGTTTGTTTGTTTAGTGTTAGTTAAAAACTTTTAACTAACACTAAACAAACAAACATCATTTTGAAATGTATATAATAATACACAAATAAGATTATCTTAGTTTTGTACATAAAAAATTAAATTATTAAATACTACGGGGAAATAGATATTTTAAACACTCCATCGTTAACTAGTGCCTATCTAAGTGTATTCTTGGGCAGGCACTGGCGGATCTTTAGGTTGCAGTTATGCGCAAAGACATATTTGAGAGTACATATTATGCACCTTTTTTCGCCGTGTGGTCCCAGCATAGAATGAGCCATCACTTTCTTTCCCGTGGTACAGTCATGGGAAAGAAAGATGTGGCCCATTACGTCTCTCTTAAAACATCACTAAAGCCTAACTGTGGTTGCCAACCCGCCTGCCAAGTGTGGCAAATACTGGCAAACCCCTTTTTAATATGTAAAATTTAAATATAAATGTATATCAATTTATACTTGTACTGCATTCGAGCATTCTTACATATTCCTAAAATTCATTGAGAGATAATACTTTTAGCATTAAGCCTTTATTATACTAAGGACTAAATATCATATTATATTATAAATAATAAATAAATAAATAAAACACCTATAATGTAGTGATTACTTGCTCTGTGTTTTATTGGACATTGCGCTGTGCACCTATGGTCATCATCATCATCATATCAGCTTTTAACTGTCCACTGCTGAACATAGGCCTCCTCTAGGGGGGGCTTTACCAATAGCTGCCACGCTTGGCAGGCTGATTGCCAACTGCAGTTAGGCTTTGGGGATATTTTAAGAGGGACGTCGCTGCCCATCACACGCCCTCCCTTAGTCGCCTCTTACGACACCCACGAGAAAGGAAGAGGTCGCCTATTCTATGCCGGGACTACACGGGAATGCAGCTATGTTACTGACCTATTTATATAGATTGAAGTTATTTAATATTTATTAGGTATGCAATTAAATGCCTTATATCATACGATAGGCACACATAATGAATGATCTGTAAACAATCATCAGCGGTATAAATAGAATTACGAGAATGTCCAACCGGTCTAATGTAATCATTAACAGATAAGAAAGAGTGTGATCATACCTATTTACTTAAATTGACCTCCGGTCTTGCGTGACCCAGCCAGCATCAATTAAATGACTCGTCCCGTGAAACTAATTACGGAATCTAATTACGCATACAAAAGCGAATGATTCACAATTCACACCTCTGGGGGGGGGGGGGAGTAGGATTGTTAATATTGGAGATTAAGGGCTTCATTGCTAGCAATATACCCAACCATGTCGATCTCCACGTGGCCCCCCTGGAAACCATCGTGCTGAATTCTAAGTGTATTCATCACGATGAGCTAACTGACCTGTTTTTTCATTCTCACCTATCATCCCTCACTGGTGCCCCGCCAGTATATACCGTTAGCGCATGCGGGGTTACCATTCCGTTATCAAAAGAAAAATTCACACCTCTTTTCCGTATAAATAGACGTGTTGCTGTAACAAAAGTTATATGTTTTTTTAACAGAATGATATTTTATATTTTCGTTTCACAGTTAATTGGATAGATACATAAATAAATGTTCAGAACATACGTGAAATTCACATCCATTCAATAATATTATAGGTGTTAAACAGTTGAAACATCTACCAATAAGTCACGTCCCTCACATAAGACATTCCGTCTTCCGTCAAAGACGTAATAGGCTGTAAACAAAGCACTGGAATTTTTTGAATTTATTAGGCAGTGTTGGTTGTTGTATCAGACTAGACGTTATGGTGACTATGTAATAAATTATATACTAAATTTAAAATCAGTCAACACTATCTACGTTTCGCAGTACTTACTCGTTTGCTTGCCGGTCCGGATATTAGTGATTTTTTTATACGTGAGTAACTTTTTTTTTTATTTTTTTTTAAAGCACCAAAGACTAATATAATTATTTACCCTTATCCCATTATAATAAATGTAGCCTAGTACTCATGTTTCTTTTTATTTTTTCACTTCAGCCTTTATTGTATTGACTTCTTGTTTTTTTATAATAATTTATTTATGCCAAATGGAAGTTGAAAGCTTTCAAAAGGATGATTTAAATGCAAATAGGGTTTTAAAGTGGTAGTG